TGGCCGAGCCGAATGCCCCTCATGTGGAAGAAGTCGTCCAGTCTCAAGATGAGAGGCGCACTTGGTATATTAAATTACCCCCGAGCAGATTCCGGACAAAGGTCAATCATTTACTGAATTAAATACTAAACGCACCTCACGATCTCCCCGCAGTTTCGCCAACCCATTCTTCAATCTCCGAGCGGTGAACTGTTCTGCCCCCCCTCGTTTCTTATGTCCATTGTGCCGGTAGGGAGGAGGAGTAATTGTTGTTACCATTATCTGTGATTGCCGAGGCTGATAAGAATATAACAACTTGCTCTGCAAAGGCAATACTAGAACCGCGCACCTTCGTCTTGAATTCTGGCAGGTTTTCTGGCAGAATATTTTTCCGGTCGTGTTTAGAACTGGCACTAATTTCGCGATCTCGGGCTTTGGTTTTCAGATCTGTCCTGTTTTTGAAACAGGCTGGACTTGAATGTATTGTACGAAGTATGTATCGATTTCGGGCTTGTACGAAGTCAGTGTCGATGTCAGGACGGCGCATTACATCTATTGTCAGAATGAAGTGGCCAATCATCTAATATATTCGTCGTGTCTCATTTCTGTTATAGGCTTTGTCGTTGCTCCCGCATAACACGAGGCACTCATATGTTCTAATCAAATATTTTTGTCAGTGAATGTCCTATCGGGTGATATGGTTTTTCATCTGCTAATACCTACCCTTTTGATACAGTGTGAAGATTGTGTTTGTTATGCAGGATAATGGACTTTGGTAGTGCGTAGTAGAGGACTGAGCGGCACTACAATATTTCGTTCAATTCGGCAGTCTGGCAAGATCCTGACCGTTATGGCATTCAGGACATTGAAGAACATAATCCGAACTAGCCGCAGGACTCGATGTGATCCATGTAATGGATAGCTCAGTCAGCCTAGGCAAGCGTCTCCCACATAGGAAATGAGTGTCCAATGTTCATTATTTTACTGACTATCGCGTGACACAAGAACCCTCGCACCTGTGGTAGGTGTCAACTTTTGCGCTCGAACTGATACTGATGGCCCCAGATTTCACTGAGTGGGCGTGGGGTGACATCTTGCTTTCACAGGATAATTCAAGTAGAAGGCGGTATGACGAGCACAGGACAACTTGGTTGGCCACCATGTACATACATCGTTACTATGTAAGGTCAAATATGTATGTGTAATACCCACCGCCATATTTATGGCGATTGTTGTGATGGTCATGAATATATAGTCAAATATGATATTTTAATATGTTCATCTGTTTACTGATGACAGATAGCGGAAGAGACTGGCTGCAGACACCACATGCTGAAGCATGGCCGTTCATGGGTGTCAGGGTAACAATTGTCGAATTCTGGAGTACACTGGAAGCAGTCAGCCAGTACCCGATTGTTCCAGATGTTCCTCGCCTCCCAGCCCTCCAGGTGATCCAGCATTTAAAGAGTTTGCCGGATTTCTTGACGTTTCCAGTGTTCCTCGCGCTAAGGCACCCCAATAATTCCACGTTTGCCTCACCCCAAGATCATCTTCCGGACATGGAGATCATCTGTGCTATGAAGATCTTCGTAAATTTTGCCAACGAAGCACGAGAACGAAGTCAATCAGCTTCTCATGCTCTGAAGTATGCATGCCACAATTGGGCCATCCATCTCGCGCGAGTTCCACGTCCATGGGACGCCAAACTCGGTCACATATTTGATTTATTCTGGAATCACAATCTTCTGTGTTGGCTTGAAATGCAGTGGTGTTCAAAGGGTCTGCGGGCCTGCCTTGCTATTTTATATGAAGGAGAGAAACTTGCAGGGGTACGTGTATTTGGTTATTCATCGACGATTTGACGAGTCGGAACCCTGACCTACGCATTCAGGAATGCAACTGAAATCTAGCTCAAACGTACCTCGTTAATTCAACATTTGATATCTTATAGGATATCCACGATTCCGTTGTCGCACATGGTCGTTACTTCACACATATTTTGTTCTTCCAGTTCCCGGACGAGCGCAGGAATTGCCTCAGCCTCATCCAGAGTCACTACTAGCCACTACTTCTGTAGCGGGAATTTTGAGTAGCACGACACAACTTGTAAACAGCAAACTCTCCCGTTTATCGTACTACACAATACTGCTAGTTGACAAATGCACGCGCTCTTGGAAAGCAATTGAAGTCATGACGATTCCCGCATCAGAATTGGCCACGAGCTTAGCGTGATATTCTCGCAAGCCAAGAATCAGGCGTGGTCCCAGCACAAACATCTGGACGGACATAAAAATCTGAAGAACACCAACAGAAATATGATAGTCCAGGGAATCTGAGGCCTATAGAAATGATGAGTCGTGGGCACATACAGAGGATAGTGACGGATCGACATACCGCTAAGAGCATTGGAGACAAATAGATAAGGTGGATGCAAGAAACCACAACAAAGCTGGGAGGTGCAAAACTTGAACAGAAATAAATAAATATTCACGCTATAAGCTCACCTTGCGAAGTAAACCACATGAGTTTTCACCAACACCGTGAAATAGTCCCCGATAATCCATCCTGTCGATGGTCGTTGGAGTTCACGAAAATGTTTGATGGCAATCCAAATTGCGAGACACAGGATCAGGATCTCCCATGCAGTTGTGAGCGCTGAAGTCACGGAAACCAGAAGTACATCGTTTCCCCCAAAGACAATAGTGCACTGATAGGTGCCAGAGAGAATGAGGACCTCTGGTATTCGCCAATGAGTCTGATGCACTTGAGTCTTTCATCCGTGATCAAAGCTCACCCTCCAGAATATGACTCGTTGATACTGCGGTAATCACACCGGTGGTAATCTTCACAGCCAGGAAGACGGCAACGAGAAATATCAACATCTTTCTGGATCCCCGATACATGGCATATAACCGAGCAATCATGATGACTTGCATGATGTAAGTCAAGTCAATATCTCTGAGGTGTTGCAGTTGCGCAGCTCACCGCCCAATATCATAAATACGACGACATTCATCCAATTTCGTGCGATGGACATAATATTGCCTGACAAGTCCAGTTAGTGAGCCTCGCAGGATCTTCTGAAAGTCTCGAGAAAAAACTCACAGCTGTAGTAGTCATGATATTGAAACAATTAGCTTGTTAATGATCTCACCCCTACATGAGAGTGCAGCCGATCAGACAGAAATGGGAGTATCGGTGCAAATACTTACTACATCTGTTATCGGAATTGTTGGGACCTTTACTATGTGCCGCCGGTCAGAAGAAAAAAGAGTGTATGAAGGGGACATACTCAATATGCTGTTGCTGATTGTAATAGATGGACGATCAGTACAGCACCAATTGCTTAGTCTTGCAAACATACACTGCATATATTATTCCAACATAGCGCACCTAGCATATTTTTCGAGTCAGCATATTTTGTCGACCGCACTCGTAAACAAGGTACATACACTCAGGTACAGAACACTCATCAGGGACCAGCGCTGCCTCTGCCGCGAATCAATCACATTTTACGCTGGTCTGACGATGTGGGACTCTGCTCACCCATACCAGTTCAACCTACAAAATTATTCTCAGCGAGATGGCTGCTCCAGGAATGCTACCAACCTACCTCTTGTCCTAATGTCAGTGCTAGAAATTCAACAAGGAGATCAGTGGTCCCAGTCGGTTCCTGAACGCTATATTGCTCACCCCAGTCGTACATCACCCCAGCAGAGGAAGCAACTATGAAACGGCAGTCAAGGTTAGACACCTCCATCATCATCCCACTAGCTCTCTACGAACCTACAAAATAACTGCCGATCCGATTTACATTGATGAGCGGCCACCAACTGGGATCAATTGAGACTACAGTCATAGTGTTGGAGGATGGGTGTGAAGGAGCGGCGAACTGGGTGGAATCGATTAATGTGTTCGTGCTAGTTATACCACCATCCGGCGCTCCTGCGCCCAAGAAATGAACATTTCACTAATAGCATTCTAGAATCTGCAGCAGCATGATGCCGTCCGGTAAGTCGCTTAAATGAATAATAATCAGTGCTAGTAAACTTTGAGACTCGACCATTTGAAACCACCAAAATGTAATCAAAGGGCTTCAAGATAGTTGCCGGGAACGTCCGACTTTGGAAAAAAGGAAATAACCGTGAACCCCAAGTGAATCCTTCTACCTCTCAATTGCAATAGCTGCGACCATGATCAATGACAGAATATGCAGAACCTCCAGGATTCTGACATCGTATCCTTCCCTTGTGAAGACAACAAGTTATTTTGCAAACCCGAGGCGAGGACCTCTCGCGGCCGCAGCACCGCCAAGTTGCCCATAGGGCAAGACTGCAAGGAGCACTCTCTCCTGGCAGAGGCCAAGTACGCCAAGAGGCAAAGAAGCACGCGTTCGAAACTTATTCAGCCAGGCAGTACATGTTGCACTCACGAATATGGGACATAGAGCAACGCGTAGTATGGACGGATGATCGTTTCCCGGGACCTGTAAGGCTAGCCTATTGCGAGTCTATCTCAGTAGTACCTGACCTATGCCAGACATAGTTAATCATGTCGAGGTCGGACCTGGTATTCTGCCGCTCACCGAAAAGTCGGCGAACGGTTCTGAACGTTCACCGGCAAACATCTGGAGCCATGACGTCCATATACCGACACAATCAATCAAATGGAACCAACAATACTCATTTCAAATGTAGAATCATTCCCGGACGAGCCGCATGCTCAAAGGGAGGTGAGGTGTTTCACCATCTCCTGCAGGCGCCTTAATTGCTGGCATGTAATAACCACTCATTTTCCAGTGAGTTTCCTTCACGTGCCCATTCTCGTCCGGTTCTGACGGCAGGCGAGGTGGATGTCTGGAAGATGGGTTGCCAATACGTCCTCTGGTAGAGAATGCTCGTATATATATGCATGAGTGTTGTACCAGTAAGTATGCTAATCATTGCGAGCAATAACAAAACTACTTCGAGGCACAGAACGATCGACGACCTTCCATTATCACTGCTGTCATCGTACGGTTATCATAATAAGCTGCACATCGTTGCCCTGGAATTTGCCCGTATGCTCTCCACAAAAGCAAGAAGATCATCCTCCAGCATTGGTTTCAGCCCGTTATCGATGTCCAGTTGAAGGTCCAAAAAACGGTGGTCAAGTTCTTGCACCAGCTCAGCAGGCGCAGCAGGTTGGTCCTCTAATTCAAGCTGGTCAAGCCATGACCGAAATGTGTGGATCTCAGCGCTTTCTGCATTGACGTTAACACCAGGACTACTCATTTCCCCCGCGCCGGCTTTCTTGGGAGGTTTGAAACGTACAAAAGCATACGTATGGCGTCGATCTCTTTCCACTTCATCCCCGGAGCTGACTCTCGGTGGCGTATACAACGCAAACACCCAGCCTTCTCCTTGGAGACCTCGCAGTGAATATTGCGGAATACACGTGACCTCTTTGTTCTCGCTATGTGCTTTGCGGAACCCAGAGAACAAAGTTGCAGGTGTGATGGCGGATGCGTGTTCCAGAACCACATCGGGTTGCCATGTGGGATCGTCGGGAGTGGATAGCACGAGATCTAGGATAGCACGAATGATGACGGACGGCTGGAACAGGGGTAAGGTGCATGCAACCGGATGGCTATGCGTGCCTGCGGCTCGTATGTAGGAGAAGGCGATGGGGTAGGGTGCGTTTTCACGCGCAAGCTCCAGAGGCTGCAAAAGAGAGTGATGCAATAAAGCTTCGAGTGAGTGACAAAGATTCCCGTTGTCCCGCAGAAGCTGATAAACGTCCTCATTTGCTATCAAAGGGCAACCTAGAATTATCAATGTTTTCAAGTGCGGAGCCAGCTGCAAGATCTTGGGTACGATCTGCACCGTGAGGTAGGAATTATGGGAAAGATCGAGTCTTCTGATCTTGTTCCCGTGGACATTCAAGATTTCTTCAACCTGATCGTCTCGTACAGCTACCTCCGCAAGTGATAGCACGCCATTCTTGTCACTCAACTTCTCTTCAACAACACTGTGCAGTAATGTCATTCCGTTGCGAGGAAACGGCAATAATTCCTGCAGGGCAGCGTAAACCTGAAAGGTTTTTCCATCCTGCCAAAGTTCGTTCATTTGTTCAATGTCGTGGGTGTCGTGGGTGTCCTGCGTGATTGTTATGGTTGGAATTGGTGCCTTTCGTTTCGTCGTTAGTTCGGGTGCGACCGATTGTAACAGAGACATCCCGACGAGCTTTCTGACTTCCTCGCTGATCGGGAAGTCAAAAGCTTCAGAACCCGAGGAAACAACATCTTGAGGAGTTTGTCTTTTCTTGTATTCCTTTGGCCAAACTGATATCAGAGCATCCAGGTTTATCAACTTCACGCTGTCGAGTTTTGTGGTATATCCGGTGCCTTGTAGATCGCCCTCCGCATACGCACACAAATATTGGCGGGCAGAAAGCGGCACACGCGAAGGTGGGATTGCTCCGTCCTCATCGTTGCACGCCGTCTTTGCAACGTTAACGAAGCAATACATTGGCGACCTCACCGAGGTGAGGTCAATTACAGTGATCTCTTGATGATTGTCTGCTGAACAGACTCAGCTGTCGTTTACGTGGATAATAAGGTACGAACCTGCACCATCACTTCCAACGTTCTCATCGAGCGGAGAATATCGGCTATACCCAACATCTGGGTTGCCAGGGACGGTGAACTTTGTGCTCCAGCACATAGCCATCAGGAAAGTAATGAACGGGCAACAGACAGCTGGTAGATCCTCGTTGCTGCAGTACTTCTCATGCAGAGCGTTGATTTCTGACTCTATCACCTCCCTATTACTGCCATGCTTCACCACAGCAAGAAAGCGGAGTAGACAGCATAGCGCAATTGTCCCCTGGCATTGTGGTACATGATATGCTGCTACACAGCGGTGCTTCGTAGATCCTGAACCCGCAGACCGGACGCGAGTGATAACGTATATCTGTTGTCGTTCACCCATAGGAAATCTGAGCTCGTAGCATTTGAACGAGAACGTTGTCATAGGGGAAAGAACCCTAATGCACAAACAATTGTCAATAACGCGTTGCATTGGAGAAACGCGTCTTCCGAAATTCTCGAGAAATCTACGCTTCAGTTTTGCACCATCATGCATGCCGCGACGTCTGCCAAGGTATGCAATAATTTATGTCTCGTTTTTACGACAAGCATGATCGATCTACGTATAGAAGCAAAAGGAATACATCGATAAACTTCAGGCCGAAATTGACGTCCTGCAGAAGAGGATAGGGTGGAGCAGATAATCGACTTCGGCGAAACGCGCTGACCCTTGGGGCCAATTTACAGTGAGGCTGAGAGCGCCGAGGCGATCGTATCAAGACACATAAGACTGTTGCACCGCTATAATGAAGCCAAGGACGCTACTCAGGTTTGACCCATTTTCTCACTTCTATATTCTGCAAGCTAACGCTCTGGATCGAAGTCATTGATAGGAAGGGTATAAAACTCTACGAGGTCCTACATTGCTTCCAGGAGATGCTCATCTGTTTTTACAGCTCGCTGCTTCGAAGGAAACCACCGTCCGGCAAATTCATGTCGACATGGACCTCATGGATGACCAATGACGTCTGCTCCTGCCCTGCGCTGGCTGTCTTTTCTGTCCCGCATACATTGTGTTTCAATAGACCTGTATATTATGTTTGTAACAAGATCCAACTGGTCCCATTTCCAGCCCATACTTGAACAGGTTTTCCGTCCACCGCGTGTCCTCCTGCAGGCCAGATCTTGGTGGGCTTCGGCACATCATCCGTATGATCCAGCCCCAAGTTACCGTGCTCGTTCCACCCCCACCCCCAAACTTCCCTGTCTGACGAGCCAGAGGGAGAGACAACTGCCATCACATGTTCGCTGCCACAAGCAAAGGATCTCAGCGAAGCCAATTTGCCATCGTGCGATAAAGTAAATTCGACAGGCCCGACAGTAACCTCGTTCTCCCCCCCTTGCAATTCGCGACCTAGTTGACCATGGGCATTACTTCCCATGGATAGAAGGGTATTTTCATCGTCGTCTACGAGAAGGTAGGTCCCGTTCCACGTACACCCGACCTGTCGAATGCGCCCCCAAGAATCCATCTTATGGAGTTGTCCTTTCTTGTTAGATCCAAAAGCTGTTGTCCGCCCTGATTGGTGGCAGGCAACAGTGTGCTGGAGACCGAGAGAATATATTTGCACTGGATCCGCGGATACATCGAGGGAAATGATGCAAGGGCGGTCACAATTCACGATCTTCGTGTCCCCTAGTTGGCCATGTCTGCCCAAACCCCAGCCAACGAGTATATGTTCATTACTGAAAACGGGTCGCAAATGAAGTACGACATGACGAGGTCCTGCAATAATGGACTCGACAACGAGCTCACTGGAATTGATAGAGCGACCCTCGATAGTCAGGTGATCAAACGAAATGACTGTTGAAGTTGCCGTAGCTTGTTTTGTGCCGACACCGAGTGCCCCAAAGTCATTTGAACCCATCGAGATGACCACGTCTGGTCGGGAAGGCGATTTCAAAACGAGATATGATGTCTCCCAAGCGGCAGCAATGAGACAACAGGTATATCCTTGGGAAGCATAAGTTTTGTACAAGGGCATGCTGATCGGGGTGAATTCTGTCAACTGTCCCATGTACTCAGGACCCAGCTGCCCTTTGCGTCCGTCTCCACATCCCCAAAGCTCCCTTTGACCGTCACCAAACTCCATCAGTACGAGAGTGTGGTTTGCTCCGGTCGCAAGCTGCAGGATGCCGTGCGTATCGGGAGGAAGTGCACCCTCTTTGAAGCGACACTCTTTGAAAGTATGTGAATCGTCATCTGAACCATTGGCTAGCTGACCGCGAGCGTTAGAGCCAGCAGCTAGGAGACGTGGACGTGGAGTCTGAGCTTCCATGAGATCTAGAATAGGCACGATGTAAAACTTGATCGTGATCGCTGGAAGACAAGGTTGATTAGTCTGAATCAATTGATTCGGATCGTGGATCCTTTGCTTGTTGTTCTGGGTCGAACACAAATGTCATGAAGGCGGTTCTGAAAGGGGAGCGCTCGTTCTTATCTAAGCTTTCTAAAAAGCGCTGTTCGTTATCCGGCCAATGAAATTTCAGCTTTTTACACGCATGCAACCCTCCAGAGCTCCAGCACGCAGCGACTTGGTTTTGGACCCCAGTTGGACAGACGACTGCCTGAACAGTCAGTACGAAGCGTATCCCCTTGCCAGACTATTTTCGACAAAATGGTTCTCGGAGTGAGGGTCTCGGAAGTGTTGAATGCTATTTTGAAGAGTATGTTCCACGATCGTCGCTTGTATTCATAGCGACCAAGGCACAATGCTGATTATCTTGCGTTGTAGGAGATACCACTCAGTGAGCCAATGGCATTTCTGCCGGTGTGTTCTCATTGTATACCGCAGGTTCGACCGTGGAGATATCTCTTTCATAATCGTGGCAGGTGCCATGGTATCTTTCATGATACCAGGTCTCGGTTTGTGAACCTCTCTCACACCGGGTTCCCCGTCCGCTCACTTACGGTGTTATATCCAGCTTTTCTCTATTCTGGGTTGGCAAGAAGAAAGTCCGCTTTGTCGCTTATCTGGGCAGTTACTGCCAGCAATGCAGTCTGTATCTTTCAGTGGTACTTCTGGGGTTACTCTTTGGCGTTTTCGCCAACTGCCACCAATGGATTCATAGGCAACCTTGCCCACTTTGGCCTGATGGATGTCCTTGGCGACCCGTCACCAGGTTCCCCACTCATTCCTGACCTGTTGTACGCATTCTACCAAATGGAATTCGCATGCGTCACTGTCGGAATCCTGATGGGCGGGATCGCTGAGCGTGGACGGGTTCTTCCGGCTATAATCTTCACGTTTTTGTGGATGACCTTAGTTTATTGCCCCCTCGCTTGCTGGCCGTGGAATATAAATGGATGGGCTTTTAAATATGGCGTTCTCGACTATGCAGGTTAATTAATTATCTTTATTGTCGTCTATGGTCTCTGACGTATTTTTCATTTCAAAGGTGGAGGCCCCGTGGAGATCGGAAGCGGGGTAGGAGGATTTGCCTATGCCTGGGTGCTTGGCCGCAGGCAGGAGAAGGAACTCCTAAACTTCAGACCGCACAATGTTTCCATGGTTAACCTGGGTACATTCATACTTTGGTTTGGATGGTTAGGTTTCAATGGTGGTAGCGCTTTCGGTGCAAATTTGCGTGCCGTCATGGCGATATGGAACTCAATGCTCGCTGCTGCGTTTGGAGGTATCGTTTGGTGTCTCCTCGACTACCGTCTGGAGCGCAAGTATACTATGGTCGGGTTCTGCTCTGGAACCATCGCTGGTCTCGTAGCAGCTACACCTGCTTCAGGATTCATCCATCCCTGGGCGGCAGTCATTATGGGCATAATCAGCGGCGCCGTATGTAATTACGCAACTAAAGGTGAGGTTTACTTGATTGCTAGGGAGTGCTCATATTGACACAACCCCGAGCCAAAATACTTCTTCGTGTGGATGACGCGCTCGATCTTTTTGCTGAACACGCTGTCGGTGGGATTGTGGGCCTCTTGATGAATGCGTTTTTCGCTTCCCGTTCCATCGTAGCCTTGGATGGCGTCAATACAAATGTTCCTGGTGGCTGGGTTGACCACCATTGGAAACAGCTTTACATCCAAGTAGCCTACATTTGCGCGACGTGTTCATATACGTTCGTCGTTACTGCTCTCATTGCCAAGTGCATCAATAGTATCCCTGGCCTCCACTTACGCACAACGGCTGAGGGTGAGAAACTTGGTCTTGACGAAGTCGAGGTAGGTCTTGTCATACTCTTGCTTTTCTATCAACCTAACAAATGCCCAGATCGGTGAATTTGCGAATGACTATATTGAAGTACGGCGTGACTTCATGGACTGGACGGCATTTGGCGACCGCATAGATGCACACGAACCCAGCGCCAATGGTGACAGACACGGTCAGCCAGACCTTGCACAACAGGATCAACGACAAGATTTACGCACTGAAGAACCAAGTCCCAATAGTACTGATGAGAAGGCACTTGAGCTCCCCCAGGCCGACGCGACCTCTCCTTAATTGCAGATGCTATTTCAGCATCTTCCTTCGTCTGTCATTTCGCTAGTGCTATCCAGTTATCGCATACACCAGTTTTCGCTCTCTTTTCTATTCCTATTTCCCAATATAATTATTGCGAGGGGCACATTACTAACCCTCTGTACTCCACTTGGTTATAGCGTATCCCAAGAAGAGCGCGTATCAATTGCATAGTGGTACATATAGTTACCCACACATTCACTACTAGGGCTATGCTACTTCATCATATTATTGCCACGATGTGCAAGAGATCTTGGCCAACATTCGTCCAGACAGAAGAAACAAACTGGATGATAAATGCGCCAGTGCCCAGCTACAAATTGGCCAGAGCACCATATTCACAACTAAGGACACCTGCACATGTCAAAGTGACTCGATCTTGTTCCAATTGTAAACGGAATCCACGCGCCGAAAAAGGGGTACGACAGACGATCGCAGTGTAAGCGTGATTCGAGAAGAAGGTTTCTCTACTGATTTACACGACCCAGCTTGTGGACGAGAAGGTCTGGTGAATCGAGATTGCACATATTTTGTGAACGAGCAATGACTCGCTGGTTGAAGTCCCAGTTGGGCACGTAGAAGTAACCGTCGGCGGAGAGGCTTTTCAGTCTTCGTCAAGGCTCAGGAGGACAATCTTGGGAAGTGCATACGCTATTTTGTCAAATTATGGCTATAGTGATGCGGAAAACAGTACTTATACTGAGGTCCCCTGTCTGACCAAGGAATCTCCACAGGCGTCTCGGACTGCAGCGGCGTTCTCCAGAAGATGGCCACGTCAATGACCAGGATAACATCCTAAAACCATTATTTGTGACTCAAAGAGGGCACGTAGCCGGATATCAGTTCTAGGGGAGCTGCCGCGCCGTGGAACGATGGACCGACGTGGGCAACTGTGTTTCCATAGGATAACGGTGGCACTTTGACAATAGATATGTGATTCGGCGTCGCAGCGACGCATCAGGTTCTCACAATATCTGGATGCGGACGCTCAGGGGACGACCAAAAAGATATGGTGATTTTGTTTAGCATCAGTCACCGTAATGATATGACTAGACAAACAGACTGCGTCCACAACATATGGCAAAGAGTCCACAATGAACGATCTTAGCAGCAGGTGTTGATAGAACAGCCTGTCTCGGGGCCATGCCCGGGAGGGTTTGAGTCATCTGTGTTGCAGTCCCGAGTGAAGAATCCATCTCCTCCCACCAAAGCGAGTTGTAGAAGAAGACATTCAAGTTGTAGAGTTAGTTCATCACGTGACACCTATTCGATCGGAGTTTCCTGTTTCATGCTATCTTGGGTGTAGTGCTTTCGGTCATGACAACATTCGCCAGTAGCCCTTCTTGGTAAAGCTGTGAGATAATCCTTAGCTGGCAGCTACTTATCATCCGCTCCAAATCATGCCCAGTAGCCGTGGTGCCCTGACCCTCAAAGGCAATCCTTCCGCCTCCGCCTCCGCCGCTACCGTGGGACATCGCTTCCACCTATCTATATAAGTGAAACAATGTCCTTCAACCGTCCTTCATGTCTACTACATCCTCCCAGAAACCCTCCAAGCAGTCGCATGAGACGGTGAACAATCGTCTCATTGAAGTCGGTGCCAAGGACCAGCGCGCCTACGAGCGTGCTAGGCACCAGACAAAGGAGCGGCATGAGCACGCACAGGCGAAGGAGCGCAAGGAGAGGGCGGCGACGGGATCTCCAGCTCCAGCGCTCAAGGAAGGGCATGCGAGCCGGGCTTCCAAGAGGGCCAGCATAGAGTTATGGGATGGCGATGAGCTTGACTCTCGTCCTCTCACCGGATCGGGGCGCCCCGTTAATGTCGCACCAGTGCCGAGGAACAAGTCTGGTTTCTCCAAGATGGCGCTTGCGGATTTCGTGACATTCAAGACCAAGAAGTTATCCAAGGCGCAAGGTATGGTGTTGCAAGATTTCATTCGTGACAATGCTGACTCAAAGTTGTGCGTAGATGTTGACTTTGAGGTCCTCCCGTCTGTCCGTTCGGTCATTGCTCTTGATGACTTTGGACACGACATTGAGATCAATGAGCCTTGGGAATTCATATCTCTTGCCCCCGAATCACCCACTTGGAAAGGCTTGTCGTACGCCCAGGCCGCTGCTTTGGCACCTTAGATCATATTATTGCGTTCAACATTTAATCAGTATCATACCACATCCGTTACGACTTAGTTGTTTCCTGATTTCATTCATTACGAACCCACATTACATCTTCGAGTTGGACGACGTATCGTCTTGGTTCCCGTTATAATTCTACTTACCGAACTAGGCGGTTTATTTGGACTTTTGAGGATCAATAAATTGATTGGTGTTGGATAACGTTGGATACCGCCGGTGTTTTGAGTGCGTCGAAATTGTCAGTGATGCAGCAAAACCAAAATAGCTTCGATGCAATCAAGCCTATCAAAGCTGCTATCAAGAATAATGATATACCAGTCGGCTGACAATACACTCAGACAATCTGACAATGGCGCAGCACAGATAACTACGAAAAACCGGTGCGCATAGTTGGCTTAAATACGGGCAAAGGATGTGCCTGTCCAAATCTGAGTAAGTATGGAAGGACGGATGTATATGTTTCAGGCTTACCTCCGTGTTGAAGACATATTCTGTGAAAAGTGAGGCATGAGCTACGTCTCCTCAGCTAAACGAGGGACTCACCATTGAGAGGAAGCACGCTTGAATCCGCAAAGAGCAGATACAGATATTTTAACGTTTCGCTCTGACGATAAATTGAGTGACACAAGATCACGTGGAAGGGCAGGGGTGGCACACACCATCAAGAAAGTCTCCATTTTATCGTCATACTCCACAGGAACCTGATCCACATTTATCACACTTGCGTACCCGCCTGTTGGAATACGACAATGCTTTTCGATGGCCTGGAATATCGCCCAGCCGAGATCGCGATACTTGGGATCACCGGTGAGCCTGAAGGCAATGAAGATGGATTCGACAGTCTCCGGGCTGCATCACAAGTTGAACCTTAAAAGAGTGAAGGACAGAATAGAACCAAACATACCGGAGGATGTACCGGGCATCAAAAGGAGGAGGGGCGTCTGGGCTGGTGATTCACAAGCAAATCAGCGTGCGACTCGATGTGACAAGCGAGTCAACTTACCGCGCGCCTTTGATGTACCAATCTGCAGGAGCCACCGAATCATCCACCCCATCACCTGCCATACGGAAGTGCGCAATTTCAGGCGCCAGGCCGCTGATCGCCGTATTCAGTACACATGTAACACTACCAGGTCATATCGAAACATACGTTTGGGTGTCATGTGTGGCCATACAGGTGTCAATGAGTTCCACCCCTGTAAGCCAATCACGTTTGCCTTGGTCGGTGAGCTCGTCGATTTGCGGTGGAATCGAGACATTGTCAACAAGAGCACCGGACGTCGTGGCACCGAGCATAAGAGAACCGCCAAGGAAGCACACGAGATGGTCTTGCTTGGGCGTTAAACGCCATCCGCTAGTGATCACGTCAGGTCTCTGATCATTGAAGAATGAAATACAACCAACATGTTCCCACCTTGGGACTGCTCCGGGTTAAGCTCAGCGATGTAGAGAAGCTGGCTAGAAAGCCCTCGCTTTACCAGGTGATCGTGGATACCTGTCATCGCAGTGTCGTACATCTAAAGCGTTTAGTAAGTAGTGTTTGAATCAGTTTTGCACTATCAAACATACCTCGCGATATACGAGCTCCGTTTGGTCCTAAGGGGGTTATCAGACTTTCCGAGATCAAGCATTCCTGTATACCATGCCTACAGTTTGAAGATATTGTTTTCTGTGAGTCAAAGATGAGTGCAACGTTGAACTTGACATTCTGTCTACTCACAATAAATATTCATAGTAAGAATCCCCGCGAGAGCCAAGACGAATCGGCGAAGCTCGAAAGCGGCCCGATTTCGGGCTAGCATATAAGCTGCATGCTTGAGGATTTAATGAATTCAAGACTTACTCGAGAAAGATGGAGGCTAGCCCATGGGGCATTGCAGCCGCCTTCAGGACGGCCATAACCTGAGACAACGTAAGATCTGGTGCAGAACTCTAAGCAAAGTACTCACAGTCTCAGCTTTCTCCCAAAAGGTGTCCTCGTCGGTAAGGTATGCCAGATAGCGGAACTCGAGTTGTATTGTTGAAGCCTCGGCAGTACTGATATACCCATTAGCATCACTATCTGGCACGCCTTCTCGAAGTGCGAGATTGATTAGTGATAATGGAAGACCAGACTCTGTCTCGAAGACGGGCAGAATGCGGCTACCGAGTTCATGAGCCTTCTCGAGAAACACAGGGTCTTGCCCAGACAAATGGTATGCAGCCAGTAAGCCTCCCAGGACTCTAATTGTTGTCTGATAATCGAAAATACATCAAGTCACCAATATGCTAAGAAAAGGTTTCTGCTTACCTCGAAGGTATTGAAGTTACCATCCCGTTCGAATGAGAGCTTGTCTGCCACCCATGTCCTTGCACGTTGGTACTCCTCCTCCAGCCCCATGATAATCATCGTGTCGATAGAGTCTACCACGGTATACCCAATACCCCCCGCTTCGGTTAGATTTGAGCCAGTGTGCGAGATCGGGTGGTATTCGTCGTCACCCATAGCGTCCTTTTCTACTGGAATCAGTCGTTTGGCCATAATTACATGGACTGCGCATTACCGTATGCATGCCACGCATGCTAAGTTGAGGTGTCAGTCTACGGAAGGCTGAGAAAACACGCGGTTTCGTACTTTAAAGGCCTCTACGACTGCTTCTCGTTTTGCTTCGTCCGCCGTGAAGGTGGGGACATAATTTGTTCGAACTCCTGGTAGATGTCTGGTAGGTGCACCGAGGAACTGGCTGAGCGGGTTCTTCACTAGAGTTAGAAACTAGCAGCGGGTAAGTAGAAAGTCGCAGACATTGAAAGCATTCTATACACAGACATTGTAAAGTGCCAAAACCACCACAACGGCTAATAACACGTATACTTTTGGAAATGCTGGGCCTGGCTTGGCTTCACCGCCCGACTACAGTCAGACATTAGCGTATCAGTGACCAACGCAACTTGCAAGTACGCACTTCGTGACCATTCGCGGACCCGGGAGCTGCTTTCTTCCTCTGTCTAAATCCTGGCTCTTCCATGACTGCGAGTGACAAAAGTGAACGGACTTATATGCGTGGGCAACCGATTAACTTACTTTTATACTACTAACCTAGGCCCGGGGCAGACCGATATTATGGTACTTCAAGCTTTAAGCTTAGATATATACTAGCACTCCAACCTTTACTTCAATTTTTGCCCAGTGGACCAACTCTTCATGGGTGACTGCTCTGGAGGTGCATGGTAATTATTACAGCTCATCACAAACGTATCAAACTGCCTGCAAAGTAGACCATTCCTCCACATCTCGCCCGAAACTCGTATGCGGTCTCCGAAATTGTGGGCAAGATATGAGAGACACTGATGGTTTTCAAGCGCTACAGTGGGTCATCGTACTCGTTGCGTTGAAGTTGAAGCACCAAAGTCTATACGCGTCATTTGATCCCGATGATCTCGTGCGCATGCCACTTAGGCTTCCCCACTGGTGACATTACGAGTGCGCCCGCCGTGTACATGACAATGATGGCAGAGCTACTTATTGCGCATCTTTCTAACCCGTCCTTGGCGGTTAACGCCCGGCAGTATTTTGAGGCCCTTGGTGTGTTACTTATATTACCCCATATCTCCGACTTCCCCTGATCTACCGCTCGGTTGTGGTGGAGCTCTGCACTTTTTTTAATAATTAGAATCCCTGCGTCCAAATCACGCAAGGCTATGATTATACAGAAACGTCATAGCAGGGTTGACCCACCCTTTGGCCTCGATTCTGGCCACCATGAGATGAACAATATCAACGTCAAGGCCTGGATGTTGTCTGACGTACGTCCAGCCTTGGGACGTAAATATTCCCTTGCTTACCTCTCCTTTAACTAGCACCCAACAAACCTTGCACAGGACACCATAATCAGTATAACGTCAGGTCGTTTGATAGGCAGATATTGTATTAATACATTGATTGCGCACCATTTTCAAAAGGAGGTGTCGGCCTGACTAACAGTCAGTTACTATCGTCTGTGCGTAACCGGCTTTCTTGTGCCCCGAGCAAGGGACCAAAGCAGGACTCATCGCCTGCTTACAGCCGACGCATTGACGACCTTCTCCCAAATTGTCTAATGCGGGTTACAGTCAAGTATCACATTATCTCATGGGTTGCAGCAACTATTCCAAGCCTTATACCTATCAATTTCGTCGTGGCAACCATGCTCGTTGAGGATAGTCGATGTCGCGTCTCTTATCAGGACAAAGGCTGTGAGATATACGAAATACAGTTTGACGCTGACAGCACTGCGCACCAGCAACAACTCACCTGCAACAATTGTTTCGGCCACGACAAACTGACGACCATCCCATACTCAGAGAAGGCTAGCGTATCCAAATCCAGTTACGAGAAAGCGAAATACGGGCCAATCTATACTTGAAAGACACCCCCGGAGTCCGGTTGGCTGTTCTTTCCCCACATCAAATCTAACTGAACGATCTCTGTCTCCTCTGTAGTGCGCACAGATATCGGCTCCATGCTGAAGTCTGCGTCCCGCACACCTCGCTCTCGAAGAAGGCTAATGATGGTGCTCCTTGGTTTAGTGGGCTGTTCAGACGGGGGGTTGCCACCTATGTGGAAGTGTACTTGCAGAATGATGAGGCAGAATGTGATCCCCTGAAGAAAAGTCCTATCAACAGCGTACATTCAAGGCAACTAAACTCACCACAATAGGAGGGATAATGGAGAGCATGATGTATTGTGCATTGGATCCGGCCGATGTTGCAATAAGGAGTGCAAGGACACTCGTGGAATACAAAGCGCCGCTCTCGACGACGACAATAAACACAGGTAGAAAAGCGGCAAGGCCATCTGGGATAAAACGGCGGGTCCGATAGATGCGCCAGGAAATCAAAACTGCAATATTGTTCTCGTCGTCAGGAGCCTGCAGATCAGGTGCAATAGACGTACTTGTACAGGCGACGCTGATAAGCATGGTCAATGCATAGAATGTAGTGATAGAAGCAAAGGTGTTGCGTAATGGATGGGTCCGAGATAAGGACCAGACAACGTAGTACCCAGATACTGAAAAATGACATGCGATGAGACAATGGTCGAATAATACCTTTCGACATACTGACTCCCATAGGTTAACAGCACAAGACAAGCAGGGATGGCAATAAAGAGGGTTCTGTCATAAAGGATATAACATCGCCAAACCTAATGCTTGTTCAGAGGGGAGAACAATACGCCAAATGGCGAAACTCACAACTACACCATCAGCGATAGTGGTTTGCGTAATGTAAAGTGCCAATGATGTGAGAGCCAATGGCGAAGCAAGGTTGGAATAGTAGGCATCTGCACCAACCGTATCCACCTTGAATACGAACGCCTCTAACGCTCGAACAAAATCGATGATTAGATGCTAAAAGTGAGCGTATTGAGCTACTACCCTAGAAGGTTTGATCACACTCACGGCCGTTGCAATGAAGAGTAGCAGGGTTGCTACTGGGACAAGGAGTTGCCGTTGTATGCCAGTTTTCTTGAGTAGGACGAATAGCGTTAACCAGTACAAAGTGAGGAACACTCCTGTTTGAGATAGTGTGATTCAACACCACAACCTTTCCACCGGTCGGTAACGCACCATAGAACGAGGTCTGGAGAAACAAAGCTAAGAACGCAGCTTTGTCCAAAGGAATGCCCATGATGATGGTCAATTCACTGGACCAGCTGAATCAGATTGAGAACCAGAGAGATAAACCAATGATATTTATGGGATGGTCAAGCGTAGGCGGTCAGCCTGTGCACAAGAGGAAGATATGACTGTAGTGAGAAGCTATGTCAGGTCCACAGGATAGATCCGTGATGGCATCTAAGCAAAGGATCTATACCTGCTGCCGTCCAGCCACTCCCAACATGGTCGTAACCATCTGATAGCTAGACAACGATGTCGTCAATTAGACGACGGACTCCAGAGCACTGACTCAGTCGAACCGCTGCTGATACATAGCGAAGGAGCTGTCGTGGGTGCGTGTTAAGATTGACTATCTGGATTCGATAGTAGCGTTGTGGAATTGTGGTTGTAAATTGAAAACTCGATAACTTTGGTTGTCAGCTGCTAATCAAAATGATATCCGCGTGCCTCGTCGAATTTGACCCGATCAATAAACATGGAGTAAAATGAACTATTGCTCTGCAGCCGGCGCTGTCAGTGTGCACTGTGAACGACAGTTATGACATTGATCGCAGCTGGGTTATGCAATATGCGCTAGTTGACGCAAATTGTGTTCCATATCATTGACAGTTGTGCTCGATCGATCACAATGTGGAACAATACAATGAAGCAACTAGTACCTGTAGGGATATACAAGTCATGATCAGCGGATGAGTCCAATTCTATGAGATGATAGCTTACCTCGGCGACATCAATGAACGTTGACTTACACTGCAGAGCAGTACAGCATCATGCTGGTAAGTAATCAACGCTGCAATAGACTACTTACGTGATCACAGGCTAGAACCTTTTGAGCTATCCTCTCTGTCTGCTAACAACCCTCAGCAACGCCCAGTGTTGGGAGCTATCTCTAGGCGCTTCTCTAACAGATCACTTCCACGGCTTTGAACACGGGCTAGCTAGGTATATGCTTCCGCTGCCATCGTCACTTTTGTACTCGAAGGTATCGATCACGCGCAGAACCCCATCTCTGAGAACTGGCAACAAATTCATCCCTTATGCTGCGGTGAGGGCCAAGGGTCGACCGATCACGAGGGAATGTTTTCTATCGCGGGCGGCATCTGGCGTAAGCGCTCACTGGCAGGGTCTTGAACTCTATTCTATAGAAGTTCCGCTTCAACGACGTGCGTACATGGACTTTCTCCTTCCACAACATGCAGAAATCTACCCTCCGTCAGCGTCAGGAAGAGTCTACCAAGTGTCACGGTTATCGGAAGGTTCACGGTCTATCATGTCTATTTTCGTGGGTCGTAGCGCTACCGATGAGGTCAAGGGCGAAATACGCGACACATCCTTCCTTCTGGACGAGCTCCGCGAGGATTCATTCGGTGGACTGATAGAATCGATAGGCCTTGAAATACTACGGGCCTCATGGGGATGAAAGTAAAAGTAAGAATACCAGTAGGTGTACCTGATTCTGCTTGTGTGTTACTTCCGACTCATTTGATTGTCATCAGCGTTGGAAAACCCCGCTCACCGGAAATCTTCAACTGCAATAGTAGGTACTGCTGTAGCAGAGGTCTTTATTGATGGAGCACATCTATCGAATCCTAAAGAGAGTCGTCAGCTCCTGTACAAACGCCAAAAACCAGGTACAATGCTATCTGTGAGTCTCGCCATTTTAACAGCACATGCAAGATCTTGATCTCTTCTCTCAGTTGGTATATCAGGGTATATCCCCACGATTGGCGAGTTCGAATCATATTTTAGGTTCGGACTAAGTTCTTAGAGCTTTCATTTCGTCAAGGCACGGAAAGATCTGGTTACTCTTCCACGATCGCGGAGTAAATCATACCGTCTTAGGTTCGTTCAAGGAAGGCCAAATACGCGTCTTCCACCAGACTAACATTGCTTCCCCCGAACTGCCAGCAGGACCAGACGATCTTGATATGGGCATGATGACGTTGCCATTGCTAAGATTACAGTCAGTTTCTGTTGGGACCGACTCATATTGAAACTTCACATGTACATATTATAATGAATAACATCATCCTTGACCGCCCGCATCGAGTTTCCCGCCCGCAAGTTTTGAATATTTCTTTGATGTAATTTATAACCATTATGATTGTACTCTACTCCTAACACTACTCGGCTGTCGGCACAAGTCCGGGCCGGAAACCTGTTCGTAAGGGAAGATAAGACCGGATCATTATAACTCTCCTTCTATTCCACCTTGACATTCCCATTTGATTCTGAGCTCAACATGGCCATTGAACTAGCACCTATCACCCTCCCCGTCTCTGCCAGTGCTATCGATTTTGACCCCAATTTTGGTCGGGAAGTCAAGGGCGTGAACCCCGGCGAACTAACTCCTGAGCAATTCAAGGAGATCGAGACAGCATTGTACACTGCAAGTCTCGGATCTTCGTCTGGTGAAATGTTCTTGACTTATTCACTATGCAGCATGGAATCCTACTGTTCAGAGACGTCACTCTTACACCGGAACAACAATATGCTCTAACAAAGGTGGGCGCACTCGTTGACATAGCTTTCAACGCAGTTCTCAGGTTCTGCCTGACAGGCTTTTGATCCCGAATCAGAATCATACGGACATGGCAACAACAAGACCCAGAACACCACGAAGTCTGTCCTTCACGCAGACCTTAAGACAATTCCCCGGGTGCCCCAAGTTCAACTCATCGGAAACGGCAGGGTCTATAACCATGAAGGCCTTGAATCTGTTACTCTCAAACACCCCTCGCATACGACCTTCCACAAGACCCGTGTCTCTACTGCAGACGAGGCCCTGGGCATCACCCGGTTCTATCGCTGGCATATCGATGCTGCGCTGTACGATTACAATCCACCCCGTGCGACCACCCTCTATGGCATCACCGTGCCTGGTGGTGATAGACAGACTGTGAGGTATAGCGATGACGATGATCCATCCGGGGAGACCCTGTCTGTGCCTCTGGGCACCACAGCATTTGTATCAGGAAAGAAGATGTTTCAGATCCTGCCGCCAGAATTGAAGAGCCTTGCCGTACGGGCTTCTGTTCGGTATGCACCCCACCCTTACGTCTGGATGGCACCTGCCCGTGCGAAGTCAGACGGTCTAGGAATCGTGAACGAAGGTCTGGAATTGCCACTGAACGAACTTCCAGAGTGGGAGGAATCGAAAATTAAAACGTTGCCTATTGTACGTCCCAATCATTCCATTCCGCGGACATGAGTCTAAAAAAGCTGAGTATACGTAGCTGTGGAAGAATCCTGTCACAGGCGAACTACATTTCCAAGTTCATCCTTGCGGTGCTCATGAACTTATCGTGAAACCCTTACCCCGTGGCGCTTCGCGTGAGGGTGCTTTATACCCAGATGGAGCACACATAAAGGACCTTGGGAAGGTTCGCGAGCTTCTGCACTCGATGCAACGGCCCGGTATCGCCCCCGGGGTATTATTTTTGTTTTCTCCCTCCCTATATATCAACTGATACGACTTTGCCTAGTTGGTGTATCCTCACGATTGGAAGGAACGCGATCTCGTCTTGTTCCACAACCGCGGTTTGCTCCACACCGTCGTCGGTGCTTTCACGCCCGATCAAGTCCGCGCATTCCACCAGTGCAACCTCGCTGCATCCGATGTTCCCACTGGCCCTACGGAGCAGGATATCATTACATGGGCTTGAATTGCAATCACATGACAGAGACACTTTGATCATTTGCAATCGGAAGCATATATTCGTACTATGGGACTATACGATGTCGATATGACGCTCGCTTTTCTTGTGCATAGACAGCTGTATCATGCAATCGATGTACTCATCACACTGGACTACCTGGTCAATTTTGTATCCAAACTATAGTGCTGTCCAGACAATTTATACTATAACCATCCAGGTATCGCAAGAAGCACACAATCAAGACAAAGGGGGCGACTCCACAGGCGAACCGTACCCGCAATTAGGGCTATAGAGACCAAGTAACTAAGTATGCGAAGCCAAGCGGATCCAGAGGGCATAGAGGAGGAAATCAAGAACTGATTCAATCGAACGCGGACAAAACGCAAGACAAATTTAACGACAAAAGGATAAAGGAAGACACGATACGAGATCAATATTAAATCAATTTTGTAAACGCAGAGCATCAATGAAAGTCAGGCGACACGAAAGACACATACAAGACAACGACCGGTGAAAATGATCAACATATGGGGCAATCAACGTATATCCACAGCGATATTCAGTCGGTGAGACGCGGGAGAAGCTCGAGAACATCAGCAGTTATCATTGGATTTAGACTCCACCGTTGGCGGGGAATGCGGAGTTGATTTGTGGGCTTCATCAGGACCTTCGCGTGACATGGATGAAGGCGAAGGGCTGGAAGACGGTCCGGGTCCCGCAGAGACGGGTGCACTGTCTGGGTGCTCATCGGCTGGTAGACTGTTACCACGTGTCATGTCTTTCCTAGGCACCAGGGGAGCGGAGCTGAAAGCGTTGCGGAAGTTGTACATCGAGCGGAGGTCGCTGAGACTATGTGTTGTCTGACGATGGTGACCCTCGTCCTCAGAAACTTCGGTTTCCTGTTCGAGATCTGTCTCCTCAGCCTCCTCATCCATAGCGGTCCGGAGGGAGGAGACCGCGATGTTGGTGTTGTTCATGAAGCCCGCAACAGCGGTGTGTTGATAGGGAGATGCTGATGAGTTGAGCGGAGGAAGAGAATAGGTGCGTGGAAGAGTAAGAGGAGCATTTCGACTCGCCGCTCGCGAAGCAGCAAGACGTGCAGGATGGATTGGTGGGGTGGACGCAGCCGATTTACTCTTGCGCGCTGGGCGGACTGCTTTACGGGTGGTACTCGCCTTAGATGAGGAGGCGCGTTGAGCGGCTGTCGGGGAGCCATCATCATCAGCAGCAGATTCTGCAGTAGTAGCTGGATGTGGGGAATCGACAGAGGTCTGAGAAGAATTGTCACCCTTGTGGACGCGCAGATGTTGAAGTAAATTATCATTCCGGTTGAAACGTTTGTCACACGTGGGGTGAGGGCAGTCGAATGCTGATCGTGACGGACATTATCAACAAAGTCCGGAAAGGTGATGATGGAACAAAGAGGCTCACGTTTTTCATGTGTATGGATAGATCGGATGTGCCGTTTGAGATGCTCTCCACGGCTGAAGCACTTGCCGCAATCTTCCACTTTACAGACATATACGCGTCCCTTACGTCCCTCAGCTGCTTCTCCTTCTACTGCGGCATCGTCACCGGCGGTAGGGACGCGGCGACCGCGACTCTTTTTTGTCAAATTCGGAACGGGAATAGGGGGGGCCGTGCGTATCCTCGGTCCACGACGTTCAGAAGTAAATGAGGAAGAGGAAGCGTCAAGGAAAGTATATTCCCCGGGCATTGGAGTGCCACTGGGCTCGAATGGAGGCGTTAATTCCTTTAACTGAGGGGTATCCTCGACCATTGAGCCGGTAGACGACTCCGGGATCAACACGGTAGGTTCCATCTTGAGAAGCTTCGATGGCACGTAAGTTGGGTCTTGATCCGCCTCGACGTCAGTTTCGTCGTCCACCGCCCTCGCGTCGAAGGATCGTTTGAGAGAAGCACTAGATCCTCTGTGTGGTGTGTCTGGGGGGTCACCTCTGCCGTGCTTTCCCCAACGAACGGTTGGACGACCTGTTGTTTGGGAACGCGTTACTCTTCTAGAATTCGGGTTTGAATCGGTTGAAAGATGTGGAGAGTCCTGTAAGGGATTGTAATGGAATGTAAAGAGTGGCGTTACCCTGGTTAATATTATAAAGGTATATAAAGCAAAAAAATGATACTGACCAAATTATTAGCTTGATTAAGGTCTACTAAGGTGTCGTCGTCTTGCAAAGGTTGTGGTAGAGATCCGGGAGATAGGTTGAATTGGGATTCAGGGCTTTCCATCGTTTTTGCGACGCCTGATGGGAGAATGTGAACAAGGGGCTTTTCGGAGACGACGACTGCTCACCTCTTTGACCAAGATTTATCCAATGCTGTTACAGACTAATTCTACGGTACAAAAAGGCGTTGAACTGTGTTTTCAAACCAACAGATTTCCTTGCGGGCGAACTCTGGCGCAGGGGATTTCGGACAGGGGTCCTTCGTTGTTTTTTTGCCAAACTACCCCGTTCACACGATCGAACCCTATCCACGTGTTCAACCGTGACGGTCCATGGACCAGGACTCTAATGGACCATCATGATCACTACCATGCACAGCGAACGACGTTGTTAACTCGTTGTGCATCACTCTGCTTGAAGTCGTCTTGCTCTTCAAGCTTCAAGTTCGAGGTTACTCGGTGTCAGCTCTCTGCCAATGAACTTTTACCAGATTTACCAATATAGGTCTCCTCTGCTCTGCTGCAGGTATATCGGGACACTGCTGGGCATGTTGGCGCCTCCACAAGATCCACTCTCTATCTGCTACATTGTCTCAGCAGTATCCGACTGAAGTAATAATTTGCCTTTACCGTCATGTGCCAGCCACCAGCTTCGTTTGGAACTCCCCTTCGTAGGGATAATCTTGACCTAGATTGTATGTTCAAGAATGTACGTACTGTACTGATAGTCTCGTTGACACGGCCCAGTCTTCAGGCAATGTATTTATTCCCAATTTCCGCACGGGCATTCAAGAAAACGACATTGTCAAGATATTTTCCGTTCACTTACCGGTTCTTACTTGGTTCTTTGAATCGCCGTCCTGCTATTTTTTGCTATTAATAACGTTCTCGTCCATAGCCCCACTGGCCGGATCCAACCTGAACAGCGTGTTTTGGTGTCTACAAATGAACAGTGCCTGTTGCTTTCCGCACATCCGCGGCATCGACTGATGGGATGTGTCAACCTTCCCATGGACGATGGAGCGCCATCTGCTGCTAAGCACTGAGGCCCTTTAGCCGTTAACTCATATCAACCAAAGTGACGTTGCCTGCTTGCCAGTCACTTTTCTCGAATGCGCACTTCATGATAAGGTTATCTCTTCAAGGCTATGCACACCCACTCGCTAGAATCATTGTGTATGTTCTCCATTGTTCTATGTCCACATTACTAATGCGTACATTCGTTAATGTAGCAACTCTGAGAGCAATCACATCGTCGGGACCTGCCGACTGATTGTGAAGTACTGCGCTTCGGCATCGCCCCTGTTTTCTCCCATCCGAGTCAATTCGGAAAGTTATTATAGCGTTCCGAATAACGTGACGACTTTCCTAATGGCAATACGGCGATTTGTGTTTTGGAATTGGAATCTAATGGTAAGTTTGGGGAGCCTATCTACTGTTCGGGCGCTCGTGTTTCGCTGACTCAACATAGCAGTTTTCTGGATTTGGTCAAGTATTGCCTTCGCGGCTTTGAAATTCATCTCAATAATCAAGTTGTAATTGGTTGTAATTGAATTCGAGCCGTCAGGACACGCAGCGAACACTGACAGTCACGTCAATGTCGCAATCAATCGGCACCTATGATGCTTTTGGATCCAGGGATCAATTGCGATATCACCCTCAGATCAGTCACCGCACGACATACTCATGCTGCTTGCCACTGGCACAAATCCAGCAAGGCTAGCTATTTGACTAGCATGCTGGTTCGTCCGGTCTCCAGTTCTATTCGACGATTCAATGGCATGACCGCTCACGCAGGTTTCCGCTTAATAATCCTTGGCGCTCCGTCCCAACTATAATGCCATCACTCAAACCTGTTGAATCGGGAATAACTCGGAACTATGTTGGATAAGTGTTAGACAGCTGCGGTGTTTGTGGACCGCGCAGATGAACCATCACATCCGCAGACAAAGCCAGGGCCTTCTATCACTGATCTTTGGTGTATTAAATATGAAAGTTACCGACTGTCGCCCCAAGATCAAGTTGAATGATTCGTACGCTCATTCGAATGTTAATTAATTATGTGGCTATCTGATGGGGCCTTGTCCGCTTACGTCCCTGTGCACACTCGCTCCCGCCAAAATGGCGAGTCAGAAATGATTTACCAAATTCAGCTTTCCGGCGGGCGTTTCCATGATGCCCTGCTCTATGGAGATAGAACAGGCGCTTTAGATTCGAATATCAAGCGCAAAAAGGAAGGTTGAGCGGCATTGTTGATTCTTGGCAAGTCTCTATCCAGGATCACAATGGCGTGCACACGCCTGCCAACCGACCAGTTCATAAATGAAACAATCGATTAAAATCGATATGCGGCGCGATAGGAATGTGATTCCCAGGTAGGTAGTTGTTCATGTCAAGTTGCCATGAATAGATCCTGGTCTAATTTCCCGCAGAAGCCAATATAAATGATACACACCGCAATCAGGGTGGCTGGGGTGATTGAGAAGTGCGTGATTGGAAAGGGAGGGTCTACGGCAACGCAGTATGAATTTGGAAGGTAAGTAGCACTGTTGGTGTGGGGACCTGCGGGAGTGGATTTCCGATCCATATCCATAGATATGAATGTAGGAAGTGAAACTCTCAGGGACGTTCTCGAGGAATCCTTGATTTACGTCGCTCTGCCACCCCTGGCGCGACTGACATGCGGTGACAGGATGGCGCGGAAGCCTTTCCTGGGTTACGGACAGATTAGCTATCGTAAAGAGGTTTCATGCTGCAGGGAGGAGTAAAATTTCAGGCTGCAGGGAGCCGAGTGCCTCGCGTTGGGAAATGACTGGTAGATGCCTGATAGATCAAAGAAGGTAGCTTAGGCACAACTATGTACCTAGACTAACGATATCTCTGTGAGTATAGAAGGCGACGCATGGGATCCCTACCTGTGCAAAATAAAGCGAAGTACTCCGACGTGGAGATGCTATTCAAGAGGGCCGGCGGAAGAGTTGAACGTTCGTGTGCGTTCGTGTGATTTGGGAAATTGTCACGATGGATGATAAGGTTAATGAACGTTCCCGGCTTGAGATCAGCTGGTAGATCGGAGCTTGAGGACAAACCTTAGATCAGGCTCAGCAGAGGGCAGATACCCTGCCAGTGGCACTTGAACCTTGGCTCTCCAAAAGAGCAAGGATTGTCGAAAAGTGTTTGGTAGCCTCGTGCTATGACCACCGACGATAATACTGTGGCTATACTACTTTTCAATTGAAAAGCACCTCATCCAGAGGATAGCCATTAAGGAAAGGTGGTCCCGAGAGATCCATCGAAGAAACCTGGAAATCCCGGCAAAGTAAAAATCAACAATAGTACACAGGTAAGGGAACCCATTCTTCTCCAATGATCGCAAATGAGTTTCGTTAAATCTTTCTCTTGACTCCGTATCACTACCAGGTTCGTCGGCGGTGCAAGGTTTCTTCAGGCTGTGGTACTAAACTTGCAGTACCCCCGTCACTAGATTCTTGGTTTCTGCTCGTAGGCTGTCCCCTCCTTGGCACTCTTCACCTTCATCGCCGTTCAGAACTGCGGTACAAGTTGACACTAGTTGACACTTTTATTGTTCTCCACGCTTCCGACAGAATCATCAATTTGACGAACCACTCACGACTTTTGAACACGACGTGACTCGACTCAGTGCCACTGGCAATTTAGTCGCCCACTCCACAGCCTCGATCGCATTTCCATACAACTTTCTAGGCCTGGAATCCGGTGTCCCGCCGTCGCCCAACGCGCTCCCCGCGATTGTTCCATTCTCAGATCTTTTTCCCCCTCAATTGTAAATTACATTCACAGCCACACGATCACATCCGCTTGTACCTGAACGCGACCGCTTGCCTTGTGCGCGAACCTGCTGATCTGTCGTCCTTGGTATGACCAATAATTTCCAACTCAAATCAATTCCCTTATTTTAGTGTCTCCAGATAAATCTGGGCTCATATTCACTCCAGACAAGGCAAGGCCGTGTTACAACTCTGTCCTTAAAAATTCAAATGGACTCCAATATTCGTCCCTCTTATTTCGACTCTGCTCCTTATCCTTCCTCCCATCAGTTAGCCCCACGACAACAGTCTGGACGCTCGGCGGCTGTCAACATGACAAGCTCTCCATATTTCGCTCGCACGCATTCGCATTCTAGTTCTAGCCCTAGTCTTGGCCATTTCTCCCCCTCTATTCGTTACAATTCGTATTACGCCCTTGCACAGCAGTCGCCACTTCCCCAGCAGCACTCGCCCCTTCCCCAGCCCCTCCCGGACTATAGCCCATACCCGTCGGACAGCTCGGCCGCTTCCGCTGAATCTCCGCTCTCTTCATCATCCGCCAACGAGAGCCCGCTTCCTGAGCCTCCCGTCGATTCGATGGAGAACGACACATCGCATGTTGCTAGTGATGATTATTATCCCTACATCATGACGGACGACCTTAGATACTTGTTCCCGCACGCTCCACGAGCGTTCGCCCTATCGGGGTACGTGGCCGAGAACCCGGAGGTGTACAAGCAGCCTGTGGCAGCGCCGTTGCCCATGCCCTTGTCAGTCGCAATGGGGTATACATATTCACCAGAGGTGAAGAAATTTCAACCGCTATGTCCTCCACCGCAGTGCCAGGATGCGGATCCTCAGCAATACAGCAATTCCTTGTATGGTTCTCCGCCTTCCCCCGCGGCTCATCTCACCCATCCTGCGGGGAGCGATGCCCATGCTTACCGACAGGATTTTGATGCTGCGTACCAGCCGCAGGCGGCCACAAGCTCTTATCATGGTTTTCCGGCTTCAGCCCCCCCAGTATCGCATGCCTGTTACCAGCAGCCTCGTCAGAACATCAAAGTGGAAAGCATTCCCGACCTGATAGCTTCTTATAGCCCGCCAGCTGATATTTCCAACTCGCCCAACGACTTGGCGGTTTATGACGGTCTTTTCGATACAGGTTCGTGCTCGTAGAATGTCTGGACCGTTGTATCTGACATCCTCATAATCAGGTTCACCCCCAATTGGGCAGCACAACACTGACCTCTCGGAACTGGTAATGCGCTATATGCCAAATCAAAGTACTGCGCTGTCGTCGATGAGCTTGCCTGCACTGCCTGCGCCTGTTCCACGACAAGCATATCTTGGATCGTCCATCGTCAGTGATTGTGAGCGCACGTGTCAGGAACAGGAACAGCAACGGCAGGCTTTGAGAGTTCAGACACAGGGTTTGCAGGAGCAAAGAACTGTGCGACCTGCGGAGGTATCACCCGTGATGGGGTACACGGATCTACCGGAACCTGAGGATGAGGATGCTGAAGGCGAGCCGGACATTGCAACTTTTAATCACCATGGGTCCTGCTCCAACGATGGACATAGTTCAGGGAAGGGCCACTTCATGTCTCAGGGCTTCGCACAACAGCTTGGTGAGACTTTGTTTGTCGACAGAGGCAATGACTTTAGTTTGGACGACGAAGAAGATGCCGACGGTGTTGATGAAGTTGGCCTTGACGACAATGATGATTACGGGGCGGAAGAAGTAGAGGATGATGACGGAGACGGCGACTTCGTACCCCACATGCGAACAACGTCAAAGAACACGCGAAGCTTACGTTCTCGATCTGTTTCCGGCAGGAATTCGGCGCGGTACCATCCCTATGGCTCAGGACTCCCACAGCCTCCTGCACCGAAGCGTGCTGCGAGGTCACCTCTTATTGCTGCCTCCACGTTGACGCCAGGCTCGTCATCTCAGGTAGGAAAGTCTCGAAAGAACGCACGGTCCCTCCCGGTTCCTGTCCCGGTCCCTAACCTCACGAAGAAGTCGAGGGGTCGTCGCGTGCCGACTGTGAGTAATGCCGGCGGCAGCGGTCGGCCCCGAGGCTATAGTGACCCCCTCGGAAGTCGGATATATTTGTGCGACATTAGTGGTTGTGGCAAGTGTTTCGCAAGGGGGGAGCACCTGAAACGACACATCAGGAGCATCCACACGAATGAAAAGCGTAAGTCAAAAATTTTCGCCGTGGATCTCCTCGTTCTTATCAATATTGGCAGCGCATAGATGTCCATACCCTGGTTGTGGAAAGGAGTTCAGTCGGCACGATAACCTAGGCCAACACATGAAAGTCCATAAGGATCTTCCCAAGTTGATGGAGAGGATGGGTATGGTGGATGATATTTAATTTCATCCGCTATGATTACGACAATGGCTTCAGGTTCGTCGTTGGTCTGGAATCCCGGAGACGCAGGACTCACACGTTACCGGTATTTTTTTCTGCGGTGTAGTCGGGTTTTCGCCAGGTCTGGCCCTCGCGTCATTTCTTTCTCTTTCTCTTACTCGCTCTACGACCCTCGCACGACTCTCGTTCTATTTCTCAATTCCAGCTCGTCTCCCGCATCCGAAATTCATTTGGCGACTGTCATTTTCTTGTTTCCTACTTTCTTTCCCTGTTTGCATTGACTGGCTCCAGATGCCCATGCTCTGGTTACAATGCGCCCCCATCGTCGCTCGTCGCCCTGGTCGGCTCACGTTTGTCATATGCTTATGATCTTCTCTGCCATGCCACTGCCACTGCCAAAGCACCTACGTTCTCATGACTCTCGCCTCGCTCCTTCGCATCATCTCCATGTCGACGCCTAGGATATCCCCACTATCGTCGCCGTTCGTTCTCGCCTCTCAGTTACCCGAAGCTCTTGTTCTATCCTTAGAGCAGTCTTTGTTCATCACGAAAGACCGCGCCCACTAAGCCGATCACATGCAATCCTCGCAAAATGTTGCCTTGACATCTGTCGACGCTGCCACGAAAATTCAACGCCCCCATGCCAAGTCTGTTGTATCTTATCCCTGCATTCCATCGTCACGTTGTATCTTTATCACTCATCCCTTGCACTATCATGGACGGAATTTTTATTCACCTCTCATCATTCTCGGTCGTATCCTAACACCAGTCTGGCGTATGTAGCCATACATTATGGTTGTAAAGTATCTTACCCCTCGAGTGTTTATTTCGGAGATTTGTTTTACGGGTTTTATTATTGTATTGGTCTTCTTTGGGGAATTATAGGGTCCTTTCGATGCCCTATCGTGTATGATCAAGGCTATGTAACAACAAATGCATGTGTTTTATATCTGCATCAGTTCAAGTTGCGCCGTCCGGCAGCCAAAGTTAGCTTCTCCTTGGCTTCTCTAAAGGTTTCACGGCTCCCGATCGTGGTTCGCAGTGGGCACCAGGATTCATAGAATAGGCATCACTCAGCGGCGCCTTACACATCAAGCGGCGGCTGTACATTTACACGAGGGATTCTAATGGACAGAGCACAGCTGTGTATATTACGAATAAGAGGGCGCCTTTCTTGTACAGAAAAGGACTTACAGGACGAAGTTCGTGGATGTTCCGAACGGAGAATGATCGCAATATATTACTAAACAAGTGAGTGTTAAATAATAACCAGCGAGAGACGGTATAACAGTATACGGCTCGAGAAAAACAGGAAGAGATAACAACCATCAGGTAACAGAGCTATGCATCATCTGTCATGATGGCGAAAAACTCTTGTTCGTTAATCTCTCCATCCTGGTCGAGGTCAAATTCATCTATCATTGCTTGCCTGCGAAATGGAAGAACAAGGGGTGAGCAAATTTGGAACTCCACGAACAAAAAATCAGTCACTTGGGAAATAGCGGTGAAGAAAAAGCGGAAATGCAAAGGAAGGGAGCCGATGCAGTAACGAGCACGAAAAAGGGTTGCTGGGACGGAGTGCCTACGTGCCTCTCGCAGACCTTGCGCCCCAAAACGAGAATGAATGGGGTTTACTCACAATTCATCATCTTCCAATCGGTCACCAATTTCTTTTGCAACCCGTCGAAGATTCCGTAGACTAATCTTTCCTGTGTTGTCGTCATCGAACAATTGAAAGGCTCGGCGGATCTCGTCCATCGGATCTCGCGCAAGGATCCGTTCGCTCACTAGGTAAACAACGTTAGTACAAGGGCGCACAATCACGAGAGAAGTTTGGGTTGCTGTAGGCGTGTGAGATCCGGTTTTATCAAGACCCCATGATGTAAAGGGACGCGTTTTAGGTGATCTGGCGCGGACTCGTCGCTTGAGTAGCATTGATGAAACTGAAATACTCAACTGATTTTTGCGAAATCCTCAAAGTCGATGAGACCATGACCACTCTTGTCATGGTCTCTTAATATCTTCAGTACCTCTGCTTTCTTCATGTCGAAGCCGAGGGCGCGCATTGCGACCTTGAGTTCGTGATAGTCCAGCGAGCCATCCTTGTCCGTGTCGAACAGTTCAAAAGCCTCCTTTATCTCTTGTTTTTGTTCTTCTGTAAGTTCTGGACGCGTGTGTGTGCGTCTTTTGGCTTTTTGCGCGGAAGCAGAGTACATGGCGAGCGGATTGAGTGTAACGTTGAGCTCGACAGTTTAGCGGTGGCAATAATATTGATGTCTGTTTGACATCGACGCGTGTGGGACCCCGTGCACCACCACTATAATTGTTTCAGTCAGTGCAGCTTCGTCGCGTCCACCCTTTGTCCGCGAGGACCGCAGCCCTTAGGAGTCATTGCAAGTCACAGCGACAAAGTTATTATAAGGTCTTGTGCAAACTCGGGAGGCCTTTACTGACCTGCCTATAACACAGCTCAGAAATATTCAGTAGAGCTATTCAGAAGATGACTGATTGTGATCGCTGTTACCGCTACTTCAACTCTTGGTCTGCTTACCACCAGCATGTCCGGGACTCTTCTAATCACTGGGAATGCGAAGATTGTCAAATCGACTTTGGGTCTTGGCTGGGGCGCAAAGAACACTACGTTCAGAGCCCCGACCACGACTACTGCCAGTATTGCGACGTCCATTTCAACTACGCGTCAGAGTTAGAGGATCATTACGAAGACGAGCATGCTTACTGTAGATCTTGTCGCAAGGTCTTCAAGAACGACTTCGGCTTGCACGAGCATAATCGGCAGAAGCACGCCGACGTGTATTGCATTGCGTGCAAAAGGCTCTTCCAGGCTCCGAGCAACCTTCACTCTGTAAGATTTACTCCATTATTGGAACTGCGCACAACCTGACCTAGATGAACTAGCACTTGAATTCTAGCGTACACCGCCCTAAAGATACTATATGCCCCTTCAACGGATGCGGCATGGCGTTCATCAATAAATCCGCCCTCATTCTCCATCTTGAATCTGGCTCGTGTCAATCAGGCGTAAACCGACGCATGGTTGACAACTGGGTCCGCACCAACGATCGCTCTAACATGATTACCAACCCAGCTCGGCTCATCACTGCTGGTGAACGTGCCAACGTGTCACTTATCGCGACACAGCGGTCGTGGAACGGGCGGGCCTTTGAATGTGTTCTTTGTCACACCCAGTTCAAGGCATTGACAGACTTGAACCGTCACTTGGCAAGCCCTCGTCATCAGGAGAAAGTGTATCGGTGCCCTCTCAATACCTGCCAGACCCACTTCGCCTCCCTTAGCGGGTTGTGCCAGCACATCGAGAGTCAGCGTTGTGGTGTGACGAAGTTCAGGGCCGTCCGAGACGCCATGGACAATCTCTTCTCCGGAGTAACCCGCATCGCAATGTAACATGGTAAGTTCTACATGATGAAGATCCATAGGCTATACCTGACTCTTCCTCTTCTTATTCAGCCCTCGTGTTGTCTGCGTTCTTTCACATGCCATATCCACATGGTTTCGTCACAGACAATCAGTTTCTATTCGTTTACTATACATTTTTCATTCCAACATCACCGCCTTACCTATTCCCAGTCACTATCTGCGTGCCTTAACATCCTTTTTGATAAATCTATTATGATAGTCTTTGACAACTCTGGCCAAAGCAAGTTTCTTGCTCCCCTCAGTTGTACATGGTAGTCATACCTTACATACGTCCTTATTCTCCGCGTTTCAAATGCACCGTACATGAATCATAATCGAATGATAGTGGGTCTCGTAATTCCGTTTCTGACTTCCATCCTCACTGTTCAAGCGGAAGCCCAATACTTAAATAAGCCCGAAGGTGTTCCGCAATCATCCAGTCAGCGTGAATTTCAATCCTTGTTCTCATGCATCACCATTTCATGATCCTGCCCTTCATTGTGCTGTTCATATGCCAGGAAGTCATCGCCAACACGGAAATTATCAACTTCGTTGCCGCCGAGGAAAGCAATGTTGACTTCTCGTCCACCACGGTTGACAGTTGGTAAGTTCGAACACGATGCTTGGAGCAGATCCTGGTGTTTTGACGCAGTCCTGCGTGCAGGCCATTGTTGAATTACAAAAATAACCAGGGGCACTGGAACGTAGATCCCGCTCTGCTCGACACGCCTTTGCAGCAGGTATGCGAGTCAAAGACAGGCATTGATCCGGCAAACCCCTTCTCATGCTCTCATGAGCTCTGGGTAGCGCTGGATCTCGATGATGAAAATTGGATGTCCTATTCAAAGTTTACGCTACGTCTATCGTGGCCTGCTTCCGTACGTTGCACGCTTTTTCATTATGTCCCAAGCCCAATTCACGTTTGTTAACCATGCGTCACTATTACAGTCCCCCGCGGATCTTTTGCTCGAAATACACAGTCCACAGGCGATCTTAACCCGTTTGTATAAACTACCGCACCAGTCAACGATAGATGATGCTTCGATCACTACGCCGCATTTATCGCGCACGGGCTCCCCCACTACTCGCCTCAAGTACGCAAGGATACGCGTCGTCGATACTGGCATACGCGCACCCACACCTGATGTTCCTGCATCGGCTACTCAAGCGATACCATTTATTCTCGTTCTCGAACAACTCTACCTGGGCGTTCTACCGGCTTCTCTCCTTTCTACCGTGTGCTTCCTTATCCCCGTTCTGTCCTGTGCGGCTCTAGCCACACCGTGGATACTTAGTTATCTCGATCATTTCATACAGCAGGCGAGACAGGAATTGCGCGATTTTAGCACAGCTCAAGAAAAGAAGGAACATTGAGATGTGTTAGTCGTGCGGTATACATGCATTTTTCTCGATGCTGTGGCGTTTCATCTCGACAGGGAGGACGATCCAACGTTCGTGACACAAATATTGCTATTTTATGCTCGGCTCGCCCAGGAGAATCCATTTCATACCGATAGATCGAGCTGACATCTCGGTAGCTAGACTACAGCGATTGCCTAACCAAGAAATACACTGTCTGTCTCCATCAAAACCAAGACTCCGTCACGGGTGTGTGATATCAGGCAACACTTTCCAGCTCAACAAGATGAACGGCTGCAAACCACGCTAGGATGATTTCAACTCGTGGGCCGTGCAGTGGTATGTTGAAGTTTAATGGCTTCTTTTTGTTCCCAGCTTTGGCTTTCTCCGCTGCAGCCTTCTCAGCACGTTCCTTTTGCCTTGCAGCTACAGGGACGAGCAATATTCGGGCACAATCCAATGCCTCTAGAAGGTCCTCACGGCTACCACTGAACGCACTAGAAGGGGTATTTCGTCCGTTGGTGGGCAATGAGGAACCCGACGGGATTTGACATGTGTTTGAAAAAGATGCGAAACCAGGGTAAGACTCTGCGTCCGCAGAAGACGTGGACATGGTATCAGTTGAGGACATGGGCGGTGAGGGGGGCGGTGGGGGCTCAATAACAAGCCGGTTTATCGCCTTCTTGCCCTGTACGTATGAATGGGGTTGTACGCCCGGCATCCATCCACTAGCAAGGCGTTCGAGGACCTCGATGAACTCGGCTTGAGCCATCGACCGTGGAGGTAGAAAAACAGGGTATCCCTCCAGTCCATCTACGACGACTGCAGTCCGCGAGAATGTGGTGAGCAGAGTGGGTAACTCGGCGAGCATCAGTTGGCAAATAAGGATACTGAAATGGGACTCCACAAGTAAGGGATGATAGGTGGTGAACATAGGCGGGAGAATGGAGTCGACGTGCGCGAGGCCAGCAGCGGTTGACGTATGGATATTTGGGCGCACCAGTTCGGTTAAGAGGAAGGCAACCTCTACCCTTTTGGCCAGATCTGCTTGCATTGGCGCAGGGCCTTCTAGAGTGTCAAAATGAGCGAGGAAACGTTCGTGATCACGCAAGCTCTTCTTCAAGAGCGAGTGAATGTTTTCACGAAAGCCGTCATCTGCCAGAATTTGCCGGTATGCCTGGGCTTTTGGGCCATCACTGCGCCCCAGCGGTCCATCAGGATTCCCCATCTCGACTCCTCCGTAGCGACCATTGGAGAGGTAGCAAAGGCGCATCTCAGCTCCATCAAGGGATGAATTAACCTTGCTGACGCCCTCGAGCCGCAATACTGCAGATTCAATGAGGTACACAGCATGCTGCAAATGCGCTGCCCCCCGCAAAAATAATAACTGCGGTTCGATAGGGTCTGGCGCATCTGGCAAAACCGAGGGATGCAAAAGCAAGGGCTCCCCATTGATCCCCTCGCCATGGGTCCCATTCGCAGCCGCACTGGTACCACTAGGGGGCGCCTGCCCGTTACTTTTATTGGAGCCCTTTTTCTTTTTGGTAGCTTTCCCCCGAGGCTCGCGGGAAGATATTAAATCTTGATGCGCGGCACGCGCTTTTCGCGCAGCACGAGTCTCTCGTAGGGCGTAAGTAAAGTCCTTTGTTGCCAAAGAATACTCGTCGCGGAAACAATGGACTATTCCACGCGTCCGATGATATTCCAATCGTTGAGGATGGGCTGCAATCAACTCATCAAGCACTTGCGTTGATGTAGAGTCCGCAAGTTGCCTATTGGAACTAAATTTAAAAAGTTAGGCAAAGAATCATAAATGCACTGCACGAACCGGGAGGGAATCTTTTCATGGAAGAAATGCACATATTGTGCATCAGCGTCGGTGGGATCTGCGTGTGAGTCGCAGCGTTAGCGCTGCGCTCTATTGAAAAACCCCGCTGATGGGAGCCTCCTGGACATACCATGCTTGAGAACTTTTTCGGCGATATCGTCAAATACGCTCCCTCCCTGCATTACCATGACGCTACTGGCAATTTCATCCGCCTTGTATGCGGCCGCAAGCTTCTGAACAGCAAGGGCTCTAAGTCTATGCACACGCATTGCGCTCATAGCAACATTCCTGCCTCCGCCGATGTTATTCGAGCCGTCAAAGCCCAGTCCTTGAGCCGCAGCCCAGGCATTATTATTATTTGGTGTGCGCATAGAACCAAGAGCGACGGCTGAGAGACCTGAAGATGCGCGTACGGAAAGTTCTGAAGCCTCATCGATGAGCCTTCTAATCGCTGCAACGTTTCGAAAAACGCCAGGGTCAATCGGCGGCGGAGTAGCTTTACCCGGGGCAGGCAGGGGAAACGCAACTGACTGCGAGGTCGGAGCATAAGGTGTCGGCAATGTAGTAAAAGTGCTACCCGGTGATTCTGGAGGAGTGTTATCCTTGAGTGAATAAAATATGCGGTCGCGGTCGCGAGGACGTGGTGACGGGCGCGACTGAATATTTCCAAGTGAAACCTGAGACGAATAAGCAAGAGCAGGTATCTGCGTCTCCGACGTAGACAGCGTAGCAGGGTCAAGATTGAGGACAAGCAACGACTCCAGCAACTCCAACGGAAGTTGCAGCCAAGGGCCCTGGTATAAGACGCGGAGGATTAGTTCGGCCGCCTTGGAGAGGTAGGTGGGACAATTACGTGGTAAGAACTGATATATTTCCAATGCTTGTTTCTACTAATGCAGAGTACGGAAGCCCGCTCGAAGTCAGGTGAAGATGCTGCCAGTGATTTGACCGGAGGAACATCAGTTTCATGAGTCTTTGGCTTCTTTGACTTTTTCTTCCTCTTCTTCTTTTGGCTCGCCTCCAAGGGTAAAAGGTCGCATGTGGGTGAAAGTCCAGTCGAGGAGTTAGTAGTAGCCGAAGACATTATGACCTGGGCAATGCACTCTATAGACTCGACTTGCACGCCATTCGGCAGTGTGGTATCGTTGTGAGAAATGAAATCCATTTCCGACGACGAAAAGCCCTGCTTGGATATCGTCCGCGACGGTCTGGATGAACTTGTCTGGGGCTGGATACTAAGTAGAACAGTTAGTCGCTTGTCAGCCCCAACGCTCTCTTTTCACCAACTTAATCAAGGATTTCTTACTTTAGAATATATTTCTCACGGGTGTTGATCAACCATGTACGCTACAAGTTTAATATTTAATGCTTGCAACTCAATCTTAGTCCTGCGGCTTCATGCATAACATATGATCTCAGACAAATCTCAGATGCAGTTCGCGTATTCAATATGTAAACGACCCTTCGCAACGTCTTGCTGGTAGCAATGATTGTCGACTTTGTTTGTCTTCTAAAAACAAACGAACCAACTTCCTTCTGTCTCCTGCCACAAGGAGCGTGCATCACGATCACCAAAATCTCGCCAATCTCGCCAGTTGATGGCGGTGTCAAGTCACAGAAATCCTTGATTAACCCTCAATCCAGGAGAATGAACTATTCCTCCGAGCGCGTTACTTACTTACAGGACGAGTATGTCTGCATTTTTATTCACCCATGACTTTCATTCTTAATCTCGAGGTTTCATAGCTTCGTCTTTGACGAAAGATACGAGTCTAATTCCAGCATAAGACTCCTCTCTCGGATCAAACTTTCGCACTGGAGGACGTCGCCAGCCGCCGCTCGCGTTGGCAGTGCTGGGCATACGGGCTTCAAGCTTCAAGCTTCAAGACTCACAAGGACAGTCCAACGCTCATGTTATGGTTGACCTCGACGAGACAATGTCCGTCCCCTACGTATGTATCTCTTTCTTGAAGCAAAGGTTGAACCGCTTCATGCATGACAACACATCGAGAAACGTACTAAGCAGGGTCAGCTGTACTCAATCCTGCCGTTCCTCACCGATCACCTTTTATTCGGTTGGTTTTGGTGGCGCAGTTGCGTAATCACTAGCTAAAGATTTTTTGTGTGCGGAGCACGCGCCGAGGCCTTGAAGGGTCACCGATCACCGCTTGTCAGAGATAGAAGCCTAACTCCACTTCCGCTGTAGACGGTGAATTGTTACTCATAACAAGTTTTAAAGATAACAAAAACACCCCAAGCGCACGTCTGCAGGCTAGTGGTTCTTCATCAAGGCCTTGCGATTCCTGGCAGACTTCCTAGTAGGTGACTTGTATTGGCGACTCTTCTTAGATTTGCCCCGGTTTCTCGCCAGCGTTTCTTCCTCAGCATCGCCATTGGACTGATCCACCCTGCCGTCAGTGGTGTCTCTTTTTCTCTTGCTAGCCAGCGGTTCCTCGCCGTTATCGCTCCGTTTGAATTTTCCTGCCTTTCGGGAGTCCCCTGGTTCTTGCGGCAAAAATTCACCCGGCTGATTATGGCACTCCGCGCGCTCTTCTTCCTCGAGTGCCTTCACCGGGTCCTGTAAACATGTCCAACGTAAAAATGAATAATTGAGCGGCCTCCGCGTTTCACGGCACCCACATGACCCCAGTTTTTGAAACTTTGCCGACATCAGACTCAGCGTTACGCCTCCAATGCAAGTAAGAATAAGCCTGACCTTATGGTACTCTTTGTATTGGCGAGCTCCTCCTTAGTTTTGGTTTCCTTGAGATGATCCTCTTGCACCAGATGTCGGCTATTGTAACTGTGTGGGCGTCAATCCCATGGTGTCCCACGTCCGAGCTCATCTCTACTCACCCCACCACCTTGCGCATGTGATCCAAATCACCCTAACGCGGTCAATTTCGGTCACGAATGGGGAAACTAATATACCACATACCTCTTCGTACTTCCCTGGGTCCATGTCCGGGTTCTTCTTCAGGATATCCACTATCTTAGCACCGCTCACGAGACCTACTCCCGTTCCTGCTTGATGGCTCTTATCCGAGGCAAGCCACGGTTCGAGCTCGTCGGGAGTCATGTTGATTTGCTCGTTGAACTTGGTAATAGTATCTTCTTTGGATATGCCCATGGCGAATTGAGCTGAGATGCGATGAATCAAGCTGCAAAGTGACTTGGTTGAATGATGTTTCAGTGCTTGGAATTCAGACTAACTACGTCACATTCCACTGCTCCATGATAGCTCGGTGAGTTTCTCGGTATCCGGTTTCGTATTTCAATCTGGTTTAGCGTAGTGGCCGTTATTTAACGCCTTCTCATTCACTTGTGCCCACACTCTCGCCACTATTTCGCCTTATCATCAGGAATGTTACCAGAAATATCTTATCTGAGACACGTTTTTTGAAAGGCAGGCTGCATCGTGCCCATTTACTCTCGTATGATAAGCACTTTTAACCTAATAATTACAAGTCCTGCTGACTATAAGAAGGGCAGTGTTCCCGTATCTCGACCCCCAGTAGCCTATCGTATATCAGCCTCAATACTTCCGTGCTCCGACCGTTCTATCGATATGGCTCCTTCAGCCTCACCTGCGACCGCTACGACGGTCCACACAGCCGTGGCAGCAAAGCCGACCAAGTTTAAACACCCCCTGGACCCCTTGACCCCAGATGAGGTCAGTGATTGGCTTTCTGCCTTCAACATCATCTCCTCATTCCCTCTTCTAGATCAATGCAGTGTCGTTGGCGATCCGGCTTCATACTACCGCAAATACGCCAATCAAGGCCGTTCGCTTCATTACTTGCACTCTTATTCCGCCTCCGAAGAAGGCTGTGCTTGCGGCACTAGGAATCCCTCTTACACCGGGCGGCCAGCCCGAAGCGCCAACTCCTATCGTCAGGAAAGCCGAGAGTGATGTACGTAATTTTGATTCTGTTCACGCTTTGTTCTAACACAACATACATAGTTCTTGGACGTGATCAACGGGTTCGTTGTTTTCTATAATGATCGTGTTCGCACGACAACTCATCGTAACATAGGGGCACATATAATGCCATCCTGTCTTTTCAAGATGGGACATGGAATGTCGATACCTGCGGGTTAGTCGCAGAGGGCTCAGAACCTCAGATTTCTCCCGAGGAGCTCGCTTTCTGTGAGCACGTTGTGCGCAGAGATCCCACGGTTCAAGCCCTCGCGAAAGAAGTTGGTAAGTGCTGACTTGCTTTGACCCGAGATTCTGCTCACTGTCTCATAGGAGTGGAACCTGAACAAATCTATGCTGACGGCTGGGCCATCGGCTATGATGACCGCTTCCCGAAGCATACTCGCTTGCAACAAGCTTTCGTCTTCGCTCGTTTCTCTGAGCATGAGAACCTCTATGCCCACCCCATGGTTAGTACTCTCCATTCAATTGGTGAATGTTTTGACTTAAGCTATTATAACTATAGGACTTCGTCGTAGTCATCGACTCCCTTGCAGAGAAGGTTGTCCAGATTGACTTCCCGCCGACCTACAAGAGGGCCAAGGATGGATCTGCAGTGTTGGGTGTCTCGACTACAGAACCGTGTCCATTGTCCGAAGACTCTTTCACCGAGTCCAAACGAGAGCGCATTCCGCCTCCTCTCAAGTCTTTCGATTTCCTACCAGATCTCCTCCAGGAGTCGGACTCGACTCACAAGCCTCGTGATGATATTAAGCCTCTTCACGTTCTCCAGCCCGAGGGCGTATCATTTAAGATGGATGGCAATGTTCTCGAGTGGCAGAAATGGAAGATGCACATCGGTTCGTCATTTGCAATCCTTAGCCTCGTTGTTTAATATAACGTTCATGCAGGATTCAGCCATCGCGAGGGTATTGCGCTCTCGACAATTACATACAACGACGACGGCGAAATCCGTCCTATAATGTATCGTCTGTCGCTTGCAGAGATGGTCGTTCCATATGGTGCACCGGAATTCCCCCATCCTCGCAAATTCGCCTTTGATAGGTGGGTAGTCTCCGAATAATTTTAGATGAGTATCTCAAGTTATTCTAGTGGTGAATATGGTATGGGAACGATGGCAAACGAGCTTTCCTTGGGCTGTGATTGCCTCGGACAGATCCACTACCTCGTACGTATCCACGACTATCACTCCGTGCGATGATATCTTACTCATCTTCGTCCAGCCTGGCGCATATGTCACACACTCTGGGACTCCATTTTTGATCAAGAATGCGATATGTATTCACGAAGAAGATGCTGGTGTTCTTTGGAAGCACACTGATTATCGTCCCGGCGGCCGTCATCAGACCGTTCGTAGCAGGCGTCTTGTCGTCAGTATGGTGTGCACACTTGCAAACTACGGTACGTACACTGGGACGCAAGTTTGGCATGTGGTGGCTGAGGTTCCCGTTGTCACCAGAGTACATCTGGAACTTTCATTTCTATCAAGACGGTAACATTGAAGTTGAGATCCGTCTTACCGGAATTCTTCAGGTCTATGTTGCTGGCCAAGACGAACCCAACCCTTACGGTACGACTATTGCTCCGAATGTCAACGCACACAACCACCAGCACCTGTTCTCCATTCGGGTCGACCCGATGCTCGATGGCCTCTATAACTCCGTCGTCGAGTCCGACGTTGTCCCTCTCAGCGCCCCTACTGGCTCAAAAGAGAACTTCGCTGGCAACGGCTTTGTTGTGAAGGATAAGGTGCTCAAGTCTCAAGTGCAAGATGGCGCACGCGACTTCGACTGGGCTCGTGAACGTCGTTGGCGCATTACAAACGAAGCACGGACGCATTATGCATCAGGCAAAGCCTCAAGTTATAATATCATGATGAAGGGAGGTGTGCTTCCACTTATGGCGCATACTGACTCCTGGGTTGCTCGTCGTGCTTCGTTTGCTCACAAGACGTTGTGGGTTGTAAGAGATGAGGAGGGTGCAGATGGTAGCAGGATGTGGCCTAGTGGAAAGTACGTCCCACAGACGCGTGAGGAGCCTGAGGACTCTGTTGGCAGATGGGTCAAAGACGGAAACGGAAGCATCGAGAACGAGGACATCGTGCTCTACCTGACTGTCGGTGCGTTATATCCTAGCTCACATTCTTTGGTCAGTGGATGAACCATATTCCCACCTCTTTCGTAGGCACGACTCACATTCCTCGCCCTGAGGATTGGCCTGTGTGAGTACCACTTACTGCATAGAAGAGTACGGCCGCTTAACCCTCCTTAGCATGCCAGTTGAGCACGTTAATTTGCTGTTCAAACCTAACAATTTCTTCTCGAAGAACCCAAGCATGGATGTTCCAGGAACAAATGACCCGATGAGCAAGCCAGCCTTCAATGGAGCGAACAGTGCCAACGGAGCGAACGGCACGACCTCCTGCTGCCCATATTAACGTGACCATTTTCTTGGGTTTGCGTACTCGAGGGACACCACTGTATAACAAAATTTTTCATCGCTATCGACCCCGTGTATCAGATATCTCGAGTACCTATGATTTCTCGGACAAAGATCCGAGCGTTTAATTTGGTTTCAATTTGTATTACCTATGCTTACTTGGACAAAGTTCCAAGCTCTTAATACGATTCACTGTTGTCGTCTTTGATCTAGCGAGAATGAGGGGGAAATTGAGATTCGACAACAAGATGGACTTGCCTTCAGTAGATATTCAGATATGAGTGTTTCGCGCGCGGAGCGTGACCCGCATCTTGAAGTCCTTTTCAAAAACTCAGTCCTTGCATCGTCGGTCTTCTTGCATCTTCTTCTAATCTCCACACTTGTTTCTGCTGATCCGCACTTTGAACACCACCATCCTCAGTGGATTCTGCATCGACCGCCCTCAGCGTAGGCTTTACACCGAGCGATGCGCATAATGCCTTGTATCGTGATCGAATCTGGCGCTGCAGCTTCGAAATATCGATCTCTTCCGTGGCACCAGATGCTACTGCAGCGCTAGAGGGATTTGTTTGTGGGAACTGTGATATGAGATCAAGTAGATGCTTGATGTGGTGTATTGCGCGCCTGCAGCAATTCAAGGTCATTGTGATGCAAGAAACATGCAGATGAGTCTTGACGTACTGGTCGTTGTGGCCATGCTTTGCATATATCGCTTGCCAAGTGGTAGCAAATCCCTCATAAAATCCAATCTCCTCCCATATCTCGAAGCCCTTCTCGCGTCCGAGTGCTCGACCTTCGATCAGCCCATGAATACGTCCATGGGCAAAGCCGTCAGTATACCCGGCGTCGTAGAACCTGAGACTTGCTCTTCAGAGGGATCTGTCAATCACGAAAAATAATGAAGCCAACGTCTGTTCCAGGTGCACGAGTGCTTCGAGGTCAAATTCGTCAGCCATGTTAGCTGGAGGATCGACGATTAGATGACTGCCTGATGATGATCAAAGTTGTTTGTTTATGCGAAATGCGAGGGACACAAGATGCTTCATTTCGTAATCATAACTGAACATCGTGCAGCACGATGATGGTTCGGCAAATAATTTGTCGGTCCTAGCAATACGTACGATGCTCATATTGATTGTTAAGGCATATACATAATGTGCTGAATCTACCTCCCCCATAGTGCATAACAGAGTCTTGCAGGGTATACAATAATATCAAGCTGTAGAGTAACATAAAAAATGAAGCGAGCGAAAAATTAATGAAACCACTCATAGCGCATTCGCACGATCCAACAAGCCCCTAACGCGCCTGCTAAGTCTCTCGGCCTCCATCTTCCGATCAAGGACTTGCTGAGCGGGAGTAGCCTTCCTCCGCATCCATATCTTCCCACCTTTGCAATCGCTTTCTGCTCTCTTTGCATGAAGAGCGGATAGATCGACAACACGAGGTGATGAAGAGAATTTGATGACGTCCCGGTAGAGAACCTTGGTTTCTGTGGCGAGCGAGCGAATGGTTGGAGGAGCGGGTGGGAGTTCGGTGTCGGATTCGTCTGTGTCGGATTGGCCTGAGGGGTCCAGTGGGGGTGTGCGTACACGACTGACAGGGTCTGGGAGGGGTGGCAGCGCTTGTATTTCTTTGAGTAGGTCTTGCCCTTTGAGATACGAGTTTTCTGTCCGCAAGAAACGGACTGTGCCACGAAGAGCCTCGATCTAATTGGGAGTCAGAGGGGTAGTAAGATGGCTTTGAATCTGTACGGACCTGCTCTAGAAGGTGTGATGTCTCCACATTACCCTCCATGGGTATATTCTCTGAGTCAACAGGTTGTGCGCCAGCAGCTAAACACAGGAGTCACCAAACCATTCAATCAATCCCGATAAAAACAAATATACCTTGTCTCTCCGAACCCGCAGCCAACACCTTCAGTTTCGCATTGTCTTGCTCGAACGTATCCAGGTCTGCCTGCAGCTGCTCCATTGCCTCCTCGTACGCGCGCTCCTGCTTGCGCGCTGTCGAGAGCGCAATTTTAAGATCTTCAATGGCATCCGCTTGCTTCTTAGCCGCTTCCATGCGTCGCTCCATGTGCTCTATCTTCACTCCAGACTCCTGTATCGTTTGATCCTTCGTCTTGAGGCTCCGCACAAGTCCTTGGATTTCTTCCTGCAGCTGTGCAGCTTTGCGTTCGGCTTCGGCATTGATAGCCATGCTGGCTCTAATTTCCTCAATTCGTACGACCCATGGTGGCGTGCCGGAGACTTGGTCATCGTTAGCATGATACCCACGCATATTAGAGTCGAAGGAAGCCTACTCTTGAATACGCTCTCTGGTTCCATTGCCAAAGGAAGTAACTTATTGCACTCCGCCGATAGCTGAGCAATAGCTTCACCAACTGCTTCGAAGCATGAGGTTCCATGTTTCATGTCCTTAGCGACAGTAGATAGTGCGGTTTGCTTGGCATACGACAATACTGTTGCAAGCTGGAATGGAGCCTTTGCGCTGCGGGCATCACTAAGGTGTGGGATTACTTGTTGGGCGAGCTTGAATTGGGAAAATCAGCAATAATACTCAGAAAGCTGTTCAGAAGCACTTACAGAGATACCAAAGTTGACTAATTCGGGAACTGCATTGCTGAGAGTCTTGAGCTGTGGAAGGAGATGGGACTTGAGTGCCGAAGACTCCTGGATGACGTCGTCGAGGCGCTTCGTAAGTTTCCTGAAAACCACTCAGTAGATATCCTCAATGCAACAAACCAACTTACTTGGACAGCACTTTGGCACTCTTGCACTGCTCTAAAAGCTTCTGCAAAGGTTCAATCAGCTCTTCCTCGGGATCATAGCCGCCCATATCGAGGACGACATCTGTGATGTAGTTTGTGTAAGCGATGTCGTGGCGGCAAGATACTATGTCACATACCCTCGTCATTAAGAATCACAGCAACAGACGTCTTTGTGAGCCCAATAGACGCGGCAAAGACATCGAGATCGTGGTCATACGAAAGTGCATATCCAAGCTCGCGTTCGCCCAAATCCTGTTCAAAGCCATCGAAATAAGTCTCTGCCAGGTGGTCGAATTGGGCTAGCATCCTGTGTCAACAATAAGCATTTCTCCTTCGTTGGCATGAGAAGGCAGGGAAACGGAGGTAGTGAGGTATGAAGACTAAACGCACTTGAGTACGTCAGTGACGAATTCCATCTCCCTAAACTCATCCCGTCGGAGAAGATCGATGTGCAGATCGATGCGCTTCTCCATTGGAGCAATTTCAGGGTATATGCGCCCGATATTGAGGAATGACGTGGGGTCGCACCGCTTGAGAATAGTAGCGAAGCGTTTGCAGAGCGTAGAAAAGGACGCGGCACGGCCGCGCATCTGTTATGGATGAATGAATGGATGTCACTGTTGTAAGCTAGAACACGCAACGCACTTCGCATATTCCGACAAGTGTTTCTGACACAACACCATTGAGTGAATCGGGTAGGCCATGAGCCAGTCCCACAATAGTGTTGATGAGATCGGTTTTGTACCCCAAACGCGCAAAGAAGAGATAACAATTTGTGGCGTCGCTGTCGGACTCGACGTATTGTTGAGGCAAGTAAGGCTGGAAAGCGAGAAGTTAGCCGATAAGAAGACGCAAGTCGTGGAGACATAAGAACGAGTGAAGAAACAAAGGAAACCGAGGGAGTAAAGGGAAAATGATGGACAGGACGAAAAGAATGAAGCAAACACGCAAATTGAAGGGAGATAGATAAATGAAGCCATAGATCGACGGCACGGCAATGCGAGAATGCTTTGTAATTATAAATTCATATTCGCATTGCTTACGGACGGCTTCTGTTTCCTGAAGAGGAATAGATGGGGCAACCAATGAAAGAAATGGGGGAGTGTGTAGAAAGAGTAAAGCAAGGATAATGGACAGAGGAGGGTAATTTCCCAAGCAACAGAAAATGAAGCCCACCTGGACAATTCCCAACAATTCCCCCCTCTCCCTCGCCTCCAGCTTCTTGATCTCCAGCTCTACTGCCCTTGCCTGGTTCTTCGCCGCTGAGGATTGGAGTTTTAAATTCAGTGACATCATCGTTGCCGTCTGGTGCGCAGCCGTAGCAGACTCGTGCTGCGCTGTTTGTGTCGCTGAGCGCAAGGAGTCGAGTTCCCTAGTGAGTGGATAAGCATCTCCCGCGAATGAAAACAACAAAAGAAGGTAGGAAAACGCACCCCTGCATATCTGCAACGACTTCCCTAAACCTCGCGATTGTCCCATCTGCGTCTGACACTATGTCTTCAAGTAGTCCTACTCTAACCTTCTCCTCTCTTAGGTCCTTCTCGCGCTCTAAAATCTCGTCTCGGAGCTCACGCTCGACTTGAATATGGTTCTCTTCGAGTTCGTCTGTGAGTTCTTTGAGGGCCTCGAGGTCTTCGATTGTGATACGCTGTTCTTCGATTTTCTGGGAGAAAATGAGCAAGTTTGTTCGACATAGAGAGTTTAAATATTGGAGTGTCATTGTGGGATGGACAGTATTTTTTTAAAAAGGTGCCCCAAAAGGGAAGGGCAAAGAGACCACACACCTCTGAAAGCGATAAATTCCGTTCTGTCAGTTGCACGAGCAAGTCTTCAGCTCCTAGTGCGTCGTCGAGCTGCTGTTGTAGCGACGATATTTGGGTTTCCGCGTTAGAAAGTTTAATGAGTGTTTGTTCATACTGGCCTGTTCATGATGTAAGGTTAGCATACATTCGAGGGAAGTTAAAGCGACACTCGTGTGCAGAGGAAGTTACAGTCGAGATGGTAGAAACTAAAGGAACTTGCCTTGAAGATCATCAATGCTTGTGATATCTTTCTCCATCTCCGCTATGCGGCGGCGCTGTTCTTGTTCCGTCTCCTGCGACATATCGCGAAGGCTATTTCGATTTACACATCATAAAAATTTCAAGGTAAGAAGACAATAAAACGTACCGTATGAGTGCTTCCTTCAAACGCTCGTTCTGCTTCTCGAGCTGGATATATGCGAGTGATGTCTTAGCGTTTGAATCACCATCTCCACCAGATGCTACAAGAAAGTATTCATCAGCCAAACCCCAAACCCAATACGTTACACTAACCACCACCCTCCTTCATTACCCCCAGCTCTACTTCAACATGCGCAAGCCTTTCCTTCACCTCCTCCAGCTCCTGTTCTGCCAATTCAGCCTTCTCCTCTGCAACCTCCTTATCCAACATTGCCATTTCCAGTTGCTCTTGTGAATCTGCACCCCTCGTCTCGCCCAAATTCGCAAGTTGCTCTGCGTCCGCCAATGCGCGCTTCGTTGCAATAAGTTCGGACTGAAGGGATTGTAGTTTGGCTTGAAGTTTAGGGCGCAGGGCAACGAAAGACTCTGCATCTGCGAGGCGAGTTTCAAGCTCTCGGATGTGTCGAGCATCGTCTGCGCGTTTCGCCTCAAGGACGCGTATTTTCGCGTGCATGGCAGAATCTTCAGTACGCTAATATTTATTGATTGAAATTAGCGAATATAATGGATATATGCTCTTGGCCTTACGGTTATGGGTGATGTAGGCTCATGTGAGGGAACACGGGAGATGGAAGGTGACGGTGCAAGTTTCGTACCATTTAGAGATGGACTGGAGTCGATTGGGGCGGGGGGTTGCAGAAATGTATGTGCGACAGGTGAGGGCGGTGGTGGAGGCTCCACAACTGCATTCTGTGGTGGCAGGGCTAACGGGGAGGACGTCCTTTGCACCTGGACGAGAGCCTCTTGTGAGGAGGATGGCCCAATCCTAGGGGTCTGCAAGGCGGGGCTCAGAGGTGCCGAAGATTCCGCGGGTAGTTGACGGGAGAAGGATTTGCGAGGTTGGAGAGTAAGGGATGGGATGCGCTTCGCAGGAGAAGAAGGGGCTGCAAGGCGAGAAGTGCGTGCGCTGGCTATGGCAGAGGCGGAAGTGGAAGGCGTGGCCTTCACAGGACTGGAGGAGCGGGAAGAAGACCCTGATGCGCCATTTGAACGCAGTGAAGCCGCACGTGAAACACCGGTACTAGGGGTGCGTTGGTGACTCATGACTGTCCGAGCGACGGTTCTCTATGAACACACGCCGGGTAAGGGTGGCTCTGGCAATACAACTTAATAGACTCACAGGAGGCTGCGGTTCAGGCTCTGCATTTATTACCTTGACCTGGCTGGGACGAACGAATACGCCATGGTTTGGCTTGCATGAGAAATAGGTGAGGCCTTGGAGGCTTCCGTCGTTCTTGCCCTTGGGTTCGGCAAGCTCAATACCAATCCATTTGCCCGCCGAGAAAGACGTGGCGCCAGCAAAACGCACAATTCCACGTCCCGCTGAAACCTCGACGAGCGCACCCACTGGCGGGTCCATCTAGAAAATAAAACGAATGAAAGTACTTAACGGTAGAGGTTCTTGTCACGGTGAGCAAGCTTGATGCTAATTTCCAAACGCGTCTGCATCACCGAAACAGTCCATGTGTCACGTGTCAAGAGGTCCATGGACCACGAACCTACCGAAGGTATCGGGCAACGAGGAAGATCTGTTATCACGTACTTGAAGGCTTCTACTTACTCCACTTTCATGCAAAACGGTCGGAATGTCCAAGGTTTGTTTTAGTTCCTATGTTTATCTACATTACATGATGCAGTTACAGACCTCCTGGGGTTCAGGGAGCGACAGGGCTCAGATATGGGCTCGGATGTCCTCACGGAGCGCGCTTGGGGTTCTACCTCAACTTCCGATCCATCGTCGACGCGCACAACAAATGGTGCTCATGGACTACGAACAGCATCAGATGCGACTTTGCCTGACCCAACACCAATCATTCCATACTGGTCTGCAAAGCGTCATCTCACATGTGGTAATCCTGCCCCTCGTTCATCTTCAGCACGTCTCTTTCCATGGCGAGGAAGTGCACCCGGAAAGCTCAAGACCGCAAATGCTGCTCTCGTGCTCTGCCTGAACATTGATGTCGACCCCCCAGATATCATCAAAACTAATCCCTGCGCAGCACTCGAGTGCTGGGTCAACCCTCACTCCCTCCCATCCCATAAGGCTCTCGAAGCCATTGGATCTAACCTACAGCACCAGTTTGAAGGTCTGAGTCTCAAGATTCCTTACAAACCCATCCTCGACCCCTCCTATGAGGACCTCCGCCGTTTCTGCATCACTCTTCGTAAACAGGCGAAAGACGAAACAGTTTGTTTTTACTACAACGGTCACGGCGTCCCGAAGCCCACCCCCAGCGGGGAGCTTTGGTGCTTTAACCGGAATTATACCCAGTACATTCCCGTCTCGCTCATGGAGGTCCAGACCTGGCTTGGCAGCCCAGGCGTGTACATCTGGGATTGCAGCGCTGCCGGGCACTTGCTCTCCAACTTCATAACATTCGCTGAACGTCGGGATCAGGATGCGTTCACCACCCGTGGGGGCTACGCAGACGGCATGCAGCCGTACATGAACTCCCTTCAACTCGCCGCGTGTGCTTCCCATGAACAACTTCCAACATGCCCAGAGTTGCCAGCAGACGTCTTCACGTCATGTCTGACTTCCCCCATTGACATCGCACTGCGATACTTCATCATGACCCACCATCTCCCTAACAACATCACCCCCGACATGGTCATGCAGCTACCAGGAGACCTCAAGGACCGTCGGACACCTCTCGGCGAGCTCAACTGGATATTCACCGCTATTACAGACACCATTGCGTGGACCACGTTCCCTCGGGACGTATTCACGCGGTTGTACCGCTCGGACCTTCTCATTGCAAGTCTCTTCCGAAATTTCTTGCTCGCAGAGCGCATCATGAAGAACTACCACTGCACCCCCCACACACACCCTCCACTTCCAGCCACAAACACGCACCAACTCTGGGCAGCATGGGATCTAGCTCTAGACACATGCCTGCGCCAGCTGCCTGAGCTGCTTGCGAAGACGACGCCGGGCGTGTCCAGCAGTCGTCCTCCAAGTCCCGTTACTGGCACAGGTGCGCGCTCAGGACACATAGGCCAGCGCGGGTCTTCTGGTGCTCCGAACACCGAGAAACCCTATCAGTATATCCCGAGTCGCTTCTTTACCGACCAGCTCACTGCGTTCGAGGTGTGGATTTCACGCGGTGGCTCAGCACTCACAAAGCGTGGTCCTCTTTCCCTACCTCTCCAGAACGGTGGGGATCGTTGTGACACTCCTGACGTGGTGAACGGAACCACCGCCCCCGATGCTGATCTTGTCCCGCGCAAGCCCCCCGATCAGCTCCCCATCGTCCTGCAAGTGCTGCTCTCGCAGCCACATCGACTTCGAGCGCTGATACTCCTCTCCCAATTTGTGGACCTCGGACCATGGGCCGTCAACCTTGTACTTACCATTGGTATCTTCCCATACATATCCAAGCTATTACAAGCCGCAGGCCAGGACCTGCGCCCAGTATTGATCTTCATATGGGCGCGCATCCTCGCAGTAGATCCCAGTGTTCAGGTCGACCTATTCAACACGGGAGGGTTCAAGTACTTCGCGAATGTGCTAGCGACGCAGGAAGACAACGAGCTGCCAAACAGCAGTGAGCACAAGGCCATGTGCGCGTTCATTCTCAGTGCCGTCGCAAGAGATTTCTATAACGGCCAGATGGCATGCTGGCGCGAAAGGGTATTCGACGCTTGCTCCGAGCGTCTAGAAGAGGGCGACTTTTTGCTGAGGCAGTGGAGTGCGTTATGCATCGCGCAAATATGGGACTCCAATGATGAGGTCAAAGTCTATGGTGTCGATCGTGGGATACAAGACAAACTCATTCTCATGCTATCCGACGACTCGCCTGAAGTCAGAAGCGCAGTCCTGTACGCCCTGTCAACTTTCATGGGTGCGGCTGGAGGCAAAGGTCAAGGTGGTTGTGGCACTGGGACTCAGTATCAGCTCGAAGAGCGCATTCACTTCAGGATGGAGGTGGCTGTCGCAACTGGAGCTACCCTTGCTGTGAGGGATGACGCAAGCCCGATGGTACGCAAGGAGCTGCTCGTCCTCATAAGCTGCCTCGTGCGCGAATGGCGTGGGCACTTTGTCGTTTGCGCGTGGATGTACTGGGAAGAGGACCGGCGATGGCGTGCAGGTGACCCGTATGCCCAATCTCACCATGTAGAAGAAGAGGTCACAGCTCAGGCACTTGCTGAATGGTTGGACGGATTTGGTGACGACGAAGGTGCGAGGGAAGAAAATCGGGTGTTGCTCTCAAGCTTCTTTACAATTTTCGTTGTGCTCATGGAGTTGACAATCGACCCATACCACGAGGTCGCGACACTCGCACAGACAGTGATGGACTACATATTTGCTCTGCTCCTCGCATCACCATTTGCGAAGCTTAACCTCGTTCCACCACTACCTGTGGATTACAAGCCCGCTGGTGCAAACGGCGTGCACTCACGCGCGGGCTCGGCACAAAGCTCACCACTGATGCAACGCCCGCCCTCACCGGCATTGTCCCGTCCATCAAATACACTCCGGCGTACGTCTTCCTTCGCCAACACACTGCGTCATTTTGCCGGGAGCATCCCTTTCCCCAGCAATGATGAATCACGTGCCCCGCCAAGCCCTGTACCATCTTCGCTCTCCCGTTCTGACGCCCTCATTGCTTCGCGGCCCCCATCACCCAACCTCAACGTCGCACAGTACGCTTCGCCCTATTCACGTCCGCCAACGCCGTCACGGGATAGAGACTTGACTTCGCCTCCTGTTTCGCCAATCGCAGGAACTGCCAACTTCCTACCTTCACATGTTATGGAGGCGCTTGTGGAGGAGGATATGGTGCGTCTGCGAGCACGACGTCGGGGAGGAGCACATGGACGACGTTCTGCGGGCTCAGGGCTCGGTCATGGAGGAGGCAGTGCCAGTGGTGGCCTCAACAGTCCATGCGAGAGCACTTTTTCTATGGACTCGAATGTCAGCAATGTACCGCTTGGCTGTGGGACCGGGAACGGGCTGCGTGACGTATTGCCCCTAAAGAGCTCGTTCTTTGCATGGTGTTGCGAATACTTTACGGAGCCACAGATGCGGGTACGTGCGCCACATTACATTCGCGAGTTCTAGATCTTGATACTGATTGTGCTCGTTGCAGCAAACGGAGGCGGACGAGCCAGGAAGCGTGCAGTACAATTATCAAGTGTGGAGGCAGCAGCGAAATGAGCAAGTTATCGCGGAGACACAGACACAGGCAATAGTTGCTGGTGCGTGATATGTCTCAATATGATGAGCGCATCCTGACATTGCGTAGAGAGCTCGAGATGGGATCGTCCCGTGGCTAACCTGCACGTGAATAGTCATCCGTTGTGCATGGCCATGCACGCGTACGACCCCCACCTAGTTATCGCGAATGATACCGACATGATCAGGTTTGGGTGTAATTTATTAGGTGCTGAGATGACCCTATTGACGCAATCATATCGTAGTGTTTGGGATTGGACGCAACGCAAGCGCTTGAATTACTTCTGCAATGGTAATCCTAAAGGCACGAGTATTACGTCCCTACACATCATCAATCAGGATGTAGGGGGAATCATTATGACTGGTGCAGGTGAGTACTTCACTCTTTTGTAATCACAAACACCTACTATTCGCGCAGCCGACGGAATCGTGCGTCTGTACCGGAATTACGACCCCACGTTGAATCAGGGTCCGCTGCAGATGGTCAGCTCATTCCGTGCGTTACATGATCTGATCCAGGTGCGGAGAGGCAGTGGCCTTGTACTAGATTGGAAACAATCGGGTGGCACGCTGCTGATCGGAGGCGACTCTCGTATCATCCGAGTATGGGATGCCCACACGGAGACCCAAGTCCTGGTGAGAGGGCAGTGCCTAGTAGTGAAGACTAATTACTCACGGCTTTCAAAGGATCTCGATACGAATTGCGAGAGTCCTGTGTCGTCCATCACGTCCGATCAGGGATCGTCGTCCACGTTCATTGTTGGCTTTGCCGATGGCTTGGTCAAAGTTTTCGATCGTCGATTAGAGGAAGAAGATGCTATTGTTAGATCGTATCATGACCATCACTCATGGGTACAGAATGTTAAATACCATCCGCGCATCAGCGGTCAGTTCTTGTCGGCCAGGTGAGCTCAAGCTGTGTAGTATATGCAATGGGGCTCACATAAATGCAGCCTCGCTGGCGAAGTCCGTCTATGGGATTTAAGAGGCTCTGATACAGCAGCTCAAGCTTGGGACTTGCACCATGCTGGCTTGTCCACGTTTGATGTGCATTCACAGACGGGCGTGTTTGCCACGTGAGTGCGATCATTGTGTAGCAGAGCGGTTGGCTGACTATGTTGCAGAACATCCGCCCTTACTCCTGCTAACTTTAGACACCAGCGGCTCATGGTACACTCTATCTCAGATTCATCGCCGCTCTCCACGCTGAGCCTACTGACGGGCCTGAACATGTATCCCTCTCGACCGCCATCGCCTTATATCCCTAGGCATACGTCTTTCGCGTTCCACCCGATGGAGATGTTGTACGCTGTTGGACAGCCGGATGGTTCTGGTGCGTCGCAAGTGTTACTCAAACGCGAGCAAAACCCCTAACTATTCCTCACATTATGTAGTCAAAATCACCGGATGCAAACTCACTTAAAGATTGTTTGTGCACGCACACACCTCGCTCACCATCGTCATATTATATATTGACCCTGTGCATTTTTCTGATTTTCATTGCTTTCTGTAAGTCACTGGACTTACGAACGCCCATTCTTTTACAAATGTTCTTAAGTCTCTCACGTGACCAGTTCAACTAACGCGTCTCGATAATCAGATCTTTCTTAACTATTACCACTACGTCCTCGTGTATCCCCAAATACTCCAATCAGATCACTTCTCTTTCTGTCCGAAACTCGTTCTTCAGAGTAACTCAGCTCACGACGGCGATTTTCCACTTTTTCGTGAACTTCGACAATGCCTGACTCTGACTGCACACGTTCCCGCAAGTAATCTGCGCGCCGAGCTATATTACCTGTTCACAACTGCTATCATCTAGGAGCCAACCTTCCGTATCGCAATCCATGACCGCACCTGAATTTGATTTATCCCCTGCCATCTCCTTACCTATGTCTTCCCCGTCACCGTCTCCCCCTTCTGGAGCCACCTCGTACTTCTCGTCAGACCGATATATGTTTCACCGGTGTGCCTCAGTGGTACTACATGTGTATTAAACATAACCATCAGTAGCCTGGCACCGGAGATTATTCCAGGCAGCGTTTGTATACATTCTTGGCAGATTCAAGCATTCCTCTCAACGGTAAGTCCCTCATTCAACTGACCAGACGTGAGCTTGCAATATATTCTGCCCTTCTACATACTGACGCAGATTTGGACAGGCACATCTTTTGCCCGTATGTAATCCGACTAAATGCACGAGCTCTTCATAATTTAGTCGCTTGCGCCATATCATCAGATCGTCCCATTAGTCGACTGGTGTATCTTTGTCATGACAGTTGATCGCAACTTTGATAAGCTTACCTAGGCTTTCTGGTCACATCGAAACATACTTCAAGGGGCAATTTCGGCTTTACCTTTGGTAGCACCGACAACCTCGGCGAACTCAAAACGGTAGTATCCAACACCAATCCCTCAAATTCCAAATAAACCGTCCAGTCCAGTAAGTAGAATTAGCGAGGACGAGGACGATGATACGACGCGGAGCTCAAAGATATAAAGTGAGTTCGTACTAAATGAAATAAGGAATGAACTAAGTCGTAATGGGTGTGGTATGATATTAATCAAATGTCCAAAGGCAATGGCATAATCTAAAGCGTCAAAGCAGCGGCCTGAGCGTACGACAGGCCCTTCCAAGTGGGGGATTCGGGGGCAAGAGATATGAATTCCCAAGGCTCATTGATCTCGATCTCGTGTCCAAAGTCATCAAGAGCAATGACCGAACGGACAGGCGGGAGGACCTCAAAGTCGACATCTACGTAGAACTTCGAGTCAGCATTGTCACGAATGGATCTTGCAACACCATACCTCGCGCCTTGGATAGTTTCTTGATCTTGAACGTCACGAAATCAGCAAGCGCCATCTTGGAGAAACCAGAGTTGTTCCTCGGCACTGGTGCGACATTAACGGGACGTCCCAATGCAGCGAGAGGACGAGAGTCAGGCTCGTCGCCATCCCAGAACTCCATGCTGGCCCTCTTGGCAGCACGGCTGACGTGCACTTCCTTGAGCGCCGGTGCTCGTACTCTCGCGGCCGCCCTCTCCTTGCGCTCGTTCACCTGCGCATGCTCCCGCCGCTCCTTTGTCTGGTGCCTAGCGCGCTCGTAGGCGCGCTGATCCTTCGCACCGATTACGGTGAGACGATTGTTCATCGTCTCATGCGATTGCTGGGGGGATTTCTGGGAGGATGTGGTAGACATGAAGGGTTGAAGCTTAAAGGACAGTGTCTCACTTATATAGATAGGTGGAAGCGATGTCCCACGGTGGCGGCGGCGGCGGAAGCATTGCCTTGAGGGTCAGGGCATCACGGCCACTGGCCATTGTTTGAAGAGGATGATAAGTAACTAGAATTAGCTCACAGCTTTACCAAGGAGGCTACTGCCAGTGGCCAATGTCGTCACGACCGAAGGCACTGCACCCAAGATAGCGCGAAACAGGAAACTCCGATCGTGTACCGTAATCACGTGATTAATTACTGACTGGGGCACTAAATTCTACAACTTGGATGTCTTCTTCTACTACCATTACGATGGCGATTGGGTTCTTGTCACTTCCTACGGAGCTCATATGTTATATTATCTTACCCCCCAAGATCTCTATCGTTGTCCAATGGTCCGTTATTTCCCGTAGTTCCATATTTCCATTTGGGCTAACTTCTGGCTTACGCTAGACCCGCAAAACCTTTTGGGATGCGAGCTGTAATTCTATCCACATTCAATACGAGCTTGAACTTTGTGCACAGGCCTTCACCGAGACCGCTGCCATGGACTCGATCGGGGTTTCCAGAAAGATGTATTCACTCAAGAACATCTTGATGGCAGTCTGAGCTCCATATGAACATTATTTTGAAGCAGGGGTCGCTGGTGTCTCCACACATATTCCAGGGCCGCTTATTACACACGAACAATTTGTGAAATGTGGGCTTTGGTGGGTGCTGAAATCTGAGAGGGGAGGGGTTCTTCATTCGGGACTGCAACACAAATATCAAATTCTCCCGGATATGGCCCCAAAACAGCTTGTTTTCTTAAAACCGGCTGCTGAAATCGTTCATCGTTGACTCTCTGCAGGATGTTGCGGTCGCTGTCTCTTTGCCTCATCGTATCATTACGGTGGCCGATGCCAACAAAATCACCATATCTTTTTGGTCAAGTTTCGGCTGGCTTTATCCCCTGAGCGTCCGCATCTAGACTCCGTGTGCACTTCCTTGGAGTGCACCTATACCTTCAATGAACCTGGCGGTTCCCGTGTTATGCTTATGCAGACAATTATTGCCATCGGCTGGAAAGGCTTCACAACCTTGTACACACTAGTATGGACATATCAGCGTTGCCCGTTCGTCTGGTGGGATGTCGAGTCACTGCCACGTCCCGATCAGTGCTAAATGTTAGGTCATGACGCCGCCGGCCATTCTTGAATACAGTCAGTCGTCTGGTAGTCCCGGCTGCCCACAGTGCAATACTTAGACTCGGAGATATCTTGTTTTGGAATCTCCTGGGCTCAACGGCACGATTCTGCGCTATGATGGGAGTTAGCGGCGGGAAGGCCCTCGATCCATTTCTGGTGTTTTCTGGACGTCGTTCTTTTGGATGGCTTGCATTCTGGTCCTCCTGTTTGTCGGCGTAGAATATCCACAGACTGGCAATTGCGATGCCAGCGATCGCCGACGCACCCAGAAAGGCAAGTCTAGTATTCCATATCCAGTTGAAATCCATCGCTGAGGACTATAAAGTCAACCGCCCGCCCGTCCATTCAGTTCCAGCCAACTTTTCTCCTCGACGTCCTCCGACTGCATCAGCTCAATATTAATATCGTCGACAGCTTAGCGTAATGTCTTCTCCAGGAGCCTCTCCGCGGGATGTGGCCCCGCTCATTCCCTCCCCGCTCGATCCACGACAGTCTTACCACAGTTTCGCTGTGGTTTAAAGACAATATCCACACGATCCTGAAGAAATACGCACCGAATTACCCTAGGCCGCCTGTTCCTGTGGACGTATTGCCAATTCACACTGTATGCATGGATATATCGTGTTGTTTTGTAACGAGCTTCACACACGTGTACCATAACAAATTTAAAGTGTTTTATCCGGTCAGACTGACATGACACTGTATCTTCCGTGTCCGAAATATTGACCTCATCTCTTCGGGGCACAGCCACAGACAAATTAGGGATTCGTACGCCGTAGAAATGTTGGCAGTTATGTTGTCAATTCCTTTCAACCATTCTTATCACAGCCCCCATCACTCAACCCGATAAAAAGCTCAGATAAGATCCACTCATTTTTAAGTTGAGCACAAAAGCTGCGTGATAGAAAAAAAGTGAGTTGTCAAATTTTGGTGGCCGCAGCCTTCTCATCCTCTTTAGACTCGAATTGAGTGTCGTGTTAATAGCGACAGTTGTCCAAGCAGGGGGCCCATGTTATTGGTCTCTCATACACTTCCTACTACCTTACCTGTGTCAGAACATCACCCGCCAGACGTTGACACCCCTCTATCCTCGATCGTGGATATAGGATCCGGTCCTGTTTGTCGTGAACAAATGCCCTCTGGAAGGGCTACCTTCAAAGATATGCCAGAGGAGTTGTGCTGCCATATCCTCAATTTCCTTTCATTTAACTAAATTATACGATGTGCTTCGGTGAGTCATTCATTCATTCCTGTCCTTTGAGTTATACAATTAACGAGCTAGGGGTGAGATACAACGCCTAAACGCACACGAAAGAGAAGAGAAAAACATGGAGTGACTTCTAGCAAATGAACTCAGGACCGATCTGAGGTGGGATGACGGCGACCAAAGAAAAATCCGCAGCAGCCGCAGCAGTTAACTTCATAAGACGGGTCTCCCGTCCCACCACTTGGGGCTTGTGTTTCTGTTGGTCGTCCCTGGGACCCTTGTACCACCGGCGTAGGTTGACCTGGTTGCGTTGAACTGTCGGCCTCGTTGACATTCGTGCGTTGCATAGCTGCTGCAGCTTCCGCGTCAGATTCAGGGACAATACCGTACCTCTGCATTGTGTTTTGTGTTTCAATGGAATGAAGGAGAAGTGACGGCGAGAAAACTCACGTCTTCATCACGAGCAGCGGGTACATCAACGGTGCGTCTGGATATTCCTACAGGAATTAAGTTGAAATTCCAATGTCGGGGCTCGCGCGTTGTTAGTCGAGGTGAATTTGGAGGTCGAGTACGGAAACGTAGTGAACCGAACAAACTATGAAGGACAGTTGATGGGCTCGCAGGCGGAGCTGGCGCGCGATTTGTGTCGTTGGCGAAGAAGTCTTTGCCCTATATCAGTGTCAGGCGAGAAAGAGTTCAGGAACGAAAAGCAACACTAACATATTTCGCCGATCCTTTGTTACTCGCGTGCTGTTTGGAGAAAATTGGGTGTGAGGAAAAGTGCTGAACAACAAATGAGCGAAGGACAAGGTTAATCACAACTGATAGGCGCACCTCTCTCGGTCGCACTGGATGCCTCTAGGAAAAGGTAAGATCGAGTGGGAAAGAGAAGAGGAGCAGGGCTGACTTGCCTTAGACTTCGCGTCAGGCTTTGCATTGGCATCATCCACGCTCTAAACCAGAACCGTTAGAAACGTGTTGAGGCGCCAATGCACATAGTACGCACGCCAACTTGGTTGCCACCCCGCTGATTGAGTGCTGCCTCCATGCTCCAAACATAGACTTTTGCGTCTAATCCACCACTAACGATGTATTGTCCATCACGGGATATGGCAAGAGTTAAGACTACGTCGTCATGTAAGAGTGGATCTCCGACTGGCTGATTGGTCTTCAGGTCCCAAATGCGAGCTGTGCAGTCATTCGATCCGCTAACAAGATGGCCTTCATCAGGTGCCAGACACAGGGATCTGACAATGTTGGTATGACCCCGAAGAACGACGAGCTCCTCTCCATCAATTAACTGCCATTTTCGGATGGTGCAATCGCCTGAGGAGAATATATATGCGCCGTCCTTAGACCAACACAATGACGTCACCGAGTAATCATGTCCCTTGATCTCGATGAGCAACTGCCCGTCCTTGGACCACACGCGGATTATACCGTCCGAACCGCCGCTCATGAATTTGTCGCATTGCGGAGAGTATTTGACCACATACACCCAGACATGACCGGTCTCTATTGGTGTCGCTATTTGCCGGCCAGTATTCGGATTCCAGCGTCGTATGGTGCCATCTTGCGATCCACTTGCTATCTCCGAGGCATTGGGGGACCAATCGAGGCACCTCACTGCATCATTGTGCCCCTCCCACGAGTCACCGACCATGATGCCCTTCCTTATGTTCCACAGTCGTAGTCTACCGTCTAAACTTCCGCTCACGACCATTGTTTCATCCGGAGATAATGTCATTGAGTCTATCCCCCCACCATCGCTATCCAAAGGCTTTCCTACTGGCTCTCCGTCCCTTTTCCAGTGGCGAATCGAACAGTCTTCCGACGCACTCAGTATATCGCAACTGGTGCCCAAGCAGGCAAGGCTCCATATGCATTCGGAGTGACCCTCGATGATGCACTCCGGCACCAAGCTCTCTGCCGGACGCACTGGCTTTGGTTTCTTCCAGGATGTGGTCCGACTGTTGTGGTTGACGAAGTAGGACCGCCCGAGTGGCGAGATGTGCCATTCACATCCATCAACCACGAGTTGTCCAGGGAAATCTATTCTCAGCCATTCAGCCATGAGTTCCTTGGTCCTAATGGCACGTTCTTCGCTCACCTAGTCGCACTCCTGGTAGAGGTCGGTTCAGTGAAGATATAGTAAGCGTGTCGTCTTGATATCTTGTTGCGCCGCTCAATACCTGATACTGATGCCATTGAGGGGGGAGCGCCTCATTCCCGCCTGCTTCTTGATGGGTAACTCAATATGTATCATCATACTGTTGCTCACCTTCCCAAAGAGCATCCTGGCGGCGCTGTGCACCATATGGTGGTGGATACTTCGCTCCCGCTCGAAGAGGTGCAACACGTGCTGGCGAGTCTAACAGCGCTTCTCTCCGTCTGGCTGACGTACTTGCCTCGGCCTCTTTGCGGGGCATGGCCAAGAAGAGACGATGAGGGCAGGCACGGGAATGCGTAAATCAATAGTCGAGGGCAAGGAAAGATGGTGATGATGAGCGGATCTGCTAGATGCTCAGATTTGCTTGCTGTGGTTGGAGGCAACCTTTGTGAGAAGACTTGTTAGCAGCAGTGCTTCGAATTTCGATACACTTCGGTTTGTTCCGTCTGATAATCACTTGCACCAAATCTGTCAGCGAGCGCTAAGATATGGAGTATGCTTGAGCCCAGGTTCGACATATATCGAGACGCCTAGACCACCAGTGAGAGTGCTTGGGGTATCTGAAATATTTCTGCGTTACCAGTAACTGTCAGCATACTAGTAGGGGGTTATCTATCTGACTGTCACAAATACTCACCGAGGTCGGCGATGTGGGAGAACGCGCCCGTCTGGCAGGCATTGCGCACCATTTCCAGCAGTTTAGGGTGTTGCTGTAGTGTTTGCGATATATCCGTTATTGCCATACTTTTCATGACAAATTTGTCCTCGAGGCCCCCACGCTGGAGCAAGCCCCGAACCTTAATGATAATGACTGTGATGATAAAGGAAGCGGAAGCAATCGCCGCTTTGTTTTCGTCCCAGCAAGTCAAATCCGACTGGGCAATGAAATTGATATTGTGACGGCCACAATATTCGGGCACAGCTTGATTGAGCTCATCACGTTGTTCCGATGTGTGGCAGGGATCGAGTCATATCGGTGACATGGTCCTGTCCTTGGTCGGTTTTTATCATATCCGCTCGAATGTTTTTCACGGATATTCCTCCGACGTGGTTCGATGTGACATCAGAAGACGGCCACTCAGTCCCATGGTCATCTTGGGGTCCACAAAACTCTCGTTTCTTCCCTGGAACGGGGTTCAGCGGCGAAGGTTCGGGTTTGTTTGGTGTTGGAGGATCCCGTGTTATATGGGTGTATCCCGTCGCATACGGAAATGGTACATTGTTCCATTTACACATGACCGACTTCAATCCCTCCGCCGTGGCGCGTAGCATTGACAATGTATCCAGCAAACCTACAACGTCATCGCTACGTTACCGGTCGGACGTGCAGGTGACGACATACCTCCCTTTTGTGGAGATGATCCGCGACCATGTTTGCCGTGGCTCCCTTCTGAATATCGTACTGGACGAGGAGAAGATGGCGATCATTACCAAACCTCCAATTGAGTCTGTGAGTTCATTTCTGTCTGTCCGGCTCACGAAGTCAACCATCTCATTGAACATATCAGGGGTGGAGAATGCAGATCGACATTTTTGAACCATAGTCTATTTCTCATCGCAGTCATAAGCGTCTACGCAAATAATAAGATTTTTCAAGCCTTCCGTCAATAAAACTATTGCACCTTAGCCTTTGTTGGGCACATCGATGAACAAAATCTGATCGTCATCCACTGGCACCCATCTGCCGCCACTCACAGCATCAACTGAATACTTATGGATGTTACATAGACCAAGGCCAACCAAACGCACCTCCCGCCCCGTCACAGGCATACGAAATTGTGAAGTCACGGCACTTTGGGGAAAGAGTGAGCTGATCATGGTAAATGCAAGCGAGCCAGCATCAGCCATAATCGCATAAATATCCAGCTCCACCATCAATCTGTTCAGAGGCTCTGCACATCTGCTACGCATAGTCTTGACGTGAGCATTCCCTGATAAGATATCTTGTGAGTACTATACTGAGCCCGCCCAAGTCAGGTTCATCACCGCAGGTCACCGCATCATTATTAGTCGAAGTCTTTTCTTCTTCAACCATGACGACGGCGGTTGGGTTCTTGTCTCATCCTATAGAGCTCATATCATATGTTAATCCTCCTTACCGTGACGGCGTGACCTCAAAGGACATCCGTCATTGTTCAATGGTCCGCTATTTCTCGTGGTTCCATGTTTCCTCCTGTGTCGCGTTAGCAGACACAAAATTTAGCGGGGCATTTTTGCTTAAAGTCTGCGTGCTCAGCGAGGAAAAAAAATTGACTTGCCCTTTAGAGAGGCTGCAATAGATATACCGAATTGGATTTCGGAAGTTCCACTGGGCGCCGAATACACCTGATAACCAAAATCGAACAATTTCAATGGGTGAGCTTTTGGCGACCGAAAACCTTCTCGTCATGGGGGAAGGATAACATTGGCACGAGCAGCCTTGGCATGTAAAACTGTGCATCCTTCGGTACGGGGCCCGTGGACAGGTCAAAGAGCTGAACAGGTGAAATCAAACCAACCTGAATTCGAGGCCCGGCTTCTCCGAGTCGCCGTGCCGCCCGTGCCAGTAAACCAACAAACGTAAACAGTCATTGTACGCCAATCATTCAAGTTAAGGTTTATTGATTTATTCAAGGACAGCACAAAGATCGCGGCTCAGAACCCGTGTTTCAAGATGCTGTCTGGCAGAGGCTGCAAGTGCGTTGCTGGTCTCTCAACATACAATCAACATTCATTTTCGCCTACTGCTTCTCAGATATTCGTGGAGATCTAATACTTTTCACATTGACACCACTTCAAGTTGTCGCGGCTCTAGGGAAACAACTACATGTGCTTTTTATTGCTAGGATCTCGACCTTCGGTATGGTTCCGTTCACTATTCTTATCTACTGCGCTCATGACTCGACTCCTACAACCGACACGGAGCTTTTACTTGTTCTGAATAATTGTTTCCTTATCTGCAGAATATCTACCAACTTTTACTTCGACGGGATGTACCTCGCGCTCGCCACTGCTACTAGACTAGTTTCGGTATCAAAAGCGACTCAAAGTGAAGTCCTCGGACCTCATATAATGGAAAATCTGGGCAAGCACCATTTCTAGATTTTCCAGTTTCGAGATAGCCGCATCATTTCAACATGTCCTTTGAATTGCTACAAACACCGACCTCGAATGCTGTGCTGCAGAATATAGGGTTTTGTAGCTTACCCTGACGATATGCCGCAAAAATAAAACCCACCAGTTACTTTGTGAGTACTGACCCGTGACTTCTCGAATCACTTTTGACCTTTGTCAGACGATGTAACGGCATAAAACGCTGACTCTGATGCCTCATTCGTCTGGGGCTGGGGCTGCCTCTTGGCGAAATATGTGACACAGTTTTAGCGGAAATTTACAAAGTAGTGGGCACTCACGAAGTGACCGTACTACCGTATACGGCCCTGGTAGAATGTGTCTCAGCGGATCGAATACGGCTTCAGCGAGGTGTTCGTGTATAAAAAACAACCGTTGAAATGGTCAATTTTCTTAATGAACATGGAGTCCTTTCTCAAAGTTGCATTGATCCTCTCGTCTGCTATCGCGCAAGAAATAACGTTCACACCCCCAAACGTCCCCCTGAGAAAAGAGATTGTTTACCAAACATCTAATGAGTGGATCTTCAATCTGCTTATCACATACGGGCTCCCGACTTTGAAGGTGAGTGTTTGTATTGCTTTTCTACAACCCCTTTTACGGAGCGATGCGCCAGGCAAATTACTGGGCTGGTTCTTTTGCAGAAATCGCTACCATTGTCTATCGCACATCAAACTTCAACTCTCTTTCCGCGGTACAGGCCATCGCACAATATGCGGTCGGTCTAAGTATCCGTAATACGCCCATCACTATCTCTTTCGTTTTGGGCACCGCATTCGCTGTCATAGGGTGTCTCATCCGCCGGCAGTGTTATCGCACCCTCGGTCGCTTTTTTACATTCCAACTCAGTGTCCGCGAAGGGCATCATATTGTCACAACCGGACCCTACGCGATCGTACGCCATCCATCCTACACATCAGGTCTTATGCATGCTATCGGCGCGCTGATACTGCACGGATCACCTGATTCATGGCTTAGACACTCCGGGGTTTTAGATATCCCTGGAGTCAAAACAGTTGTGGTAACATGGCTAGCGGGAATCATACTTCTTATGACAAACGGCTTGTTCAGGGTCAGCGAAGAGGACGAAATGCTGAAGAGAACTTTCGGAGACGAGTGGGAGAGGTGGGCGAAGGTAGTCAGGTACCGGCTGATACCTGGTATCTACTGAACACAGCGCGCATGGCGCATTACTTAGTGTTGTGCGACGGGTCTATTGAACTCTGCGCCGTTGAATTCCACGGTATTTACCATACTGTATGACGCTGACACCAGTAACTAGAGACATGTAGTGGATTTTGTGTCGTGCTTTATTTCTTATGTCTCCCCCCCCCCCACATGATTGCCATCACTCGTATATATACATCGTTCGATTATGTTACACATTTTTTGGAGGACGAGTTCGAATCTTCTGTCTAATGCGAGGTTTTTTGATGTTGTTGCCTCGGTGTTTGCTTCTAGGATCATTCAAAGATCACCAATGGCCACGCCAAAGTAGACATTGGCTCAGGTGTTCCTACTGGCCAGTCTGTCTCTTCATTACCTGATGTTGCAAATGTCACTCTGACCCTAACGTTTCGTATCACTATAACCACAAAATCAACGTGTTTGACAGCAAAATGGCGAACAATATCGACTTACTTTGTTATGGTTAGGTGTTCTTACTATTTGTGAATACAGTGATGGTTTAATGTGATCAATTTGTAGGCGAACACTGATATCCAGGTCGTTTCCCCTGTCCAGACGAATGCCTCCCGGACCTCACAGACTGATCTTGTATTCCCAGGTAGTAGATATGTAAGTTACAATATGAAATTGATACACCTCTTCCTGGGATACGCTATAGTTAGCAACATGTGCCTCCCAATAGTTAGTATGCTGGGAAATAGGAATAGAAAAGAGAGCGAAGACCCGTGCATGATTAGCAACACGACGAAATTTGCAACCAATTTGGTACTGACGAATATAAAATCAGTTTGTTCCTTTCCGATGTTCCTCACGAACGTTTACCTCTCGGGCTAATATTATGGCTTATGACAACCTAAGCTCTTCCATTCCTTTATCAATGGTCTGGGAGTTGAAAGGAATCCGGCTTCGTCCGAGTCTAGATGAAGTCCCTTTGACGCGCGTGCTCCTCGTCATTGGTAATCTTGTTGGAGTGAAACGGATGATGCGACTGTGTAAACCATATTGATTCTGTCATTGGAGTGCCGGAGATGGGGCGCTGCTGGGATAAAGCACTCACGTTCCCAATCGCCATAATCGCAATCTAATCGATTGAAAACGAGAATAATAATAGTAACCTATGCTGCTTCAGCTCAACTTGCGATGTACACGGAACATGCATTCCGGCATTTGAAAATGATTGGGTTATTGTCGTGAACGTACACTTGTCAGCATGGTAATTATCTAAATAATGAATCGTACAGTTGAGCTTCTTGTCACTCCATGCAGCTCTCGTTCTACTTTTTGAGCAGAGCAGGGGCCGTCAAACCAGCGGAAAGACCCTTGTCAGCAGCATAAATTCCGTCTTTGATCTCGTCCCTGACAAACGATCAACACAGATTTATTTCAGTGTAAAACAAGAACTCACTCAATGCGCAACAATGCGTTGTATTTTGCGACACGCTCGCTACGAGCGGGTGCACCAGTCTTGATCTGACCAGTTCCAAGGGCAACGACCAAGTCAGCAATTATGGTGTTCTCCGTCTCACCAGAGCGGTGGGACACCATGACTCCCCAACCATCAGACTGAGCAAGCTGCGCACTGAAATATCGTCAGCCGAGGCTAATATGTATATGCAGCAGCAACGTACGCCTGAATGGATTCCGAGATGGTACCAATCTGGTTGATCTAAAAGCGCAAGTGTCAAAAGACATGACGGCCTGAGGAATCAGGAATACCAACCTTCAGAAGAAGACCATTGCATGCCTTCTTTTCAATGGCCGTCTTGATGCGAAGAGGGTTAGTGACAGTCAAGTCGTCACCGACAATCTGGACCGAGCTATTCTTGGTGAAGTGGGTCCATGCCTCCCAATCGTCTTGGTCGAAGGGATCTTCGATCGAGACAATAGGGTACTGCTTGACGTAGCTGAGGTAGAGGTCTGCGAGCTCAGTGCCTGAGATCCACTTCTGGGGGTCAGAGTTGGGGTTCTTGAAGTCGAGGTCATATTTTCCCTCCTTGTAGAACTCAGATGAAGCAACATCAAGAGCAATCTTGATTTTGCCTTCGTATCCGGCCTTGCTGATAGCCTCAGTGAGGAGCTCCAGAGACTCTTCAGCTCCTGAGACATTTGGAGCAAATCCACCTTCATCACCAACGTTGACGGCTGAAGAATGTGATTAAGGCCAAAGCAAGATAATAGCGCACAAAGTACGTACCATCGATACCGTATTTTGCGCTGATGACCTTCTTCAGCGTGTGGTAGGTCTCGGTACCGATTTTCATCGCTTCAGTGAACGAAGTAGCACCGGTAGGAAGGAGCATGAACTCCTGGAATGCCAACTTGTTGCCTGCGTGCGAACCACCGTTGATAACATTGAAGGCAGGACAAGGCATAACATAGGGGGGCTTGACGCCAGCCAGCTCAGCGAGATGCTGGTACACGGGAACACCTTTCTCGGCAGCACCAGCCTCCACGCAGGCAATAGAAACGCCGAGAATGGCGTTAGCACCGAGCTTTCCCTTGTTAGGAGTGCCATCGAGTTTGATCAAGAAGTCGTCGATCTCCTTCTGCTGAGTGACCTTAAGGCCAGACTTGATCAGCTCTGGACCGAGAATGGTGTTCACGTTGTTGACGGCCTTAGAGACACCTGGGTGATGTTCAGTGGACGTGGCTAGAACTTATGAAGTGGAGCATATACCCTTTCCCACATAGTTGGCTTTATCGCCATCGCGAAGCTCAACAGCTTCGTGGACACCAGTGGATGCACCAGAGGGGACAGCAGCACGGAAACGACCTAAGACAATGTCAGAGCGGAAAAGCTGGATCGCGTCCGATCTCATACCTTTATCGGTGTAAAGGTCGACCTCAACGGTGGGGTTGCCACGAGAGTCGAAGATCTGCGAGCATTCGACTCAAGTTTGTAAAGAAGATGTGGCTGGCTTACCTGGCGAGCGTGGACTTTGGTAACAGACATGGAGGACGAAAGTCAAGATGGGTGGTTTGGTGGAATCTCAGTCGAAGGCTTATAGATAATCAGCTTCTGTGCTTTCCCACGCAGTCCTCGTACCAGATTTCGGCCATTTTCACGAATCCGGCTTATACGTCAGAGCTAGTGTCCTGTTCAGACCATAAGCGTGCCTGCCAATGCTATAAACGTTGGTGATAGACATAGCGAGTCGGAGAAAGGGCGGAGGAAGATTTGTTTTAGCTTCTCTGCGTTAGTCCGACTGATCCATTGCTCAAAATAGGTGAACGATGATGCCAGCAAAACAATTTCAGAGTCTGCACAGCAACATAAAATCTAGTCAAGTATCAGCGCCGTTTACGTCCTTCGCCCTTCTTGCCCACAGGAAGAGACTTCATCACAGCCGCCTTGTGTCGATTTTTGTTCTTCACATTGCTGTTCGTGTAGAAATTCTCTGCTTTTTTCTGTGTACCGGGTTAGCTCAGGAAACGCACAGCAATAAGAAGATGCCATACTTTGTTCGTCTTCATGCGTGGTTTCTTTGTCTGGGCAGTAACCTCTACATCGGATGCGTCACCTGGAAACGTGATCAGACCACAGGTATCGCAGTCAAAATGACACCATACCTTGCTCGGCCGAAGACAATCCATCTACAACAACTTCGCTCGCCGGCTCCGTCTTATCGTTAAAGACATCGTTCCAAGACAGTTCTTCGACCTCATTTTCGTTGTCTTCATCGCTACCGAATTCGCTACCTTCTTCATCCTCCTCGTCTAATGCATTATCTGCTGGGGTACCGGAAATTTCTTCATCCTCGCCGTCATCTTCGTCCAACGGTTGCACGTCCTCGGCAAGGAACGTATTTTTCTGTGTAATGGTCTTCAAATTCTGCTTGACCGCCAAAACCTCGGCCCCGCCATTAACAGCCCTCTCTTTGCCCTTGCTTCTCGCCTTCAATTTAGCTTCGGTTTTGTTGAGCTCCTCCGACCGCTCAGGGGGAGGTACGAAAAATGGTATTCGGCCTCTCACCCAGTCGCTCAGTATGATTTTAGCGACACCATCTACATCTGGCTCGCCGCCTTTTAATAGACGCCCCTTCATCCGCGCAAGAGTGTCCAAAAACTGTTCTGGATCCCACGAGCGAGAGGAATCGTCGGGGTCCGGAAGAGCAACGCCATACGTTCGTGAGAGGTACAATGGCTTTACGCGCGACATGAGAGCGGGGATGTGCTCAGATGGCACGGGAAGGGCTTCCACGCGTAGAACACCTTTGAGGACAGTGGATGTCTGTGAATCATTTGCAGAGGTGGGAACTACACCCGGACAGTCGATGAGATATATCCGCCGGGTCAATGTGATATACTGCCAAACCTGGGTTCACAAAGTCAAACACGTTGGGTCATGCAGTTTAACAGTTATTGATGGAACGTACCTTGGTTTCTCCTGGTACAGGGGCAACGCGACAGACCTTACCACTCTTTAGGGTATTAATGACGCTGCTCTTGCCTACATTTGGGTATCCAACAAAACCAACAGAAATTTGCTTCTTGTCTGAATGAAGCTGGGAGAACTGGCGAAGAAGCTGAATCAAAGACCCCTTGCCGAAAGAGTGATTTGGTGATGCATGAAAGGCGATCGTAGGGTATCGAGGTGTGAGATGTTGAATATACCTTGCCTGTGGCACATTCAGCAGGGGGATTAGCACACGAAGTCATCAAAAGCTTACGGTAACCCAATTAGGCACCAAGTCACATTTGTTGATGACAAGAACAACTTGTTTGTGCGGTTTCTCTTTTTTCATGTACTCAAGCACAGATTCACACATGGTGCCAAGGGGGTCTCGAGCATCAAGGATATGGAGGATAACGTCCGAAGAGTCTATTACCTTGTACAGCTCCCCATAGATGCGCCTTGAGGTTCCTTTTGCGAAGATGGGTTCAATATAGTCTGCGTGGGTTTGTGGTTCGGGTACTTCGAAAGATTGCGCTACCAAAAAGTCAGAACACGTTTGGTTGTAAAGAATTACCCTGCGATGAGGCACCTAGTTCTAGAGCATTGGCAGCTTGTTCGGCGTCTTCCGCTGCAGCTGCACCCAGTTTACTCAGTTCCTCGAAAGTGCCAACGTTAATTCTGGCCTTCTTGCGCTGAGCCTTGGGTCCAAAAGTATCACTGAAAGGTTCGGTTTCCACGATGTGGGACCGCTACATGATATCAGCACGCAAACAATGGAAAATTTGCTAGGACTACCTTTCGAGTATTAGGGTTAGACGCATCGTCCAAGAGTGCCATGGGTAATTTATTTCGACGGAGTAAGACTGAGTATGGGTCATCCTTCTTCGTCGAAAGACTTGTTCTGAAGTGATCAAGGGCTGTCTGTGAGATCACTCGTGTATTGCCTATTATTTTCATTCATGAGCAATGGACTACACATATACCGTTGTAACTCACCAAACCATCTACGATCGGGCTGGACTCGGCCAGGTTTTGTCTCGTCCTCCCCCTTCTGATACGCAGCAGCCTGAATTATCTTGCCATCCTTGTCCCGTATGGCCTTTCCCCCCGACAGCATCTTGAGACGGGCGACTTGTTTCGCATTGCGGTAAAAGTTCTCGCCTTTCACTTTTTTGAGCGTTGGTTCCTTGGATCCAGAAGAGCGGACCTTGGGTGAAGCCTTGGTCTTTTTTATGGGCGCCATCGTGTGTTATACGACCGTGACGTTCGAGACTTGATCTTCAAAAGTTAAAACCTCAAGAATCGAACATAAATATTCCCACGGTCCATCATTCTTCCTTGCCAACTTTTCGGACGGGGCGTGTTGGATTTGCTATGTTCAAATCCTGCCTAGCCAACGGTGTGTTCAGTCCTATGATGCTCTGACTATTTCTGACGAAGTACAGTATCACAGTCCGTCGCGTCGTCCAGCCGTTCATCACTCCATACTTCAGCAGTTCTCAATGCCCGCTTGTCGAGCAAACAAGCTCGACATGAGAAAATCTCCAAAGTGCAGGCACGCATAAATCACAAGCTCGCATTTGATGCGCAACGCGAATATGCTGTTCTCGGTCACCGTCCAGGTCAGGATCAAAAATGGCGGAGCTGTGCCCTTGCAAAAGTTATCATTACACAAGACACGCTATACTCGGATTCTGTCCCTGAAATCATCCAGAGTCCCGAAGGGGACATCGAGCTTCCGCCGCATCTAAGCTTTGGCATTACTGCGAGGTCCAAGGAGCTGCTTTTCAAAGTGTTACCTCCGCTGTCCGCTCAGAATGGCGTGACCAAGTTCAGTGACAACGTGGTTAGCGAAATGCAGGAAGCGACGGAGAACGAAAAGGCCAAAGCGAACATGTTCGCAAAGGTTGTCGATTTGCGTAATGCGAATGCTAAAGGTCTCGCATTCGAGAACCGCCGCCGTTGCATACAACTGTTTTCTCCGCCGGGCAATCCATTTGACACTGGCCGCCCAGAGGTACAAGGTACTTATTGCTGAATTTTATGACTCCAACTTCATGCTGAAGCCTTCTGGATGTAGCCGCATTGCTGACTATGCAAATACGTGGGCTATGGAAGCATCTTTTGGCTTTCCGCAAGGACATAGATAACCGAAGGGGCCTTCGTCAGCTTGTGCATGAGCGGGCCAAAATACTTAAGTATTTGAAGAGACTTGACCGTGACCGATATGAGGCTATCCTTCCTCGACTTGGGCTCGACCCTGCGAGCGTCGAAGGAGAGCTAGTCGTTTGATCATCGTCTACAGGAATATCTCACTCTAATATACTTTGGAGAACGAGTCGCTCTCGTTTGAATTTGCCATTTATGTAAACACGTTCAACATCGTATGAACGCTAGAGAAGAGCACGAATATTAAAATTCGTTATCATCAAGAAATGTGTCCAGTAGCATTAAGACTCGAGCTAAGTATTTGCAATTATGGGCGAATGTTATTGTTCCAATTAAAAGAAAGGGAAGAAAGAGTTACCAAAAAAAAAGTCATCTTCCTCGTCATCCTCATCATCTTCATCGTCACCAATGCCAAAGAAACCGTGCCCGGGTAGGGGAACATGAGACGGCCTCTCCATTTGCAAATTGACTGTGGAATCAGACAGTTTGAAGTCTGATTTGCGACCCTGGGGCGCTTCATAATCCTTGTAATAATCTCGATCTTCCACAGGCGCTTCAATACTATGACTGATGTCACGAATGAGTAAGCGGTAATGCCTATGAGAAGAGGAGCAGAACGCACCTTGTAAGAAGATGATTCTTTATTTTGCCAAGTTCATGGCATTCTCTCTCCTGTGGCAAATCCATACAGTGGGTGCACAACCAGATGGTGCTTGCAGGCTGAGTGATATCCGGGAAATCGAACATGTTGTGTATGTATTCGTGCATCTCGCAAGCATTTCGGTTGGACTCCTCGAGTAATTCCCCTTCGAGTCTCATCCATTTGGCTGGCCGGCGTTCATATCGATGCTCCCGCATTCTGTGCTGGACCTACAAACCAGTGAGAAACCGTGAAACAGAAACATCAAATGGTAAAGCACGAACTGCTGAACGCCAAGTGAAGACAGGCGCTTCGGCTTGATTCACCTCGTCCTGGGACCACTTCACGCAGTCTAAGCACGCCAAGCGGGGATCTAACTCGTCCATTTTGGTCGCAGTGGCGATGAGCGGGTCTTCACCACATGCATCCACAACAGTACGAGCACCCTTGCTTGCCTCGTCATCCACCTGCAGAAGGTGGGAGCTCCACTTTGTGCGGGTGCTCATTGGAAAATCAATCCGGAAATTGGGGTCGTCCGTGGCGAAATAGTCCCAAGGCAGTGTTCTCGATCTGGTTAGACAACAATGTCCGATGACTTTGGGGTAGAAGAGGGGGATGGATTTGGACCGACGACCGCCGAGGCTACCAAGGAAATCGTCATAATCACTATCTGACAAATCGGGGAGTCCAATGGATGGAGTGCATGTTTTGCAGCGAAATACAGTTGTTGCTAGCGGGATGCTCCGATCGATATCGTCGTCATCAGGCACTGGGGGGGATACCTCCTTTTTCTTGCCTTTGACGTCTGTGATGACACCGAGGCTCTCCACATACTCTTCGTAGTGTGGATCCGGCGTCACTCGCTCCGTCCATCCACGCCGCTTTGCGCCTAAGAGCATATTATCTTTGACTCTAGCTCTGAGCTGGGAATGGATGCGTGCGCGCCAGGTCTGTGCTAAGTCATCCATCCGGGAAGCAACTTCCGCAAAGGATGCTTCCGTAACTTCTGTCTCCGTGGGCAAATTAACAATTTCGATGACTTCGGGAAATGAGCAGAAGTCCACTGGCTCTGGCATAACATCGGTGAAAGGGAGGCGAGCGATCTTATAGTTACGCAGAACGCCGATGGCAATGCGCCTTCGGGCGATAAGCAGGGCTTTACGCTCGCGCTCAAGACGCCGTGCTCTCATATCCTCCATGTACTTGATCATATCGTTCTTGATGTTATTCCAGACTGAATGACAAGTAAGAATTTGAGTCAGAATCATGAAAGAAGAGAACCAACTGCGATCTGTCAGGCGGGTGGGTTGCTTGACCAACTTGTGATGGCTCAAGTCGTCCGTGTATGGAATATGTTCGATTTCATCACCCCAACCAATTTCAGTAAGCCTTTCAATGATCCTAGGAAGTGTCAGACCAAGTGTGAGGGCAATTTCGCACTTGGTATCTTACGCGGTTTTCCTGTCCCGCCTAGCATCCTCCAGCTGGTCCGATCGGTCTTTAGCTTGAGACGCCGCCCATGCGTCTAATTCTTTTGCTTTCTAGATAGACATGTTTGCGGGCGTGATATGGTGGGAGAAATAGTACTCACTGTCTCCATCTCCTTGACGAATGCCCTCCGCTCTTCGCGATAGGCTTCAAGCTCAACTGGATCTGTGAGTACATGCAATATATTCTGGACTTCTTCGACTTCCTTGCGATAGAATAGAAGGCGGCCTCGTTCTGTAGATATTGACTCAGTATTATGCATGAGATAATGGATAAATGATACAGACTGCCATATTTACTCGGGACAAGACTGCTGATTATAGACTCCCCGGGGTAGGCATCTACCATGCTGTTGACTCGAGATGAGCAAAATTGACCCTTCAAATGAATGAACGCACCAAGTCTTAGAGCACTTTGCGCAGATGCGCCTACCGATACGCCAGTCGACGTTGCGAACACCGGGGGCGCTGCATTCCTTTTCCAGAATGTAAGAACAGAGCATATTATGATTAAAATTGGAGACATACATGACAATGAGGATCAAAAGCGAGGTTCGCATAGTGGGGTTCCGTCCAGAAAGGGGGGCAATCTGGCATATTGGGCACGTTGTCTCTAGCATTCTTCCATACGGACATTGAAGAACGATGCATGAGCACGCGTCTAAATTGTTTTGTCGTACGAGCTAGGCGAAGTATATCCAAAGGATTCAAGTGTCCAAAAACCTGAAGCAATTTTAGACACTAGACTTATAGCGACTATGGCAAAAGGGGCAAACCTCGAATAAGACGTCCATAGGTAAATTCATCAAGGCGGCAAGTTTTCCCGGCCTGGGCTGCCATTTAGCTCTCTTTGCACCGGATGTGACGGCTTCGAGTTTCTTCTGATTTCCGTCGACGTCAGACTTGCGCGCACGCTTTTTGGGCGGTTGGCGGGGCTTCTTGCCGTTATCGACAAGCGCTTGTGCAACCGAGCTTCGAGGCCGCATTGTCAACGAATTACTAGTATGTTGCCAATCAAAAACAAGAATTATAACGGAAAAGTTGCTGTGATGACGGTGGCAAGAAACAAGAGTACTACGGTAGGATTCGGTCGGACCCCAATTTCCATGGTCTTGGGCCTGTCTTGGGCCTTCACTGAGTTTTCCAAGAAACGGCAATTTCCGCTCTTCAATTTGACGCGTCGCGTCTGCACGTGAGGCGCACCCTAACATATTATCATTCCTGCTTTGTTTTGAGCCTCATCATCGCTGACGATGGCGGCGGCAAACGTTTCTCAGATATTGGCAGATACTTTAAGCGCAGATGCAAATACTAGGATCGCTGCTGAACTCAAGCTTTCCGAGGTTCTGCTCCATCAAGGTTGGTTTTCATAATCGCGACCATTGACTGCAAATCTGATGTTTAGCACGCGTCCATCAGAGGCAGGTCTAGCTCTCGCCCAGCTTATTTTAGCACAGGACGTGGATATCCCGCTCCGGCAGATAAGTTCTTCCTCATCTTGCCGCAATGTTCGCCTCTTTATCTCGGATGTTACCTAGCACTCAGCAAGCATTATCCTCAGAAAATACATCAAGGAACGATGGTCCCCGTACTTTGAATCGTTCAAGGGCAACGCCCCTTCAGTAGAGGTATGCTCTTCGATGTTATCCGGGTCCATCATAACAATCTTCCACAGGTCAAATCTCGAATACGCCATGCTGTCCTTCAAGGCTTATCAGACTCAAACCGGAAAATTCGGTCTTTATGCGTGAGTTTCATTTTGAGCGCATTGACAAACTTGGCTCAATGATCTTTGCCAAGGCTCATACAATGTCATATATTGGAAACTGCGATTGGCCGGATGAATACCCTGAATTGCTCAGCTCCCTTATTGCACTGATTTCTTCAAGTTCCTCTGACGCTGTGCATGGCGCGATGCAGGTGTTCACTGAATTTATAAAATCGGACCTCACCGAAGATCAAATATTACCTGTATTGCGACAGCTTCTCCCTGTCTTACTCACTATCCTCGGATCCACTGAGGTGCAGTCCATTTTCTGTCTCAAGTTAAATTATGACTTACTTTTTGAGATTAGCAACATACGCCTCTGACTCGCGCGCGAACCGTGTCCGTCTTTCGTCAATGCGTGACAGCACTTTACATGGTCAAAGATCAACATCCTCAAGCGGTGAAGGAAGCTACTGCAACCATCCTTCCAGTTTGGTTGGAGGCTTTCAAAGTTCTTCTTAACCTTGACCCTTTGAAGGATGTAGCCAATCAGGACAACTGGGATGGATTAGCTGTCAGAATCCAGGTCTTCAAGGTATTTGATTAGCTACACGATCTAATGCTTCTTGATACATGTAGTTTTCAGACACTGGACGTCATTCACACGTCATTCCCTCGTGCCATGACCTCTTATGTTCGCGGTTATCTTGATGCATCCTTGCGTCACCTTCAGGTAATGTCCGAGACATACGATACATTCTACATTTCGGGATCGGGAAGTGCCCCCGGGTCATCAGAGGAGGAGACAGTAGAATTACCGCACCTCATCTGCCCTCTGTTTGACTTTGTTTCGAATGTTGTTAGAGGGGGGAAAGCAAAGGAATGGCTTCAAGCAGAAAACCTGAACAGTTTGGTGTCCGCGATCTTCAATTATTCACAGATGACTGCGGATGACGTTCGTCCCATCCACGTCTTTGCTTTCGGATGTTTGCTGATTGGTCCACAGGAAGAGACGTGGGCGACAAATGCCAATGCATTCGTGGCACATGAAGAAGATGACACACAGGCATATGGCGTCCGAGTTGCTGGCTTCGAGCTGCTCTATGTGCGTGCGGGGCTAGACGCCTTTCAAAACAAGATTAATGTCCTCCACAGACTATTCTCAACCGTTCTCCTGCACAAATCTGTATTACCTTTCAAACTGCCATTCATCAGGTCATTGCAGCATCACAGAGAACGCGAGAAAATGGGTCAACTGCTTGGTAAGTCACTGAAAATCGATTCCGTTCGACATGTTCATGAGGAGGTTGAGCACAGGTGGAAACCACTTGAAGCATCTTTGGCTGCAATCGGGTCTCAAGCCGAAGATGTCCTCGAGTGCATTGACGATGAACAGGATTCTGGCCGAGCAAAACCTATTGATGTCGAGGATTTGCTTGCCAATGTCGTTCCGTCGGTCTTAAACCAGTCTGGTATGCATCAAGCATCTTCACGCGGGATTTGCTTTTATTGATATTTTCTCCAGACTTTCCATTCTTGCAAGGCAGAGGTTTCGTATTCGCGAGCCAGTTTGCCAGGCTATTACCTTTACAGATGGCTGGTCAATATCTAGAAGCTGCCATGCATGTCATTGAATCAAATTCTGCTGGAATTCCCGTGAAAATATCCGCTGTCAAAGCTGTTCACAAGTAAGTTATGGACTTCGGGTGACGCGCCCTTCTGACAATCTAGCAGCTTCTGTGAAGGCGCGGAGGACTCAGCCATTACGCCCTTCGTGTCGCGTATTGCACAGGACCTGGGACCTTTCCTGCTGGTAACGACTGAGGACACATTATCCTTGGTTCTCGAGACGATGTCGGTTGTTCTAGATGTCGACAGGGGTCAATGGCTTACCACTGACTTGTCCAACTCTCTGGTGTTGGCCGTCCTGGAGGTCTGGGCGAAGAATAACAAAGGTAAATCATACCTCCTCTTCACCCTTCAGAAAGTCAAACAGAGATCACAGATCCTATTTTCCTGTCAATATTCACCGAGATATTCACCTCTCTGGCCTCCTCAACTGGCACAGGAGTGTACGAAACGGTCATCAAACAAGCGCTTCCCACTCTGTGTACTGCCATCGCAGGTTCCAAACCTCAAGAAGCCTGGATAGCAGGGTCTGCCATTGACTTGATCTCAAGCCTCGTTCGTGGTGCACCTGAAGGCGGCCTTGGAGTCGGCTTCTTCGCTCTCCTGGCCCCTAGCTTGTTCAGCTGCCTCAGCGAAGCTGAGGATCGTGATGTTCTCCAAAACGGCATGGCGTGTCTTGCCTTAATCGTCCGCAAAGATTGCAGGCAGATCCTAGAATGGCGGGACCCATCAGGCCAATCCGGTCTTGATCACATTCTGAAGGTTATAGCGAGGCTCCTACAAAACGACGATGAATCCGGCGGATTGGTCATTGGCGATCTCATCATCCACTTGCTGCGTCGTGCAGGCGAAGCTGTTCTCCCAGTGCTTCCAGAGCTTCTTCAAGCCATGGTATCTCGGATGTTGTCGGCCAAGACGGCCACTTTCATCCAGAGTCTTGTCATTCCGTTTGCGTTCCTCACATATAACCAGCAGGACACGGTGTTGTACTTGCTGGAATCGACCACGACAAATGGAAGGAATGGTCTCGATATCCTCATCCAGACGTGGTGTGAGAACGCAGAAACGTTCCAGGGTTTTTGGCAATCGCGCGTTAGCACCCTGGCGCTCACGACATTGTATGCCTCTAGCCGCCCAAGCCTGCAATCATTGATGGTCAAGGGCGATATTATCTTGAAGCCAGAAACGAAGAATGGTGAGTCTTCTTTCTGCCTAAAGAATCGCTTATTTCTGGATATTCAACGGTTTCTGCTTCCGGGACAGTGATCATGACCCGGTCGCGGACGAAGACGAGTACGCATCATCTACCTATCTCTTGTTCTCTTTGCTGGGTTTGATACTGACTTTTGGCGGTACAGCACCTCATGAATTCACGTCAGTGCCTTTCCCTGTGAAAGCGCTGAAACTGCTCGTGCACGATCTCAGAGCTGGGGGCGACTCTGCGACGATCCCCAAAGCTGAGTTTGATTTGGACTCGGATGATGGTGTACGTCCTGTTTGCACGCTCCTTTCTACGTCCACTAAATGATCCACAGGACGAAGAATGGACAGAAGAAGAGCAGAATCAAGGCTTCAAGCAAGAGGAATTCGCCTTCCTCTCCGAGATGCTGGGTCCCCGCGGCGTCAACTTCGATAATGACGACATTCTCGAGGAGACGGATGATGAGGACCTTAGAAACGATGCCATCTCTCAAATTGACATGCAGGTAGGTACCCCAGGTTGAACGGCGACTCTTGTATGCCTAACAGGTCTTTCAGGCGCACTTGGTGACATTCTTCAAAGAATGCGCATCACACAATGTCAACAACTTTTCCAGCAATATCGACCAATTGTCGGCTGAGGAGATCATGGTCGTGCGCCACGCTATTGATCACTGAGTGGGATAAGCGGATCCTACTATGAAAACATATTGTACATGAAAGCAAGAGCGTGATGTGATGATGGTATCCTGTATGATAGATGCGAATAAGTATTGCCGACAAGCAGCTCTTAAAAACCCTCCTTCCCCAAGTCCCATTCTCGAACAGTACCCCTTTTCTTGTACTCGATATCCATGATGTTATCCCCTCCACTAGCCCAACGATCAGCAACTCCACTATCTGTACCTTTCTTGTCGGTCTTGTCTTTTGATATTCCAAGACGGTCAAGACGTTTCTTCTCAGCTTTATCTTCTCGTCGTTGCCGGATGAGTTCAAGCATGGCGTCCCAACCCTCGAACTCTGCGTCACTGACCAAGCCAGTGGCAGGTACGTTGGGGACGGGGAGTGTTGCAACGTCGAGCCTGGGGTCATAAGAGTCTTGAAAGTATTTGTCCATCTTTGAGGGAAGCCGCGAGGGCGGTAAAGGAGGGGGGGACGAAGATGGTGACCGAACGGTGTGGTGCGAAGCGACTGTGCGTTGAGGTCGGCGTGGTGGGGGGGAAGGTGAGCGAGTACGAAGAGACGGTTTGGGAAAGTCGTCAAGAGCCTTGGTCTTGCCCTTGACAGAAGGCCTAATTTCCTCTGTAAACTCTACAGTATCATCGTCTGGTGATGTTTGGGATGACCGGGAAGGAGACCGAGTGTTACGGCGACTCAAGTGCCGCGCCTGTTTAATGATTTTCCTATCATCTTCATCAGAGGGAGACACCGATCGCGTCCTTTTCCTGGAGACTGTGATTTCGGGAATAGGCTGTGCTGGTGACTCGGTGCGACGTGGAGACGGGGAACGGCTCGTATGGCGTCTTCTCTTTCGGGATTTGTCGTCTTCTGGTCGTCTATGTCTTCTCCGTTGACGGTTATCAGATGAACTAGCCCTGTCTGGAGATTGTGATCGCCGACTGCTTTTCCTGTGCTTCACATCACTATCCCGTTCCTTTGATGCTGAACGTGATTGATGCCTCCGGCTGCTGGGCCTGTTCCTGTAGTAACTGCCATCATCTTTATCATCCCTATGACGCCTCCTGGAACTCTTTTCTTTGTCCCTGTTCCGTTCTCTATCACTCCGTCGGTCACGTTCCCTTCGACCATCCCAACTACGTTCATCATGGTCGGGTCTCCGTCTCCTCATGCGCTCGGCAGCTGCAGCCTCTTCTGCGCGAGCCTTCCTGTCTCTGCGCTCCCGCTCATCTTTCTCTCTTTTGATTTCCTGAGCAGCAAGCGCCTGTGCGCGAAGTATAGTCTTGTTATGATCATCCGTGCTCTTGATGATCGAACTGAGGAAGCGCTTGTTCGGGCGAGGCGCATTTGGGTCAGGCCTATACCACAATTTGGTAAGTTGATCGTTTCACTTTTTTTTTAGATGGTAGACTCACGCAGTTGGAAGATATGCCCTAATTCCAACTTCGCCGTAGCTTTCGGCCTTCTGTTTGGCTTCCCTCAAGATGAGCTCTGCGACATGTCTGTCTAGGTCGTCGTCAGTTATGGATGAAGAGACTGCTGTTCCCATGGACGCCCTGACGAGGGTTGAGACGACGGATGATAGCGACGACTTGGACATGTTGGACAACGTCCACTCCAAAGCTCGGGTATCTGAATCCACACAGCTATGTTTGTCGTTGTTTGGCTCTTGTGGCTCGCGGCCCGTCGGCGGCAACCTCCGAGCAGTGATCAATAGAGGTGCGGATCATAACTCGCTCTCGAATACATCTTCACAGGCGAGCAAACTTTGCAATTGAGATATGGGTATAGCAAATATTTCGAGACTTGTCACTTCCGAAACCAAACTTTTCCGCAGGTGTCGGCTCGATCAGATACCACCTGATCTGCTTAGTTGACTCTCGCTTGAAAACAAAAGACTCGGTTCCAAGTACGAGAAGGTCTTTGAATGAATGATCTCGTGCAAGTCTCGCGTGATTATTTCTCCGCAGACGACGCATATCATGCTTAGAGGACTCCGCGGATCGACTGATAGAATTCTATGATAGTTCGACGTTAACCTCAAAGGCATTTTTGTTTATCGGTCCTGCTCGATCCGATACAATAGATACTCAGTAATGGAAGGTCACGTCCATGTCGGTGTATCTCAAGGTGTCATGAGCAAGCACCGATATGCCCCAGACTCAGTGCATGTCCTCTAAACACTGACGTCAATAACGTTACAGCGGCTGAACCCACATGCTTCAACCGGTGGAAACCCCACCGAGATCAGTTGTATCGCGATTGGACATAGGAGTGGATATCTTTGAAAGTAGTTGCATGTGATACGGTCTTCTCCCCGTTCTGATCAAATGACATAACACCATCAAAGCACGGCTTCTTGCTGCAATCACGATCTTAGCCAGGCAAGAACGTAATTGGCGATGCTGCCAATGAACGTTCCCCAACAAGCTGCAACCGCGGCCCTGTAGTGACATTCATTACAGTTCATTACTTGTGAGAACACGAAGGTCGCGTGTAAACTCGGGTGTGCCTTGGTAAATCAGGGGGGGATGTAAAATTTTCTGAGCAAGTAGTAAGTAAATACCGTCTCGCGTCCGACTCGCTGAGGCAGAATGAAGAAGTTTTTGAGTAGAACATCGTTTCGCGTCCTACACGATGAAGCAATGTGCTGTTTGCGATTAATTGACACGCGGTCATTGCGGACATCGAGGAGGGTCGCGGGAGATTTAGTATCGGTTAGTATGATTGGCTAGAGGAGGTTGCTTTGTCTGTTCGAGGGCTGTCCGCGCGGCAACAACCGAGGGAAATGCCCCTAGGAGTGGAAGAAGGTTCATGAGAGGACAATAAACGAAAGTAAGTGAGTCATAGTGACGGGCACCGTGCGTCGTGGGATGTAATCCAACCTCGCTGGAATATCGATAAATCCGAGTCGTTTGAGGACTGGATATCCCTAGTATAACCCTCAAGGAAGTCTTCGCAATCGATGATTTGTGCGACCATCGGAGAATTTGAGTGCACTTTGCAGGGTTTCGTTTCAGCGAAAACGTCACAGGATAAGCGCTAAGCTTCGTTAACGTTTCGATTCATTGAGGTCTAAAAATGGAAGGTATGGTCCGTGAAAACGGAGGCAATTCCATGTACTTACCTCCGTCTCGTCATTGTGCCCAGCGGCAGTGTCAGCTTGCTTGTTACAAGCTGTGGTCATTTCATTATACCCGTGTTCATATAAAAATCAGTGACGGGTTCAACCAAACGCAACACGCTCTCTCTCTCTCTCTCTTCCAATCATTTCACGACATCTTCCAATATCATGACTTTTTACGGATTCTTACCCTATTCTTACCCTCCGAAGGTGAGTACTATGATGCAGGTCGTCGTGACGCGCGTTAACATATTTGCAGCTCGTGGAACACGAAATAACACTCAAATTTGCCACAAGTTCGCCTTCTCGCCAAGCCTACGACAATCTTCGGACACCGCGCGTGCCCGCCAGTGGTATCCCTATCGAGGTCGTGTTGACCATCTTGGAGGCAGCGTACTTTGACAACAGAGATGATCCTGACGTCGATCTTTTGAGCAACTGTGCACTTGTTTGCAATGCATGGTCGCTGCATGCTCAAAAGCTCTTATTTCGACGAGTTCGCCTCCGCTCGCATTCGGCATTTGCTTCATTTACTCACGCTGTCGACCGGAGTTCTTTGCGTGGGAGAATGCTCGGAGACGCCGTTATTCAAATGCGCGCAGTTCTTGATCATAACCAGCCTGGTTGCCTCAAGCAATCGTCACTAGCTATTGCAGTGGCTAATTGCCCAAATCTGTACGAGCTAGACATTGCTCAGTACGGGTGTGTGACTCCTGGTAAAGATGTCGTTGGAAGCCCCGCCCAGGAACGCATGCGGCGTCCTGCCCCATCTTTTGACGAGCATTCTCTCGCATTACTCAGTTCCGGCCCGCGCATCACGGCTCTAAATTTCAGCAACTGGTCGGAGAACGATCAGTCTGTTCTCCAACTTCTCGAAGTTTGGCGTTCTTTGAAATCACTCTCCATCACTGGAACATCTCCCGTTCTATCTCCCGCCGTGACGTATCCACCATTCCCCTGCGCTCTGGAAGAACTGCGTTTGAACTGCCAAAGAGAACCTGCCAAGGAATTCCTTGGTTGGCTCTTGCATCGCTCCGCGGAAGAAAAGAGTTTACGGGTCATTGACCTGGAACGTCAACCAAGCCCTGAGCTTTTAGACTTCCTCGTCGAGAAGCACGGCGAAACATTGCACTCGCTTGCCATTCCATCTTTTGCCATGCATGACCACGCACACGCTGCAATGCGCTGCCGCTCTCTTCGTGAGCTTCGCACCGAGAGCTCGTGGTCTTCTCCTGTCGTTTGCCGCCAAATGCCAGAGACTATACAGCACATAGCATTCGGGCTCGACCAGGATACCATTCTCAACCCTATCATTGATCTCGTCAAGACTCGAGACGACTTACAAGCTGTCACAGTCAACCTTTGGCACGACGGCCACCAGCACCCGCAGCTCGCATCTCTCCAGATGGCGTGTGCATACCGCGGTGTTGACCTCCGTCTAACACGGGACGTGCGAAGAATGCGCTTGTTAGTAGTGAGTGAACAGCCTTCTTTCCTGCTGTAAATTCACACTGATCAACCGAATAGCGCGGGGATCCAGTTGTGCCGCCGACGTACCCGCGCACGCAGACTCTCGACAGTATGCAGCTTGCTGTCCGCTCTGTTTTTCTGCCATAATCTAATCTGACGACTGCAATTTCATCATGCAACTGGACTCCCATTACCTACGAGTACTAATGTATGTGTCGATACTGTAACAGCACCCATTCTACACCAGCTTCTGTATCATCACCTTCTAATCGCACCTTACCAGACCTTACTTTACAGATATTCTCCATTGTAGCTAACAGGTTGGAATACATATCAGCCTATATCATATCAGTACGAAATTATTAGTCTATTCCACACGACTGGGGACATTTGTCTAATGCAACATTTTTATTGACTTCTCGATTACGGTTAGTCTAGACTCTAGAGTCTAGACCACGGAATAGTCAGACCTTGAAAGAGGGAAGGCACGTTCTTTGGGCCACGGTGATAAACGGCGAAGCTACCCGGTTTGCTTGGCGAAGCGGTTACTGCCACGTTGACGCTTGCACCGTTTCGAGTCTTCGACCCCTACGAGGTGCGCTTTTCATTTTTGTTGGTTTTCTAACAGTGATGAACTATGTAAGTAAGTAGTATTCGACGATGACTCTGGCACCAACGTCCAGCGAGTTGTCGAGCCTTCCAGACGTTCTCTCTGGCTCGCTTCTCGCGTCAAGCCCGTCTAATCTTGATTTTCTCGCCGAATTACCCACCAATGCGCTCTCAGACCTACTCTCAACGCCGACCGCGTTCACAACGCAATCGCATACATTGACTTCCTCACTAACTGCTTTGACCCACACATCCTACCCAACCTTTCTCTCCCTTCATCACACGTCAACAGCGCTGCTGACATCGCTCTCTTCGTTTGACACGTCTCTCAATTCTCTCATCAACACTGCTTTACCAGCTCTCGATGATGCCGCACGTATTTTTCGCGAGAAGACTGGTCCAGAGGTCATCGAAGGAAGGCAGAAGGCGCGCCTTGTACTGGAGCAGCACGACAAATTGCGTGACTTGCTTGATGTTCCAGTTCTCATCGACACATGCGTCCGCAACGGGCTCTATGCAGAAGCTCTTTCACTAGCTGCCCACGCGTCCTCCGCATTGTCCTCTCTAGTCGGGCAAACTAGGAAGAATCGTAGTAATGACGAGGAAGCTGCGCAGGGGTTGCCGCTTCAGCTTGCGGATTCCTTGCAAGCTGAGATAGCTTCTTCGTTGCATTCCATGCAGCTCATCCTCCTGAACACGTTATATGAGCCTGCTCGCAAGCTACCGGCGTTCTGGAAGGCAGTGCAGTTTCTTCGCCGAATGAAGGCGATGCATGAGGATGAACTAGCGCTCGTGTTCATCAGCGCTCGAATCGAATGCCTTCGCGATGCCTTGGATGGCATTGAAAGGGATGCTGGCATACCTTCGGACGCTGGAAGTATGGAGTTCAAGTTTCCAGCTGGGAGCACTGTAGAGGAAAGAGAGCGGGAGATTGATAGGGAGGCTGATGACATCGCCCGGTTCTTAAAGAAGTACATCGATGTTTGGAGGGAAGGCGCGTACGATCTTGTCACGCAATATGCGACAATATTCCTCGACCGTTCACATGCTGGAACCCGGATAGCACCACCCGTTGATCAGGATGCGTCGGCATCCTCATATACTATTCGACAAACGCTGCCTTCGACACTTCTGGAGCTGCTTCTCCCAACTCTCCGATTGTACCTCAGGCGTGCTTATCCCCACCTTGCACCCCTTGCGACACAACTTGCCTACTGTAGTTCTGCTTTAGCGCGCGTAGGGATGGTGAGTGTCATACATTTGTTTAAATCCAACTCGTCTTAAATTGGTGTGCATACAGGATTTTCGTGCCCTACTATCACCACTGATTTCACGATCAGTTATCAACGGCTTTGCACGGGACGTACGACTCGGTGTGGAGCATGAGTGGTCTGGAGTGCTCGCAAAGCACGTCACGAGCAAACCTAAGCCATCTGCTCCTTCTAATTGGCTGGTTACTACACCCAACAATCTCCCTGCGTTCAAGACGCTTGTTCTCTCGCCATCCAATGCTCCGCATTCTCCGCCTCAAGTGCTAACAGCTTTCCCGCCGCTTGCGAAGATTCTGAACGCATATATCCGTGCGCTAAACAGGTTGCGGATGCTTGCACCTGTTGATGCCTTGTCGGGCATCGTGGATGGTGCCGAAGAGTGCCTTGCAAATACAGGCTGTGGTCTACTACAATATGCCAGGGACTGGCGAGGTGGGGACCCGAAGGAGATACAGATTCTACAAGCGGCTGGGGCAGCATATACTCGGGTTCTTGTTCCTTGGCTCCAGCGCGCCATTGTGGAAGGTGTTTTCAGCGCCTCACTCAAGGACCGTCAAGCTGCTGCTGCTGAAGCTGGAGATTCTGATGCAGGTAAAGAAGGTAAACGTGAGTTGTCCTTCATAGTTACAGAGTGGGAGAGCTGGCTAGGCTCCACGTGAAGGTGCGGTGGCAGAGTGATCAATGCCCTTGATCTTGATTTGTGAGTGTTCTTGACTCCATGAACCAATGAATCTAGACGACGCTGCCAGTCCACGCATAGTCACATGGATCGTTCTGCTCGGAAGTAGTATCATCATATTGAAATACGACTCTACTTTCCGATCACAATAGAAGCATATCAAGGTCATCTTGTCGGGAACGTGGAAACATTCTTCGCGGCCCTCCGACGCCCAGCCGTCTTGCATGCTATCACTCCACAAGTAAAGAAGGGATGTACCGAACTAACAGCGAAAGCTGACAGATACCGGGAGAAGCATGGGAGAGCCGCGTTCCTTCAGTCTAGATCGCTGTGGTCCTTCAGCGACGCTAAGTGTGGTTTACTGCGGTGGCACACTTATCTCTAAGCTGAGGACACGCGCCTTGTCGTTCACCCACGGGCGTGTGTGGACTGGCACTCTTTTTATCACTCATGCCTTGACTGCCTTGATGCTACCGATGTGTTTGCTCAGGTGCAGTTTGGCCCAGTGACTCTATTTCCCGCGATCAAAGTCACGCGTCGGGATAAGGATAAAAGGCGCTCTTCGAAACGTACCGAGGTCCGACCGCACGCACAAATTTTGTGCCGGTATTGCAAACCCATCTGCACTCTGAACGATGCTCAGAACGACTGGCTAGCCGCCTAAGCGGCTGCTTGTGCGTTCAGCGAGGGCGTTTGAAAACCATAAGGTTATTTTTCACCTCGGTTGTATGAGGTCGGGAGTGTATCAAGCCTTTGCCTTTGACGAATTTTCCTTCTTTATGATCCCCGGACCGCATGACCCCGTCATATGATGGATGACGAGATCTTACTCCGCATGTCCAGAACTTATACTTAAGCATGCCTGTTGAGCAGGAGGGCTTCTTCAAACGCCTTTTCTTAGACGTTTCTCTCACTTGATCATGGCGAGAGACGTTCCAACGAGCCGTAGAGCGGTCTTGCTCGCCATTTTCATCGCGTTTGGTGAGTTCACTCTCGTCATTGTCATCCAGTGCTTATTGGACTCTCCCTTGCAGGAGGTGCGCGGCTTTCATATACAAACTGGTAAACGTACGTCATTTATCAGCAACTACAACGCTCCTATTTATTTGCTCACTGATCTGCAGTAGATTCATCTAATTAACTCTTGGCGATAGGTTTCCTGTTTGGGTATGACATGGGTGTCATTTCCGTATGCGTTCACACTGCCTCAGTCCTCGACATATCTGAACTTGTTGTCTACTTCAGGGATGTCTGATCATGCCAGACTTTATCCGCCGATTCGGCCAAGAAGGAACGGATGGCCAGTACTACCTGTCAAGTTCGAGACAATCGATCATTGTCTCCCTGCTGTCGGCTGGGTAAGACTTCGAAATTTGATTCTGATATTTGCTGACATTCATACTCACCATAGCACGTTCTGGTGGGGAAATTATATCTCGTTATTCTCATGATAGTCTAACAATGACAAAAGTGGAGCTATCGCGCAAGCGTTCACTTCTGATCGGCTTGGACGCCGTGGATCCATTCTGTTCTGGTCGGCCATCTTCACTGTTGGCGTGGCTGTCCAGACTGGCACGACATACTCTCTTGTTCAGTTGGTTATAGGTCGCTATATTGCAGGTTTAGGCGTCGGTTCATTGTCAGGTTGGTGTTAGTGTCTGGAGATGACTTTGTGAATCTAACTACGTCAATTCAGCCATTGTGCCCCTGTACAATGGAGAAACGGCACCGAAAGCTATTCGTGGCACGATCTTGGTGATTTATCAAGTCCAAATCATCTCGGGGTTCGTGGAGTCTTCATCGTCCATCAGAGCGCTCGCTAACACTTGTTAATCTAGCATATTTTTCAGTTACCTGCTTGAACTCGGAAGCCATACACTCAACAACTCCGCGTCTTGGCGAATCCCCATCGGATTGCAAATGGTCTGGGGTATCATACTTTTGTCTGGAATGTTTTTCCTTCCAGAATCACCGTACGTGCAACTTTTGAAATATCTCATGCAAACTGACGATACTTACTAATATCAGCCGGCACCTTCTCGGAACTGGACGAGGCGATGAAGCGCGCAAGGTCGTCGCAGAACTCAATGGTGTTTCACAAGACGACACTATTGTTGTTGAAATTGTGGAGGAACTCGATTTTGCTATTAGAGCAGAGAATGAGGGTGGCAAAGCGACTTGGCTAGAATGCTTCTCCACGAGAAATGCACTGTGGCGTCGGACTATAAATGGCATGATGCTTCAATTTATTCAGCAGCTTAACGGCCAGAACTTTTACTGTAAGATCCCTCGTGCTGGTTGGTTTATTTTATCACTAATGGCTGTTGTCGACAGACTACTATGGCGACACCTTCTTTCAGAGTGCAGGTGCAGGGTGAGTATTAAATCTCTTCTCTTATTGTAGTTTAACTCATGTGATAACAGGCTTTCACCTTATATCATCCAGACGGTTCTTGGTGCAGTGTCAGTTGCGGGAACTCTCCCCGCGTTGTACTTCATCGAGACTTGGGGTCGCCGAAAGGTTTGATTTATTCCACTAGATGATTAGGGCGGAAACTTACTCGATTTTTTCCCAGTCCCTTCTCCTTGGCGCATTCTCACAAGCTATCTGTGCACTAATCGTGCGTGCACTTTATCTGTTGGCAAATAGTGCTGGACTGATACTTTCGTCAGGTTGCTGTGGCTGGGCATGCTACCCTTGCGCCTACTGGAACGCCGACTTCAGAGCTTACCGCTCGCAATAGAGCTGGGGGCGACGTCGTCATCACTTTTGCAATATTCCAAGTGTTCATTTTCGGCACGACTTGGGGCCCTACTCCTTGGGTATACCTGGGAGAATCTTTCCCTCTTCGAGTGCGCCCCAAGTCAATCGCCCTCGGCAGTGCATCAAGTACGAGTGCTACTTTCTTTTTCAGCATTTGAATTCGTAGCTCACGCTTGTCCAAGACTGGTTCTGGAACTTCATGCTTTCGTTCTTCTCTCCAAGGATTGTCGACCAGTGAGTCTAAACTACAGCCAAAGGTTCTGAGTCTGAACGCTTCGCCAGGATTGGCCCATTGATAATGTTGGTCTTCTTCGGCATGCTCGTCTTCGGATACATCTACGTGTATTTCGCCATCCCTGAAACCAAAGGTCTAACTTTAGAAGAGGTAATAATTCATGCGCGTTGTAAATTGCTGCTCATCTGATGAACAACTAGGTGGACGAGTTGTACCGTTCTGGCGTTGCACCCTGGCGATCTGTAGGCTGGAGACCGAGTGAGAAGCATTATCACCACGAAGTGCACGAGAAACGAGCGTCGGACTCTGTGGAGGAGGCCTGAAGAGAGAGAGATGTGCTACAATATTACGCATTGATACCCACCCTCTTGCACGTCTGATCATGTTATTCTAAACGATAAGCAGATTGTGGTGGACCGTATCTCACTGATCGATCGTCTAAGAGGCTAAGATGGTTGCTCACGGTGCACTGTGGCACCGACCTTCGACAAATCCACAACATTGACCTTGGTCACTGCCGATGCGTCTCTGCAGTTTGCCTTTGGCAACAAGGCTCGTTTGCTGTACCTCTGGGCCCTTGTCAGTTGATGCCAAAATATTGTTCAAACAGCCGATTCGAGGGTGTTATATTTTTGCAAGAATGTAACCAGGGTTCCTGGTGCGTTCGGAATAGGCCTGGGTCAATAGCATCATCATGTCGAAACACAGTGGTACTCTTTCGATCGTCATAGAAGCACATCAAGGTATCCATGTTGTTAGCCTGGAACGTGTGCGGCCACATAGTTCTCTGGTCCTCAAGACAGTGATTACCTCTCATTAACAGTTGTATATCTGTCGGGCACTCTGGAGCCAAAGCCTGGGGCACGTAGATACGGATAACCGTCGATCGCACACCTTGTATAGGAAATTTGGCATGTGCGGCTAACGTCATAGGGTGTGGGCCATGACTCTGTTACATTTAACTAGTATGTACTAGCGTTATAGACTGACCAGGCATTGGACGTGGTACGGCACCAGAATATGTTCATGGTGTACATGTGAAATGTACCTAGGCAAGTTGGAAGTACCCTCCGAGGAGAACGCTCAAGTTTAAGACCAGACTCGGAAAACCCCGAAACATCTTGTACCTTCCATCCGTCATGATAAAAACCAGTGATCGTCGTTTCAGTGCCAATATTTTTGATAGAAGGCTTCCTCTTGGTTTCTCTTTGATGATCAGAAGCAAACATCGCATCGAGAGGGGTAACATGCGTGCCCACCTATAATAGCTGACTTCCATAGCTAGCCTCTCTTCTCAAGAACGGCAAGATGCGTCCCTCGAGTCATGATGCATGGAAGGACGCGTCCCCGACTCCACCTTAGTGGAAGAGGGTTCTCTGGCAAGCAAATGAATATTTCTCTGCAAACGGACCCGTGAGTCAAAATTTACCACTGCGACCCTCACCCGTGCACTCGGTTCCAGCGTCCCCTTTCTCCTCATGCACCTCCCTCCTCTACCAGTGTCTCGAGATCCACGCGTTGAAACCACCGCTATCGCAGAAGTCGGCTTCGCTTTCTGGAATCCCGCTCTAGGTGGTGCGCAAGGTCTTCTTCACGGGGACCTTGATGTTCGCTGGGAACGTGACCCGGGAGGGGGTGGGCGGCCCGGGTTATGGTGTCGTGACAAGAGGCTCCAGAACACCGGATACGCACGGGGAGTGTCTTAAAGCGCTCGAGGACGTCGATCGGTAACTAGGATAGTGATCAATCGATGGATGATTCGACTTGGGCATTGAATATTGAATGTCGCTACAACTGTATGTATGCTAGTCCAGGTATCTCGATATATGTCGAACCTTGGCTCAAGCATACTCCATACCCCAGCGCTCGCTGACAGATTTGGTGCAAGTGATTATCAGACGGAACAAACCGAAGTATATCGAAATTCGAAGCCCTGCCGCTCACAAGTATTGTCATCAAGGTTGCCTCCAACCACAGCAAGCAAATCTGAGCATCTAGCAGATCCGCTCATCATCGCCATCTTTCCTTGCCCTCGACTATTGATTTACGCATTCCCGTACCTGCCCTCATCGTCTCTTCTTGGCATGCCCCGCAAAGAGGCCGAGGCAAGTACGTCAGCCAGACGGAGAGAAGCGCTGTTAGACTCGCCAGCACGTGTTGCACCTCTTCGAGCAGGAGCGAAGTATCCACCACCATATGGTGCACAGAGCCGCCAGGATGCTCTTTGGGAAGGTGAGCAACAGTATTATGATACATATTGAGTTACCCATCAAGAAGCAGGCGGGAATGAGGCGCTCCCCCCTCAATGGCATCAGTTTCAGGTATTGAATGCAACAAGATATCAAGACAACACGCTTACTATGTTTTCATGGAACCGACCTTTACCAGGAGTGCGACTAGGTGAGCGAAGAACGTGCCACCAGGAGCAAGGAACTCATGGCTGAGCATAGATGGACCTGGACAACTCGTTATTGATGGATGCGAATGGCACATCTCGCCACTCGGGCGGTCCTACTTTGTCAACCACGACAGTCGGACCACATCCTGGAAGAAACCAAAGCCAGTGCGTCCGGCAGAGAGCTTGGCGCCGGAGTGCATCATCGAGGGTCACTCCAAATGCATATGGAGCCTTGCCTGCTTGGGCACCAGTTGCAATATACTGAGTGCATCGGATGACTGTTCGATTCGCCACTGGAAAAGAGACGGAGAGCCGGTAGGAAAGACCTTGGATAGCGATGGTGGGGAGATATGCTCAATGACATTATCTCCGGATGAAACAAGGGTCGTGAGCGGAAGTATAGACGGTGGACTACGACTGTGGAACATAAGGAAGGGCATCATGGTCGGTGACCCGTGGGAGGGGCACAATGCTGCAGTAAGGTGCCTCGATTGGTCCCCCAATGCCTTGGAGATAGCAAGTGGATCGGAAGACGGCACCATACGACGCTGGAATCCGAATACTGGCCAGCAAACAGCGACACTAATAGAGACCGGTCATGGCTGGGTGAATGCTGTCAAATACTCTCCACAATGCGACAAATTCATGAGCGGCGGCGAGGACTATATAATCCGCGTGTGGTCCAAGGACGGGCAGTTGCTCATCGAGATCAAGGGACATGATTACTCGGTGAAGTCATTGTGTTGGTCTAAGGACGGCGCATGTATATTCTCTGGGTCAGGCGATTACACCATCCGAAAATGGCGGTCAATTGATGGAGAGGAGCTCGTCGTTCTTCGGGGTCATACCAACATTGTCAGATCCCTGTGTCTGTCACCTGATGAAGGCCATCTTGTCAGCGCATCAGAAGACTGCTCAGTTCGCATTTGGGACCTCAAGACCAATCAGCCAGTTGGAGATCCACTCTTGCATGACGATGATGTTGTTGCTCTTGCTATATCCCGTGACGGACAATATATTGTTAGTGGTGGATTAGACGCAAAAGTTTATGTTTGGAGCATGGAGGCAGCACTCAATCAGCGGGGTGGCGACCAAGTTGGCGTGCGTATGTGCATTGGCGCCTTAACACATTTTTAACGGTTCTGGTTTAGAGCGTGGATGATGCCAATGCAAACCCTGATGCGAAGTCCAAGGCAAGTCAGCCCTGCTCCTCTTTTTTTCCCACTCGATCTTACCTTTTCCTAGGGGCATTCAGTGCGACCCAGAGATGTGCGCCGATCAGTTGTGAATAACCTTGTCCTTCGCTCATTTGTTGTTTAGCACTTCTCCTCACACCCAATTTTCTCCAAACAGCACGCGAACAACAAAGGCTCGGCGAAATATGTCAGTGTTGCTTTTCGTTCCTGAACTCTTTCTCGCCTGACATTGATACAGGGCAAAGACTTCTTCGCCAACGATACAAATCGCGCCCCAGCTCCGCCTGCGAGCCCATCAACTGTCCTTCATAGTTTGTTCGGTTCACTACGTTTCCGTCCTCGACCTCCAAATTCACCTCCATCAACAACGCGCGAGCCCCGACATTGGAATTTCAACTTAATTCCTGTAGGGATTTCCAGACGCACAGTTGATGTACCCGCTGCTCGTGATGAAGACGTGAGTTTTCTCGCCGTCACTTCTCTTTCATTCCATTGAAACACAATGCAGAGGTACGGTATTGTCCCTGAATCTGACGCGGAAGCTGCCGCAGCTATGCAACGTACGAATGTCAACGAGGCCGACAGTTCAACGCAACCAGGTCAACCTATGCCGGTGGTACAAGTGTCTCAGGGACGACCAACAGAAACACAAGGCCCAAGTGGTGGGACGGGAGACCCGTCTTATGAAGTTAACTGCTGCGGCTGCTGCGGATTTTTCTTTGGTGCCCGTCAACCCACCTCACATCGGTCCTGAGTTCATTTGCTGGAAGTCACTCCATGTTTCTCTCTTCTCTTTCGTGTTCGTTTAGGCATTGTATCTCGCTCCTAGCTTGTGCTGTCCCATGCAGATGTACATGATATTATTTTGTTAGGTAGCTATGAATTGTAAAGTAAGGTAAAGGAACCACATGCAGACCCACATCTAACCAAGATGTCCCGGTGCAAAGTGCATGCAGATGCAAACGCAGACGCAGAGATAGACTTGAGGACAGGCGGCGTTACATTCCTCAGTGTGCACCGTATGCTCCTCGTCATCATCTTCCAGTCAACTCCCCGCGCGTTAGCGGTGAGCTCGTGTTTGATGATGGATTCAATAAACAAAAGCATGCGGTGCTGGGTGAGAACTGCGTAGGGATGTGGTGTCGGACGAGGGCGTGTGCAGGGATGGGGCTAGTACTTACTGTGGAGGTGGTGCTGGCCCTACGGATAATGCTGATACAATGCAACTATTTGGGAGCAGGATGGAGGCATGGTGGAGAACCTGGATGATGAGTACTAGTCCATCAACCTGACAGAGCATTGAAGAAAAAACAGCGGCAGAGAAAGTTGAAACCCAGGAGAGTCGAGACAGGACGAGAAGTATTATGTCGCCTCCAAGCTTTCTCTCCATGCTCCACCACGCTCCACCAACCACTTAACGAGCGATTAGACACGCATAGATGAGGCAGGTAGGCATGTCGCGAGTGATGAGTGTTTGCTTGGTGTTCATGAGGACCCTGCACCGTCATAAATGATCGACACGCCCACCACCGAAATGTATGCATCCAGTTTTGAATTCGACATACCTCACAAGATGGGTGGAGTCAAGTTCCACTGGTGCTCGTATTATTGTACAAAGTGGTATGCATAGATAACACAGGAGGATAAGATACATTGGGCGATCCCGGTGTCGACTCGGATGAGTTGCTATAGCGCTCTGTATGCTGCCTCGGAAGACACTGTTTCTAGTGTATTGAAGCAGGAGCCGATGATGAGATTGCAGAGTCGGTTGGATCATTAGGGACGCTCAAAGTTGGGGGGCGCGCAGGTCGCCCACGCCTACGACCCCCTCCCCCCCCGCAGCAACATCATCCCGTGTCGAGCGTATACCCTAGTAGCTCTAAGTATGCCCTCCAGTATATCATTGGAAGGAAGTACCTTGCACTTCACAAGTACAATGGCTTCGCGGGGACCTTGATGTTCGCTGGGAACGTGACCCGGGAGGGGGTGGGCGGCCTGAGTTATGGTGTCGTGACAAGAGGCTCCAGAACTGGACGCCAGATACGCACGGGGAGTGTCTTAAAGGGCTCGAGGATGTCGGTCGATAACTAGGATAGTGATCAATCGATGGATGATTCGACTTGGGAATTGAATGTCGCTACAACTGTATGTATGCTCTACTTTGGTCACACTTTGCAGAGGCGCCGACTAGGCGTGTGACTGCGTTTGCATCATTACACTACATTCAAAATAAACTCTCACTGGTGGTCCAGGTGTCTCGATATATGTCGAACCTTGGCTCAAGCATACTCCATATCTTAGCGCTCGCTGACAGATTTAGTGCAAGTGATTATCAGACGGAACAAACCGAAGTGTATCGAAATTCGAAGCACTGCCGCTAACAAGTCTTCTCACCAAAGTTGCCTCCAACCACAGCAAGCAAGTCTGAGCATCTAGCAGATCCGTTCATCATCACCATCTTTCCTTAAGCTCGACTATTGTTTTACGCATTCCCGTGCCTGCCCTCATCGTCTCTTCTTGGCCATGCCCCGCAAAGAGGCCGAGTCAAATACGTCAACCGGACGGAGAGAAGCGCTGTTAGACTCGCCAGCACGTGTTGCACCTCTTCGAGCGGGAGCGAAGTATCCACCACCATATGGTGCACAGCGCCGCCAGGATGCTCTTTGGGAAGGTGATCAATAGTATTATGATACGTATTGAGTTACTCATCAAGAAGCAGGCGGGAATGAGGCGCTCCCCCCTCAATGGCAACAGTATCAGGTATTGAGTGGTGCAACAAGATATCAAGACACCACGCTTACTATGGTTTCACGGAACCGACCTTTACCAGGAGTACGACTAGGTGAGCGAAGAACGTTCCACTAGGAGCAAGGAACTCATAGCTGAGCATAGATGAACCTGGACAACTCGTTATTGATGGATGCGAATGGCACATCTCGCCACTCGGGCGGTCCTACTTTGTCAACCACAACAGTCGGACCACATCCTGGAAAAAACCAAAGCCAGTGCGTCCGGTAGGGAGCTTGGTGCCGGAGTGCATCATCGAGGGTCACTCCGAATGCATATGGAACCTTGCATGCTTGGGCACCAGTTGCGATATACTGAGTGCGTCGGATGACTGTTCGATTCGCCACTGGAAAAGGGACGGAGAGCCAGTAGGAAAGCCTTTGGATAGCGATGGTGGGGGGATAGGCACAATGTCACTATCTCCGGATGAAACAATGGTCGTGAGCGGAAGTAACGACGGTAGACTACGACTGTGGAACATAAGGAAGGGCATCATGGTCGGTGACCCGTGGGAGGGGCACAATGATGGAGTGAGATGCCTCGATTGGTCTCCCAATGCCTTGGAGATAGCAAGTGGATCGGAAGATGGCACCATACGACGCTGGAATCCGAATACTGGCCGGCAAATAGCGACACCAATAGAGACCGGTCATGGCTGGGTGAATGCTGTCAAATACTCTCCGCAATGCGACAAATTCATGAGCGGCGGCGAGGACTGTATAATCCGCGTGTGGTCCAAGGACGGGCAGTTGCTCATCGAGATCAAGGGACATGATTACTCGGTGACGTCATTGTGTTGGTCTAAGGACGGCGCACATATATTCTCCGGGTCATTTGATCACACCATCCGAAGATGGCGGTCAATTGATGGGGAGGAGCTCGTCGTTCTTCGAGGTCATACCCACCTCGTCACATCCCTGTGTCTGTCCCCTAATGAAAATTATCTTGTTAGCGGATCGTATGACTGCTCGATTCGCATCTGGGACCTCAAGACCAATCAGCCAGTCGGAGATCCACTCTTACATGACGACACAGTCTTTACTCTTGCCATATCCCGTGATGGACAATACATTGCTAGTGGTGGATCAGACGCAAAAGTCTATGTTTGGAGCATGGAAGCAGCGCTCAATCAGCGGGGTGGCAACCAAGTTGGCGTGCGTATGTGCATTGGCGCCTTAACACGTTTTTAACGGTTCTGATTTAAAGGTGGATGATGCCAATGCAAATCCTGACGCGAAGTCCAAGGCAAGTCAGCCCTGCTCCTCTTCTCTTTCCCATTCGATCTTACTTTTTCCTAGGGGCATCCAGTGCGACCGAGAGAGGTGCGCCTATCAGTTGTGATTAACCTTGTCCTTCGCTCATTTGTTGTTCAGCACTTCTCCTCACACCCAATTTTCTCCAAACAGCACGCGAGTAACAAAGGCTCGGCGAAATATGTCAGTGTTGCTTTTCGTTCCTGAACTCTTTCTCGCCTGACATCGATACAGGGCAAAGACTTCTTCGCCAACGATACAAATCGCGCCCCAGCTCCGCCTGCGAGCCCACCAACTGTCCTCCATAGTTTGTTCGGTTCACTACGTTTCCGTCCTCGACCTCCAAATTCACCTCCATCAACAACGCACGAGCCCCGACATTGGAATTTCAACTTAATTCCTGTAGGGATTTCCAGACGCACTGTTGATGTACCGGCTGCTCGTGATGAAGACGTGAGTTTTCTCGCCGTCACTTCTCTTTCCTTCCATTGAAACACAATGTAGAGGTACGGTATTGTCCCTGAATCTGACGCGGAAGCTGCCGCAGCTATGCAACGTACGAATGCCAACAATGAGGCCGACAGTTCAACGCAACCAGGTCAACCTACGCCGGTGGTACAAGGGTCTCAGGGACAACCAACAGAAACACAAGGCCCAAGTGGTGGGACGGGAGACCCGTCTTATGAAGTTAACTGCTGCGGCTGCTGCGGATTTTTCTTTGGTCGCCGTCATCCCACCTCACATCGGTCCTGAGTTCATTTGCTGGAAGTCACTCTCGAACTTCGTAAGTCGGGCCTGCTCTGACATTGAATATAATGGCGCGGCCAAAGATGACGCTGAAAATCTGGTGGATCAGTAGCTAGTTAGTGGAATGCACCAAATTGATTAGTCTCCCTATAGACGAATTATTTACCATTGACCGACCAACCTCTGACGTAGAGACAACACCAACCCCTGCGATGTCAACGGGTCTCGTATATACCAGATTATACTGCAACACGTGCAACTTCTGCCTTGCACTAAGTACACTCAGCCCGTTTTTGTGGACTCGCTCGAGGATAAGAAGGGGAAAAGAAAGGCCGTGGACGAGACAACTGGGCAGTCGCCCACTAAAAAAGGTTCTTTCACTGATGTGCTTGATGAGGACGAGCATGAGTATACTATGGTCGAGTAGGTTCAAGTGGTTGTCTTTCTAGCTTGGTTGCTTGACTCGAAACTATATGAATTACCTGCATTGTCGTCTTACAAATATCTGCGAATCATATTTTGTCTGTTCTTGCGGAGTCGGGGTTGGCGCTGGCGCCGCTACGATTTGAGAAGGGAATCTGGGTGTCTATCAGCCCTTCAAAAATACTGATATCGATAGCACAAGATGAGTCCGTCTAATCTTGCGCTCCCTTGATACAATTGGATCGCAGGACCGAGGGAGAGCACTCCACTAGCTCACTCCGATCGAGCGTAAACCCTACTCTTACTAAGTCTGCCCTCCAGTATATCATTGGAAGGAAGGAAGCACCTTACACTTCACGAGTACAATGGTTGCTTCAGATCTCACCCAATCCCCCGTGAAATCACCTATGCACAAGCTTGTCCAAACCTTGGTTGGTGCTGGCTCAAAATCAACGAGACTGAATTGTGATGACGTTGTGTACGTGTTCTATGTAATGCGAACGATGATCGATAAATTATGTAATACTTTCGCTGACAAGACACGCTATGACGCGTCTCAACTTGCTATGGATCAGCAGGTCCATGTGTGAACTAGGATATCAACACTGCATTAGCACATGGGTAAGGCCTGGTTCACCGTCCATCTCTCAAGGGCATCTACCACTGCCTCCTCACAACACCCTCCGTCAACCCCTCCAAAGCATCCCTAGCCTCGCTCCTAGGCAAGAACGCCAACACCTCTCGTGCTTTCTCAGCATGTACACGCGCTAGCTCACGCGTACGCTCTACACCACGAGAAGATGAGATCAACGTCAGGGCCTACACATCGCATGACAGCAGATAGAAAATGAAATAATGAGTCAGCGATTTGCAAAATGTGATTTACGGGAAGCGATACTCACCGTCTCGACATCTCCATCCCCACCAAACCGCCGCCCTATCATCGCTTCGAGCTCTGGGAACTCTTCAGCTGCGTAGAGCGCGGGTCCTGTTGCGAGTCCGAGCCGCAGGTCTGCAAAGCCGGGTTTGCCGAGCTGAGCTGTAGAGGAGGAAAAGTCGAGGGTGTCGTCTATGAGCTGCGCGAGGAATGAGTATGTGTCTTGTAGAACGGAAATAGTGTAGAAAATTGTATGCCACAGGACAAGACGAAACGGAATTACTTGTGCAGTGACAAAAGCACGAGCAGACACAACAAAAAGTGCGCAAACACACCTGAAATGCAATACCCAAATTCCTCCCATACGCATACGCCACTTCTTTCCACACTTCGCCTTCTCTACATCCTCCAAGTACGACAGCAGCGCGCGCTCCTTTAGCCATAAGCGAAGCCGTCTTCAAATATGTTTTTTTAAGATAAATAGACCATTTATCGGAGGGAGTCGATAACGGGGAAGAATGAAGACACTTTAGGTCAATGTCATTACCCGCAGACGACGACGACGGAGCAGCTTCCCCTCCATTCCCCTTCATCTGCAAAATCTCACCCTCTACAAGATTAGCAATAACGCTCGCGATGAGCTCTACCACCTCATTGCTCCCTAGCCGACTCAACGCAGCACTCGCGCGTCCAAGCAAGAAATCACCGCCCAGCACAGCTAGCTTGTTCCCAAAAGCAGCTGGTGCACTAGCTGCGCCGCGACGAAGGGGCGACTTGTCAAGCACGTCGTCATGGAGTAAAGAAGCAACATGTATCATCTCCACGATCTGTGCCAGGCGCAACTGCGTAGGAAGCATCGTATGGGTGAGTGCTGGCGAGTGGGTTTGATGGAGGAGTGGGGGTGGTGGGGTATATGGGGATGGTTGGGGTGGGGGTATGCGCAGCTCGAACGCGCTCTCGAATGACGCGGTGTGGTCTGGCATGCTGGGATTCCAGTCGCATAATACGTCTTTTCGAGTCAAAGGCGCGTCGAGCTCTTGTTGGCGTGCTCTCGCATTGTCTGCTGCCCAGTTTACTTGGGGGAATTCGGCGCCTAGTCCGTTTGTTGCACGCGCGAAGAGGAGGACGAGGAGGGGTCGGAGTTGTTTGGAGGGATGGAGGAAGTAGTATTGGGCTATGGCATTAAGGGATGGATGGGAACTTCCGAGGAGGGTGAGCAGGGAAGTACGCAGCTGTTCGAGATGCGGCGCGAGGAGGACATATGGGTCTGTTTTTCCCGAGGTTGGTGGAGCGGGACGAGGCTGAGGCTGAGCTAGTGCGCTGTGGTGTCGTGCGTGTCGTGCTATTCTACGCGCATTAGACGCTATGCGCATGCTCACCGTTACTGGAGACGACCATAACCGCATCCTCGACGACGACCAAGACTAAAGATGAGTTCAACGGAAGAAGCCAATTTCCCGTTTTCTATTTTTTCCCGCGCCGGCCGACCATCGCGTATCAATCCGACTCCAGACCACTCCAAATACAACCTAGATACTTACACAGTACCTGTATTAATATATATTCTAGTCCCGTACATTCGTCATGAGGGCCACCACCAACCATAAGTCGTGTGCACACAAAACCGTGTCCTCTCATTGGCTACATCTCTTCACGTTCCTTATCACCAAGTCGCACAAAGTACACTCCAGCTACCGCAAAACACCACCTGGTGATGTCGTTGTGCTCCTCGTCCGACTCTTGCTCCCAGTAGCCGGCGTCCGGTTCAGTGGAGATGCTTCGATAGCGCTTCGGTGTTTGTTTACGGAAGGCGCAAGGTATGCTCCTAGTTTTTTAGCCTGAGAAATGCAGGACATCAGTGTTCAAGAGAATGAGTATGTGAAAGGCGTACTTTTGCACACATAGTCTTCCAATCTGCTTCTGCACCACCGTTTACAGCAAGTAATAACAGTGGTTCTCTTTCTTCTTGTACTTCTGGACTAGCATCGTCCACAGGGACTACGACTATTCGTCCCAGCTACGCGTTACTCGTCAGTCAAACATTCATACAAAGGGAAAAAGTGTACGCGTATGCAAATAGAATGTTCGCGTGAACTTGGGAAGAAACGTAAAACAAAGAAAGCAACGACCCACCTCACTCTCTGCCATCCCCATCCCCTTCGCATCCCCTTCCTCACACCTCGTCTCAGCCCACACCTCAGCACTCAACCCAGCCAATATCCATATCTCATCCTTCGAGCGCTGCAAGGACGTTGTCTGAGAAGACACACTGCCAGATGCAGCACTACTGAGCGAGTGAGGTGGCGTAGTAGATCCTTGGGGGGTAGTCCTCCCTCGTAGAGGTGGGGTACGGCCTTGTGGTGGGGTACGTCCCTGTGAAGGCGTGGTCTGTCCTTTTGGGGGAGTAGTATATCCATTGGCGCTTGACGCGTGCGTATTAGGGGGCGTCGTGTGTCCATTGGTAGCAAGGGATGTAAGCGTATGCGATGCGTTTCTTTCATCATTCCCACTCGCCGTTGAGGAACAGGCAAAGGAGACGATCGCACCCTCTGGTGTTAGAAGTAGTGCGGTGTGAATGGTGTCGGTGGGTGAGAGTAGCTGTGTGAGGTAGGTGTGAAGTGTTGGGAGGTTGAGCATCGTGGACTGTGTCGTTCGTGAGATGAGTCGATACGGAGTTAGGTCGAGGTCAGCTCCGGAATTTGAGATTGATACAGTTGGTCGCAAGAGCTGAGGATGACTTGAAAGGTTTGCTTTATTGCTTCCGATGCCCATGAATCAGTTTGCCTTTTTAGGTCAGCCCCTGGCCCGACCCTGGACAAATCTGCGCTGGGCGCTTGAGCAGCGAGCGCCCTCATTCCTTCCGTGAAGTACTATACGTGTACCATCGTCCATATTTTTTTGACCAATATGATCCGACAGTAGTACTCTAGACCAACGTTCCGACGTGATTCTTCAAGGCTTTTGCGAATTTTGCGTGTTTGTTCTCACTCGAGAGTCAACACCGGGGTCGCCAGTGAGTCACACTTACTGGAACAATATGTGCCGTCTTCACTGAACGTGTATACACGTATGTGGTCTGAGCTCTCCTTCTCCCCAGGCTGTCGGCCCCACATGCCATCGTCGGTATATAGAGGGAGATATGCTTGGGGTCATCAAAAATGAATGTGGATTTATGAAAAGAAGCACTGTATTGAAGGTTTCACTGCCGTTCTCATGCAGTCAAGTGGAGCATAACTCACGTTACAATGAGAAACCTAGCCGGTTTGCACTGAAACCTATTGAAAGTGTTGCAGTCACAACTGCGGATGGAGCTCTCCGAGATGCGGCAATTCTGCTATTAGCTTGTCCTGTTTATTCCATTCGTGCATATTACTCTCTGCCCTCCGGGGAGGAGAGCTGAGAGACAATATGCTCTATGGAGGCCGTGGTGATCATTGATGAATACGCCGGTATTGAGTATGTAGGTACGAAGTGATGAGAAGCGAGACGTGCACTGGTACTGTGATGAAATTTGGGACAAAGGTCTGGTGATGAGTTGCGCCGTCAGGCCAACTGCGATCGACATCGACGTTCAACTTGGTGCGTCTGGTGTCGAAAGGGCCAGGATCACAAGTTTGTTAAGCGCCGCCTTCAAAGGAGGGTATCGTAACTTGAAGCCTGCGAACTTTTTCCCGACAAAATCAAGACAAAATGCTTTCAAATTCAATTCACTGATCAATCCAAGATCGATATCACTAACAACGCATAGTCCACAATGCTCAATATTCAATCTCCAAACGGCGAGAGCAGCTGTGTAGATAGTTGGCGAAATCTGCAAATATCTCATACAGCTGCTCTCACCCACCGACACCATCCACACCGACACCGTGACTGCTCCGGGTGTACTTGTCTCTTTTTCCTCTTCCCGAACGTGCTAAGGTCTTACAGTAACACAGTGCTCTGTCTATTTGAAACCTTGATAAACTGGGATGGCCATGATAGACGATCGAACTGGAGAAAATGCAGCCGTTTGAGGTGAAGTGTAAAAGGGAACTTGCTGGTTGATACAATGTCGTTTGAAGGTAGAGGTCATATCTGGAAGCACCATACTGTAAGTCATGATACAAGGGTGTACATTGGCTACACAATGTTAACGCTACAGATACTCATGTAGTGGATAGGAAACCTAGCACCGGGATTCTGTGGAGCGAACCCTTCGGCTGTCGACACCTTGCGCCCACGTTGCCCGGGAATCCGGTAGGCAAGTCATCTCGTGCCAGTATCATCATGGCACGAGGCGACATGATGGTAATCACCTGCCGCATGTCTAGGCGGCACCTACGTCAGTGAGCACCCGATTCTCCAATACACAATCTCTAGCGCTCACTACGATCAACCGCGCCAGCTCCCTGGGCACCACGACCCTCCTCGCTCTCCGTATCTCAAACGCGGGTTCCGCCACATCAAGCTGCGCATACGACAGCCAAGCCCCATTGCGGGTCCCGTACATGGATTGTGCATGGAATCCCTATGGGCAAAATACGTTATAATAGGCGCCAGCACGAAGACCAGAACACGTTAAAGACACGATGGCCGCTCGAAAACGAACATGCTCACAAACATGTTGACTCATGATAACGAAGACTCTTTCAACGCGCCTAACGCATGGCAGCTTTTCCACTAGGACGACACGTTCCGTTATGGATCCTCACCAGATTTTCAAACGCCCGGGATTAAATGTTGGTACTCGCACTCATACAAAGCGGGCTGTTGCTTAAACGCCAACGCCACCTTGCACTCCCACATCCACGCACACGCACACAGACGGACAACAAAGGAACAAAAAGCGCCAGTGGCACAGTCACGGTATGTGGCAGACGCTTTGCTTCCACACACTATTGTCCACAATTACTTGTGGAGCACGCTTTTTTGCTTAAATCCCTCGTTCGCGATGAGGAGGAGATCATCGTTCCCTTTCCTCACGGGCATTCCAAAATTTGTTTGATCGCACCGGAGCCCTCTCATTGCCTACATACCGACATGAAAATGCAAATGGACGCCGCACGTTATGGCCCCATGGACGCACAACGTTTCGATCCGCTACTGCGCACAAGCACAGTAAGTATTTCCTTTGCTTTCATTTCATTTCCTTGCGTCTTCTTAACACCACACTCACCTCCATTTCCATTCTCAGACACCCAACTCACTTCCTAAAACCGACACTTCAAAATTGACGATGGGGCAGGGCCTTTGCGTCAGAACTCGGCAGTGTATGCTATTTTCTGGACATACGAGTGTGGGCGGTATTTGGCCGCACCACGAGGTTGTGGTTGTCCCTCTTGACGGGGAAGATGCAGATTCGGAGGCGTCACGCTCATCCACACCCAGTTCTACTTCTACTTCTACTACAGAAACGAGCGAGTCTTCTGCTACCCCCGACGTGCCTCCATCGCACACTCCACAAGTCGATACAAACGACAGGGATGACGTCGTAGTCACACGCACCATCATTCGTCCCAATACCAGTACCAATCCTAATCCCCATCGCAATCCCAGTCGTATGCCATCTAGAACGCAAATGACGCTTGCGCGGATGTTCTCACGTTCGCCATCTCCCACCGCCTCTCCAGCTTCCTTTTCATCTGCGTTACCCCACTCCAACCCCCCTTCGCGACCCACGAGCCCGGTGCTCCAAGCGCTCAACTGTTTCAGCACATCCTCAGCTTTTGAGAGGGATGAGGATGATATGCCAATGAGGGGTGGTGAGAGCCCCAGGCCTGTATTCCAGGTTATTGTTACGCAAACGAGGGAGAGGTATGAAGATGATAGAGCATTCAAGGAAATTGTGGGGAGTGTTTACCCAGGGCCTGTCGCTGCTGCTGTGGGGGGCGGCGCTTGAGCCTGGTGCTCTGAAAAGAAAAGAAAAAGATGCTTGCATCGTTGGTTTTCCTGCAGCTCTGGACGCATCTATCTTAAGGTTATTGTATATCTTATTGAATATCTATGGCTTGCTTTTTATTCACTAGACAATCTTTCGTCCGTTTTTATGATAGTAGCATTACGGTCTTCTGTGGGCATGGGTGGTATGGTTGGCGAGTAGGCTTGCATCTTTGGTTTCCTGCAGCTTTGGACATATATCTTATTACGAGTATAATTACACATCTATGACTTCTCCTTTTCTTCATCCTTCATATGTTTTTATGATAGTAGCATTTATGGTTTCTATGAGCGGGGTATATAATTCCATGTTGTATGTGAACGATCTCCAGCTGGAAAAAAGGCCATCCTCTCAAGTGGGTGATGTAAAATAAAGTTTAATATGTGTTTCCACAAGTGTATCCAGAGCTCGTGCACTAACGGGAGATTTCTTTATCGTGGCTCTCTGAAAAAGAAAAAAATAAGCACACAACTACAAAGAAGAACATGTTCACGCACAAGAGCGAACGCCGTCCCACGATAAACGAACCCAAAGAGTTCCTTGAACTCCGGATGTGCCTTGGACACACCGACTGCATCAAGGTGTCTCACAGTGAATTTCTTGATGATCTGTGGAATGTGATGTTTGAGCGCAACGCAAGGACACGAAGGAGGAGAATGGGACACACAGATTTATTCTCCTGCTCTGTATCACCAATTCCTTCGTCTGTTGCGCGTGCTTTGCCTTTAGCATCGCTTAGGGGCCCAAAAGCCTCTGCGTCTAGTGCATGATTGGTTTTCCTTGCTGGGAGCGCGGGTACTTTGAACATAGCGCCGCCTCCTTCCTCGTCTTTTCTCTTTCCTCGGCCTCGCGGTTTCGAATTCGGCAAATGCAGCATCACCTCTCTTGCGCGTCTCACTACCTCTGAATCATCTCCTTTGATTTTGATCCTCGTGTTTGCGGCGAGTTCTCCGATGGATTGTGTGCGTGTGAGAAGACGCTGAGGCGGTTTTCTGGGTGTGGGATCATCTGGGCGGGGAGCACGAGTCGCGGGAGTGATGCGTGCTACGTGGATTGTTAGGGACGGAGTGGTGAGCGAAGGATGGATCTTTCCGAATATCAGTATTTCGGTCGTTGCGGGACCGTCTACAAATGACAATTGGTCCAAATCAAATGGAAGAATAAAGTGAATGTACCGGTATCTCCCAAGGCGACACGCACACCTATTTCTGTCCGTCCATCAGGAGAGAGACGCGATAGGCACAGCATGTTTTCAAAGTAGACGCGAGAGAGGGTGGCGGATGGATGGATGTCCCTGTTGGGTGTAAATGGGGTACGATGAAAGTTTAGTGTACTCACATACATACAGACGTCATCTGAAGGGTCTATGTACAGATTCTTGAGCGATTGAGTGCCTTTCAGTCTGAGGGAAGGCCGACCGCGCATGCTTTCGAGTGCCAGTGCTAGTGGATTATGGAGGAGGTCTTTGTTGGCGAGAAGGTTTGCTGAGAATGTGAGTCCATCTAGGAGGATGTAAGAGTCTGGCAGAGAGAGCGAGCCGCGATATAGGAGACGAGAGCTCGACGCTTCCGACATTCGATTGGGCGCTGTTCGACCGCGTTGTTGATGCTTGTTTACGCGTTTGTTGTTGACCCTACTTGCACTGCCAAACTTTGCAGATACCATGCCAATTATTCATGCAGACTAGACTACTATAGCAGCTCCAGCTGATCTAGCTTTTCCTAACACAAACACGGACGCTCGATCGCGACAGTGGATTTTTTTTTATTGAAATCGAGCCATGCTATAAGTTGGCAGGGCTCGAGCGCTCATGCATTGGCGCCCGGAGGTGACTGCCCTAACGAGTCTCAAAATCACTCAAACCATGGTTTTAGATGTTTGCCATACGCCGTCGCGCTTCGGAAGGTTGTTTCAATATACTTTCGACTTATCGTCTATCCCAGGTTGAAGGCTTGAAGGCACCGAGTGGCCGCTGGCTTCACGACTCCACGAGTCTTCTGGCAACATGCGCGATTGTCTTCCTTCTCTGGTGGATGACGGCGCGGTTAACTCCGTATCAGTTTACCGCGTGCGTACCAAAGCGACGTCCGGCATTTTCAAACTCACGGAAATGATAAGCTCCAAATTCGTGTAAGGGATGTGAGCGAGGCTGAATATTGTAGGTAGAAGTATCAGCGTCTAACCTTCATCCACAGCAGCCTGGAGTTCATGGGCTTCCACCCCTTCATTTTTTTTTATATTTGGGGAGCAATCTCCGAAACCTCCTTCATATATGGAGAAGGAGTATAGCGATGGATATTTATGTATCAGCGGATCAGATGAGTCTCTAATCAGGGTACACAACAGCTTGCGGGCCCTTAATCATTGAAAGGTTCCAGGCCGCGGCGGCCAGTGTCAGTCCCATCAGTCAATTTCAGGGTGTTACATATTCTGGACTGTATATCCGCTGGCCCTGGGCGTAATGCCTACTCTCTCCCCGCAAGGTTCTGACATCATCTTCTATCATCCAGCACAATCATTTAGCCAAACCGATTACGAGAACCGCCGATCCAGTCTCTACAGTTGGCAACAATTGGACAAGTCTCGTTTGCTGTATTTCTGGGCCCTTGCCACTTGGTGCCAAAGTAAATGCTGTTCAAATCACAGTCGATTCGAAAGCGTTCTACGTTTGCAAGAATGGAATCAGGGTTTCTGGTTCGTGATTAGCCAGAAGTCAATAGCTCATCATGTTGTAGTGCTCTTTCGGCCGTCATAGAAGGGTATCCGTGTTGTCGAGAACGTGTCACATAAGTGCGGGCTCCAACGCTGACCGTAAGTCGCTCGACTTGAAGTTTTGTTCCGATCCTGCTGTAAGCACGCCGGTTTATTACAGGCGGAAGAAGTATGTTTATAAGGCAACGTTAAATTTAAACGTGAAGAGCACGAATTTGAAGCGAGCAAGCGCTGCTACAATTCCCATCACGGACGAGGTTCGCAACTCGAGCCTTCATATACATATAGTTCACGCAATTGACCACAGTTGATTTAGGAAAACGATTCCAGTTGCTCAGGTGTCGCGAGCATTGGAACTCAGTACGTTCAAGTAGGAATACCCGTAAACATCCGTTCTGTGAAGACCACAGAACTTCAATCTTGTGCTCGAGACTTGCGGATCAGATGTACTCGACTTTTACCCCTCACAATCATCAACATACAAGACTGCATCCTCCTCCCTCCTTGACATTGATTATGGCTCAGGATCGGCGCAAGGTACTATCGCCCAAGATAGCGTCACCTTCGAAATGTTTCGGGAACTTCGTATGTCTATCGGGGACTTAATTAGACTCAGACCTAACCTTATTTTGACCATAGTCGCTGTTACTAACATCACCTCTGGCTTGATCGACGATGGACTCTCAGGTATCATGGGTCTCAGCTTCGCCTCAATTTCTGCTCTCCAGACTAGCCCTTTCTGGCAATCCCTGTATAACGGCAACGATCTGTCAGAACCCTTGTTCTCTTTCTACCTCGAACGCCACGTCAACCAACCCACTCAGATTAATTCTGCCCGGATAGTATGCTCACACTCGGGGGAACGAATTCCACTTTGTACCAGGGCTCCATCGAGCGCTTGAACCTGACCAGTCCGTCAGCTGTTAGCGCCATCATTATGTCGTGTCATCAGCATACTGAATGGTCAATTTGCAGTGGTCATTATACAAGGCAAGACGATCACCATTGACCCACCTAGCGGTCTTGCTGCCATCGACACGGGCGCTACCTTACTAGGGCCCCCGGGCCCACACTATCACCGCAAATATTTGGGCCCAAGTGTCTGGCTCCACAGAGCTTGCTGGAGACTGACAAGGCTTATATGCATCCGTCAGTATATGTGCGCACATCAGGATAAACAAAAGACTAACCTATTCCCAGCCTGCGACACTAATGTCACAGTTTACATCTCCTTCTGAGTCCTTAAGCGGTACCAACTGGGCGAACAGTCCCCTGGACATGAACCTCGGAACCCTCAACGACACAATGATCGGCAATGCGAACAGATTCCTACCTTACACTACACTTTTAGATTGAGAACGAACGAACGAATTCATCTATGGTCTGTCTACCCTGCCAGGGCCAAGCTTGGATGTTGGTGCCACATGTTAGCTGGGGGACTGACCTCACACGCGTAGAAATCTCCATCATTGCACCGTGCTATCTCAAGATCTCAATGATTTTGCTCGCTCGTACCTAAGTGATACCTACATGAACTAATGGTACAAATTCTTCATTCTTACGCACCAACCTCCAGTGCACATCAGACGCGATCACGTTTGATTCTGAGGCAACAAGCTGGAGAATACAAGTCGGAAATATAGGTGTACACATCAGGGATCCTGGAAGTACTTGTACAGCCAAAGTCTGAAATAACGAACAAAGTATCTTGTTGGCAACAGGCTACGAGGAGCCACGGCTAGATGATACACGCAATGGCGTCAGATTGTCTCAAAAAAGTGGTGAATAACGAGTGGGGACGACGTACGATATTGATCATATGCCAATATGCATGAACACAATGCGCTGCTCCAATGGCATGTCCTTGTCACTAGCCAATGACTGCACCGCTCGGTGCAGCGCACGGGCAGCGCGCTTGGAATTCATTTTGCCATCCCCGCACAAGTTCTTGTAGAATGCCTCGACTAAGCGCTGCACCGTACTATCGTTGACCTCCCATAATGTCCCGACTACACTCTGTACCCCAGCAAATTGTAAGCTAGCCGCCAGGTGTATGACTTCGTCAGGCGTATTGGCATCACCGACTGCGGTTTCACATGCTGAAAGAAAGGCAAATTCATGACGAGACAGATCCATTTGTGAGATATCGAGGAGTGAAAGCGGTTGGTCGAGCATGAGAAAGGCCGAATTGAAGGGTTCTGTATAGTTCTGTGTCCCGTGACACGAAAAATGAAGCCAGGTATTGTCTCGCAATGCATCCAACGCTCTCGATTTTGTTGCCTCAACGCTCGTTATCTTGGTGAAGGAAACAGTCGGAGGAGGGGGCAAAAGACTCCGCACCAATTCTAGTTCAGGCTCCACACACTCCAAAGTGAATAGATGACCGGCTGGGTGGTTCTGACCGATGGCAGCAAAGGGCACTGACAGGGATCTGTCATGACTTCTGCGAGTCCTGATCAGGGCGGTAAGCGATGGCGTGTATGAAGAGATATACAGCTGCGAAAGGGACTGTCCGTGTGCCCTGTACTCGCCAGCGGCGTGCAACGGCAAGAAATTGAAGGCACCCGTGGGGCACCACCATATCCGGGAACGCGATGGTGCAAATCCGCCCAGATGTTCGATCACCGGGTGGACGATGTCATTCCATAACTCCCTCAAAGCTTTCATCAGGGCTGAGTGGGTGCTTTGGGGGGCGGGTGTGGGAGCAGCTTCGGGGGGGTTGGGAGCGGCCTGTGGTTGACTTGCCGATTGAAATCTGTGCACCAAATTTTGGAGTTTCTCCAAATTGATGCGGAGTTTAATGCTTATCGGAGGTTGGTTGTGCGGGATAATAATGGCATCGCAAGACGACTTGCTTGCAACGAGCACGACAATAGGCCCATCACGAGCTGCATCTTGGAGATCTGAGAACAAGGGGGGAAGTAGGAAGCGAGAGAAGCCCTCGATATTCCGAATCTCTTCTACAACTCTATTCCAGTCCTCCACTAGACGTCGGTACCGGCTTGCTTCGGCTTCTACATTAACGCTTGGGGTCCCTTCTTGATAATTCGTAGGAGGTGTATTAAGGAGGGAGCTGATGTCTCTGAACTTCTTCATCAGGGCGACTGCATGATCACCGAGATCTTGGAGGCCATCAAGAGGCATGCGTAGTCGTGTCATCTGGGTCCAGATGAGAGTCCTGCCTTGTTCCAACAACTCGACAGCGCGACAGACATCACCGCTACGAAGAGCACATGATGCAGCATCCACGGCAAGCGTACGTGGAAAGTCCTTCATGGTATTGTGGCGAGACGATACTGAAGCTGTCGCAGACATGTAAGCGTCGAGAAGCTGCATGGAAGTCGCATAAGCCTCCAGTTGAGTATCATGTGAATATTCATTGGCATCGCGAACCCAGCATAGACTTGCTCGCAGGCGATGTCGCAAACCTCCGGAGACAAGATTTGCTGCTGCCTTGCGATGATGCATGGTAGTATTCAGACTGTCAGTAACTTCGCCAGTGTTGTCAAGTCCTGATCGATGAAACAACAGATAGACGGTAGCTAGTGAGGAGTGGACAATCAATTGATGAGGATCATGTTGCGTCAACAGAGTCGATGCATAGCTGAGATTCTCTCGTGACTCGCGTAGGTCTTCTCCATTGTGTCGGTGCTCGAAGCGGGCGGCGAGCATATTCGCAAGGTTATGCAATGACGTGCCCCGACCCGGGTGACCGACTGGACGTAAAGCCAGCGAATCCCTATGAAGCATGATAGCCTCATCCAAGTCTTGGTCATCGCCTTGGTGCTTGAAGCGCTTAAAGAGCGCATTCGCAAGGTTATTTATTGACATGACCCGACCCGGGTGATCGACTGGACGTAAAGCCAGCGCGTCCCTATGAAGTATAATGGCCTCATTCAAGTCTTGGTCAGTCCCTCGGTGCTCAAAGGAGGTATAGAGCACATTCGCAAGGCTATTGAATGACGCGGGCCGATCTGGGTGACCGCATGGGCACAGATCCAGCGCGGCCCTAAGTAGCATGATCGCCTCATCCAAGTCTTGGTCATTGCCTCGGTGCTCGAAGCGGATAGAGAGCGCAGTTGCAAGGTTATTTAATAACTTGTACCGATATTCATGACCGACTGAACGTAAAGCCTGTGCTTCCCTGTAAAGCATGATAGCGTCATCCAAGTCTTGGTCATTGCCTCGGTGCTGGAAGCGTATAAAGAGCACATTTGCGAGGCCATCTAATGACCCAGACCGATCAGGGTGACCAACTGGACGTGAGGCCAGCGCTTCCCGGTGAAGCATGATAGCCTCGTCCAAGTCTTGATCATTGCCTCGGTGCTGGTAACGGGTAGAAAGAGTAGATCCAAGGTTATTTAATGATGTGGACCGATCTGGGTGACTGATTGGATCTAAAGCCAGTGCGTCCCTTTGAAGCATGATAGCGTCATCTAAATCTTGGTCATTGCCTCGGTGCTGGAAGCGGGTTAAGAGCGCATTCGCGAGGTTATTTAATGACGTGGACCGATCCGGGTGACCGACTGGATGTAAAGCCAGTGCTTCCCTGTAAAGTATGATAGCTTCATCCAAGTCTTGGTCATTGCCTCGGTGTTCGAAGCGAGTAAAGAGCGCATTCGCAAGGCCACTAAATGACTTAGACCGATCTGCATGACCGACTGGACGTAAAGCTAGCGCGTCCCTGTAAAGCATAATAGCGTCATCCAAGTCTTGGTCATTGCCTCGGTGCTCGAAGCGGGTAGAGAGCGAATTCGCAAGGTTATTGAATGACACGGAGCGACCTGCATGACCGATTGGACATAAAGCCAGTGCATCCCTGTGAAGCACGATAGCATCATCTAAGTCTTGGTCATTGCCTCGGTGCTCGAAGCGGGCAGAGAGCACACTGGCAAGGTTATTTAATGACGAGGACCGGTTTGTGTGACCGACTGGATGTAAAGCCAGGGCTTCCCTCTGAAGCGTGGTAGCCTCATCCAGGTCTTGTCTACTGCCTTGGTCCTTGAAGCAGGTATAGAGCACATTCCCAAGGTTGCTGAGTGACGAGAACCGATGTGGGTGACCGACTGGATGTAAAGCCAGCGCGTCCCTATGAAGCATGACAGCCTCATCCAAGTCTTGGTCATTGCCTCGGTGCTGGAAGCGGGTAGAGAGCGAATTCGCGAGGTTCATTAATGACCCAGGCAGATATGCATGACCAACTGGAAGTAAAGCCAGCGCGTCCCTGAGAAGGATGATAGCGTCATCTAAGTCTTGGTCATTGCCTCGGTGCTGGAAACGGGTCAAGAGCACATTCGCGAGGTTATTAAATGACGAGGGCCGATCTGCATGACCAACTGGACGTAAAGCTAGCGCATCCCTGTGAAGCACGATAGCATCATCCAAGTCTTGGTCATTACCTCGGTGCTTGAGGCGGGTGGAGAGTTGATTCGCAAGGTTACTTAATGACGTAGATCTATCTGGGTGACCGACTGGACGTAAAGCCAGTGCTTCCCTATGAAGCATGATAGCGTCATCCAAATCTTGGTCGTGGCCTCGGTGCTCAAAGCGGGTAGAGAGCGCAATCGCAAGGTTATTGAATATCATGGACTGATACGAATGACCATCTCGACGCAAAGCCAGGGCGTCCCTGTGAAGCATGATAGCGTCATCCAAGTCTTGGTCGTTGCCCCGGTGCTTGAAGCGGGTAAAAAGCACATTCGCAAGGCTATGTGATAATATGGACCGATCTGGGTGACCGACTGGACATAAAGCCAGCGCGTCCCTGAGAAGGATGATAGGATCATCCAAGTCTTGGTCGTTGCCTCGGTGCTCGAAGCGGGTAGTGAGCACATTCGCAAGGTTACTTAATGACTTGGACCAGTTTGTGTGACCGACTGGACGTAAAGCCAGGGCTTCCCTAAAACACGTGATGGCATCGTCCAAGTCCTGGCTATTGCCTCGACGACCATGGCGATTGTATAGCAGTCCGCCCAGATTGCACAACAATTGCCCTCGGGATTCATGCATAGTGCCGTAGTATCGCAGTGCGCCGTAATGGAGGGAGATCACTTCATCTAAGTCATGGGGGTCATCTCTGTGTAAACACCGCTCTCCACGATGAGCAAGTTGATTTGGCGATAACGGAAGCATGGATGTAGCGGGCTGCATCTGCCCAAGATCGTGTTGATCCATGCCTCTAGCTCGGTGCAGAGCACATGTCTCGATTGCAAGTAAAGCTGCTCTGGAAATGTGGCTGTTGGCGTGGCAAACATCGAGAACTTTCCTCAGCAACTCTTTAGCTGCATCAGCATCCGTTTCAAATCCCCGTTTTGCGAAACGCGACAGCAGAGCAATGGCAAGATGGAGCTGAGTGATCGGTCGGTCAGGATGACCAGTCGGACGCAAGTCAAGGGCGTCTTGAAAAAGAGAGATGGGGATGTCGAGGTCGAGGTATGTTACATTAACTTGGCAACTAACAAACTTTGCCGCAGCTAGATTGAACAGTGCTGCAGGGCGGCAGGGATGATTCATGGGGCACAGATCAGAGGCCCGTTCAAAGCGCGTTATGGATTGGTCTAGATCCCTAGTGTTCTGTGTCCGTCGGTATCGTGCGAGAAGGCAATGTCCGGCGTCCGTCCTTATTACTAACTCATCCATGTTGTCGGGTGTAAGCTACGCATCACAAGCACTCAGCATCAAAATATCGGACTGCATTAATCACTCACGATAGTGAGGGGGCGAAGACCTGAGGCACCATTTTCATAAGAACGTCGCTGCTCCACTGTCATGGACAGCGAAGTGCACGAGGATACGACTTCCTCCTGTTTGGCCTGAAATATTATAGCTGTGATACCCGTCAACATCTGCCAGGCGTGATTTACAACAGATGTTACTGACAACGTGACTTTTCACTGCGATCCAGTAATTCTCCCACCGAGATATTGAATGTGCGAAGAACTTCTCCATGACCGAGCATGGGATCCAGTTCAAATGAGGCACACACGCTGACCCGAACTACAGAAGATGGATCACATGGCCTAGAGTCATTCTCAACGCCTGCACGATAGACAGGATCAAGGACAACTTACAGAAGTATCTGCTCATTCCATTCGACGACACCCTGGTCTACGTGTACAGGTTTGTTGCTTGTCTGGCACTCGAAACCAACAGCCTTTACCACCACATGGAAGCCAGCGGGAATCCGTCGGAGACCAAGAGTCAGATCAGTTGCGTGAATGGCTTGGGGGAAGTCGTTAATATGTGCGGAGCTGAGTTTGATATCACATACCAGTGACGACGACTTGGGGGTGTTCTTGGTGGCTTGCCTCCTCACCCAAGGCTGGGAGGGTATCATGGAGTGGGTCTGGCACGGTGTCTGTCGCGAAACGAAACAGCAGAGTAATCAAGGAATAAAGCGTCATCAAATGGTTTTGGGAGATCATTGGTAAGTGCTGAATGAAGAAAGATGGCACATACTATTCACGTCGACTAGCATTTCATTGATCACGAGGTTTATCTCAGGGTCCTGGGGGCGTTCTGGATGGCTCGGCTCCTCCAAGGGCGGAGGACGAGCGACAAAGTTTGACATGTGGCTGAGGGATGGAATCAAACTGACACTTGAGAGTAAGATGTGTACTGGAGGTCACAAGTTACTGTAGTGCCTGCAAAGTCCTGACGGATTATGAAGGAGGGAACCACAGCATGCACGTGGCATCTACACCGCGCTGCGATACATAGGGCAGAGTTCAATGGGACAGAAGCGGCTCGCAGGACATCGGATTGTCTATAGATTCGTTAATGGGCGTCATAATTGCGCAGCGAATCCTCCTTGTGGGTCTGCCCTTACTTGTAGCAGCCAACACGAGGAGGCTGCGAGGCTCAAGAACAGCACCGGATCACGATTCGGCCTGAAAGTGCCAACGCTTTGCCTAGACAGACAAGGGTTCGCTGTTCTGGGCGCACAGATAAGCTCAGCGCTTATGACGGAATCGGACAAAGTTCTGCTCGGGTTCTGATGGGTCGAGGCTTCCACTTGGGAGAGCAACGGGATATTGATTGACCGGGTCTGTACATGTAAGGATGTGATACTAGTTGTTGATTGCTAGAGACATTGCAAGGATCATGTAAAATGAATCAGAGTGAGGATTGTCATAGTTCAAGTTGGCTGAGAATAGTAGCCGTTACATCGAGCGGGGTTTAAAACTTTGACCCGTACAACGTCCAAACGGCCCAACGTTGTCCAGCGTTGTCCCCAGCCAAATCTTTCTGGCACGCAGCCATAAGTTGTCCACACTCACCGAATAGTATATCGACCTCGCGACTATTTTCTCGCCATCGTTTGTACTGCCAGCGTAATTCCTAGCGCGTCCCGCAGGGACTTTTAGATGGCCTTGTCAATGTTATGTCTGTTCTCGATTGTCTTATCACGGTATATCCCTTATGCTCCAGAGCGTCCACTGTTAAGTAGTAGCTCCAGAAAATTCGAATACTCGTTGCTGACGTGACTTGCTCAGGAAATCATTCATCGCCGCAACGGCGTCTGGGGACTTGGTAATTTTTCGTAAAACCCTGTATGTGAGATGGGCCATGGCGAACATGCGCCGTGGTGGCACAGGGCGTGTACAGTGACTACAGAATTGAACCATCTCACGTACTAGCTCCAAACAATCTCGGCATTCTTCGTGAGGGGACGATCCCTTGGCGCCAAAGTAAATGCTGTTCAAATCACAGTCGATTCGAAAGCGTTCTACGTTTGCAAGAATGGAATCAGGGTTCCTGGTTCGTGAATAGCCAGGAGTCAATAGCTCATCATGTTGTGGCGCTCTGTCGGCCGTCATAGAAGGGTATTTGTGTTGTCGAGAACGTGTCACATAGGTGCGGGCTCCAACGCTGACCGTAAGTCGCTCGACGTTTTGTTCTGATCCTGCTGTTACTTGAAGCACGCCGGTTTATTACAGTTCTAATGTACATCATTACTACATCAGGAAAACCACCGGTCTCTTTTTTTACTTAATGCGACTTAATTTCTGAGAAATGAAACCGAAACATCACTTTTTTCACTTAATAGACTTTCTCAAAAGTCAATTCAGCGTGCGCTCAAGCTCACAAGTCAGGATGATTCGAAAAAGTGGGAAAAGTTGTATTAAGTCAAATAAGTATTACACGGCCCATCTAGATTAAGGGGGGGGGGGATTTGGTGACAAGTTCTGATGAGTGATGTGGTAGTAGGTGGGTGAGTGATAGCGAGTAAATTCATTGGGTTGCATCAGGGATCCGACGCGAAAAAGATAAAGATTGACAAAGCATTATCTAAAATAAAATGCGTATAAAATCTGTCATAATTGTACTCCAAATGAGAAAGCTTTAAATACCCGGAGTAAGTTGGATAGAACCTGCCAAATGCACAATGGTGACAGTCTCGCTGCAACTACCTGCCGGCTTATCGTCACAACGGGACAGGTTGCAACACCCAACAGTCGTGACAAGGGAATATTGAGTTGTTAAAAGTCTCCACCACTATCTAGTTGTGTATTAATTATAATGCACTACAATTTTGCCTGCCCTATGTACCCTTTGATTGTTTTTTCTTCGTTGACAATTTCCACATGAATGCCTAAGTCAGATCAAGCTTTATATGGCCGGACTGCGTTGGATCAAAGCTGCCGATGCCCCAACGATGTCATGTGATCATAGCGCAGCGCCTTGTTATCTCGATGTGGTTGTGATGTCGCCAAGTGCACAATGTGGGTAACAAATGACAATCTACTATGATCCTTCCCAATGCTTACAGGTTATCATCATCAGATATAAGGTGAGGGGGATATTTTATTCCTCGCAAACTCTAAACAAACGCTGGCTCTAGATACAGTCTTCGAAGACCAGGCTGTCTCTGATCGAGCTGCCTTTGGTCCAAAGGTGCGAAGCGATGACAACATCGTGCCATCCCCCAGCTGGTCGCCGAGGCTCGGTCATCAGATATAAGGTGAGCGGGATATCGTATTCCTCGCAAATTCTGAACAAACTCTGACACTAGATATAGTCTTCGAAGTCCAGGCTGTCTCTGATCGAGCTGCCTTTGGTCCAAGCGCGAGAAGCGACGACAACATCGTGCCATCCCCCAGCTGGTCGCCGAGGCTCGTTCATCAGATATAAGGTGAGCGGGATATCGTATTCCTCGCAAATTCTGAACAAACGCTGACATTAGATATAGTCTTCGAAGACCAGGCTGTCTCTGATTGAGCTGCCTTTGGTCCAAGCGCGCGAAGCGATGACAACATCGTGCCATCCCCCAGCTGGTCGCCGAGGCTCGGTCATCACGTTCCATCTCAGTTGGTTATTTTCGATGGTCCCAGCTTACGCGGGGTTTAGCTGAAGGTCAGTTATCTTGCAGGGCAGGCTCGCGCGGAACAGTATTGCATAGGAGATCATCGTGCTATATGATGAGAACTTAGTATCGTTGAAAAGCGGGATTTCTGTTGTTTTGTGATGAGGTGATTTGGAGGCCAGTATTGTAGTCATTTCAATGCGCTAGCTTGGTTCCGATAGTCACGAGATGGCTAGTATTAAGTGGTATTTGTATTTACTACATGAGGACATAAAGACTACGAAGGGATTGTGTTCGAATCTGCCGCCTGTTTGGCCGCGAGGCGCTTGAGTCGGATTTTCGATAAGGCGCTGTTGGCGCTAATTGATCGCTTGGCGGCAGAGGAAGTAGGGAAGACTTGACTGCATAGAAATATATAAGCTTCAGTGAAATGGTAAATAGAAATAGAGAAATCAATACCGATTCCACCATGTCAGCAGCTCCTCAACCTCCTTCGATTCATCAGGGTCTTCGAAAAGGTCAAGGAGGCTATGATAAAAGGTCTCTGAGTCCGTGGTAGTGTCGGTCCGCGAGAACACCGAGGAAGAGCTTAAAGCGAATCGAACCTTCAAATGTAAGTATATCAAAACGCTTAGCTATAAATATATAGAATCAACGAACCTGAGTTGCAACATAAGCAATGGAAGCAATGGTGACGGAGTTCATCCCATGGAGACGAGCATTTCCGGATCGTGTCGCTTTTGGCTCTTTGTCGACTGAACTTGGGGACGTGAAGATGTGCTTATAAGCCTGGCGTCAAAAATATAGTGAAAAACTATGGGAAAAGATGTCTCCACTCACGCATACCAGCAACCGGCTCCTAAGAAGCCCACACCACGGGTCTTCTGTGTCATACGTATGGTGGGCGAACAAAAAGATAGGCCATTGATCCCCACACACCGACAATTCGCCGCTTCGGAGGTTCTCTCTCATTCTACGCAAAGTTTTCAGCACTGCAGACACCGGAAAACCAAGAACATACTCTGTATTGTTCCAATCCAACCCAGCAGGACAAAGTAGTGATCCGGTAAGCTCGTGGTTGAATCCGCGATCAATCTTCGAGTTCCTGTGCAAAGGAGGCTGGATTGCTGCGTCTTTCGGCGTAATCCAATCAAGTATGGCAGACTTGAGCGTTTTTGTGTCGTCGCCTCTCGCGCCTGCAGCTCCTTTACCGATCTGAAACCCATCAGTATGAACTCTGACCACGCAAAAAAACAACGCACTAGCTCTCCAACATGGAGGATTTCTTCCTCAGACCCGTTTTGTAGGCGCTCCAAAAGGCCGGGATAAGACTCTAAGAGCTGTTCAAAGACGCGATGTTCTCGTCGTTCTCTGCCAAACGCGTCAGTCAACAGGCTAGTTAATAAGGATGGTGTTTTTTTCACTCAGCGGAGAAGTCCTCCAGTGGGGTATTTTCCATTTGTTCTAATCTGAGGATACCGTTGGTGAGTAGAGAGGGGTAGTTACACAGCGCGAATACGGTTCGACCAAAGTGACGCCCGTGGGATATGAGAGGATCAGACGTAGAGCTGTGCGACAAGGTGAGCATACAAAGCCAGAGCCAAACTTAATCAACTTGCGCTTTTTTGCGAGGCCCCCAATTGCAGGGCAGATGCAGCGCGTTTGCTTGGAATGTTGGAAGTACCTTCGGTGGTCATGAGAGAGCCGGCAAAGATTAAAATGTAACTGTATCTGAGCAGATACTAGGACCTAGCTTTTTATCTCCAGTACTATGCCGCGTGGGATTCCAGGTAAGCGGTGTACCTGATGGCCGCCAAGCAGAGACCAAGGAGACTGGCCGCTAAGCACTGGCCGCTGTGCTGGCCGCTAAGCACTGGCCGCAATCCTGGCAGCTATGAAACCGGGACCGAATACCCTTCCGTCTAATCAACGGCAATGAATAAAACAGTTCAAAGAAGCGCTGAAGAATTACCAGAGGATAAAAGCTCCCTGGCCAGACTAAAATTGCCATACATATTCACCACTACGTCCAACCCGAATGTCACAAACCTTGATTCAAAGTCAAACCTTGAATCTATCTGGATGTGTTATTAGTTTGAACCTTCGGTGAGCCTGGTAACCCACTGACAGCAGGACGTGCTAATTGTGTTTTAGGATTGAGTTGGCGAGCAAAGTCAATGGGGGAGGCGAGCCTGCAGAACTCGCCAGTGTAAGGTACATGAACACCACCATCAATCAGTTTCAAATCTGACCGTATATCAGCGACGCGTATGTCGTCAAGAACAGGCCCTCAACGGAGAACAAAGATCTGCCGGAGCACAACCGTGAAACCCACGAAGAGTCCGTGGCCGAGCTCAAGGAACGACTGCGACTTGCAGAATTGAATATATCGAAACTGGGAGAGCTGTATCGAAAATACAGACTGCGTTGGCTAGAGGAAAATCATCGGGCAACGATATTGGAGGAATACGCACCAAATGGAATCAGTACTACCTCTCCTGGCCAGATTATATGGAACGCCCCTTCTCCCTTTCCAAGTATGTCCGACGCGTATACGCCTAAAATAAACTGACTGTCTTTCTTAGCTAATGTCAACGACCCCGAGAATCTAGAAGAAGACATACCGTAGCATTGTCGTGTAGTATTACAGTCGCTGTACAGAAGATGTCAGTGACTCTTCATGGGGCAATTTTGTCGTTATTGGACCTTGAAGTGATGAAACATGCCCGAAAGAAAAAGTTCTTTTCCAGAGTAGGCCCGAATCAATTGTTTTGCCCGCGGTGAAGGAAAGTCAACTGAGTTCCGCCTAATCCAGCGGTTCGATGTCGATATGCCGAGCGACGTGCAGGTCACGAAGGTAGTGGAGGAGGGACGACAACTGATTCATCATTCGTGAGCCAGCTGGCGTTACCACGCCGGCTGCGAAAGCAGATTTTCAACTGAGATACGCGAGCTTGTAGGACTTTATTCACGAAGTGCAAAAGCGCGTAAGCCTTGAACAAATTCAGTTGATTTGATGGCGATATGCGAGGTGTAGCTGAACGGGATATGCACGAGGTAACACGAAATGTACAGAGCGATGACACTGGTAAAGCGTGATGCAAGCGAGATCAGAGCAAGCAACAATGGAGGGGGTGTCCGGGCGGGTACTGGTGCATTTGCGCGAATCGACAAATCGAGCGCAGGCGGACAACGAGCAAGATGCGTAGAGCACTGAGACAGCAGCGTGACAGCGACAAATCGAGCGCAGAGCAGAGGGCATAGATGTGGCGCATAAACAGGCGGGTGTGCGGGGGGAAAGGTATTTGATAATTATAAGATCAACATAAAGAACAAAATCAAAGAACAAAAAACGAAGTTGGCGTTGTGGGATGGATTGATGGTTGAGTTACACAAAATTAACTATGATCATGATGCTCGTGTGATGGATATGATGCAGGCGGGGGTTAGATGGTGTAGGTGTCCGTAAAATGGATATGCGTTTTGAGTGATTATTAGCCGTGATGATGTAGAAGATTGAACGAGGGGGTAGGGACCATGCACGTCGTCGGCCCTATGAGTTTTCATCTTTGAAATCCTCGTCGCCGTCCATGCCTGCTGCTGCTAGCCGCTCCCTTTCCGCCCGATTCTTTGCACGAATAGCTGGCAACTCATCCAAAAGAGACACCTGCTCGCCCTCTTCCCACCGCTCCAGAGCCCACTCTCGTACCAGTATGCTCACCTGCAAGATGACTAGGTCAGCTACTTCAAACGTGCAGCTCATTATGACGCACCTTCATGAATCGCTTGCCAGCGTATTTCTTGTAAAATGATTCGTGACGGACAGGTTTGAGAATATAGTTGAGCATCAGGTTGGCGGTCGGAATTATGGAGCTTTCCGCATACGACGAGTAATGGGCATGATTGGGAGTCTAGAATCCGAAAATGTTATCAACGAGATCAAAATGTGGCATACACATGACGTACCCATTTCGGGCTTCATACCTGGATCCCGCGTCTACGTGTAGTTCAACGGATCAAAAATGACCGGGAGTCGATTCTTGCGGCCAGAATGCTTCGTCTGGTAGTACTTGGAGAAACGGCCGTATGTAGCAAGAATTTCGGGAGGAATGATGAAGTCGTTATTGGGTGCGCTGAGCGGCCAGAAGTTCGTGCCGAGAACCATGATGGAGAAGTTGATGTCCATATCCTCGTGGTTCTGCATACGCTCCTGGAACTGATCAGTGAGGTCTTTACTGAGACTCATGTCTACGAGAAGCAAGTAAGCGACCGAAAGGTGATGGATGGAGCATGGAATGCACCTGTGAACATTCTCTGCAACTTGTTGGTGTACTCGAAACCACAAGCCTCCTTCAGCTTGGAGATCATGCTCGCCTCGAATTCGTCCGATGCAGATACACCGTGAATGAGGCGCTTAGACAATTTCGTAGCGTAGAACGTCTGGAAGACGTCCTTGTCCTCGATGTACTTGAAAAGTACCATCTACGCACGCAAATGAGAAATCAGCACAAAGCCATCGAGCGAGATACTCACAACGCGGTTCAGGGCACCTTCAAGGTCCTCCTCCTCAGCCATCTTGTTATTTTTGCGCAGCAACATATCCGCGTTGTTGGCGAGCAATTCTGGTGACTTTGTTGTCGATGAACCTGTCGCAGCATTGCGGTTGACGAACTCTCTGCATGCCTTATCGAGCGACGCAACGAATCCAGCCTCTCCTCTAAAGCTCCACGTCACGGTTTCCGAGTTCTTGCGATGAACCTCAAGCAATGCGTCGACGTATGCTTTGGGATCCAATGAATCTGCACCCTCTGATTCTTCGCCCAACAGTTTTGCAACAGCAGCCAGACCGGACTTCTTCACATGTTCCTCAAATTTCTTTCTCAAAGGCTCCAGGCCTTCGGGTATGCGCGATAACAATGCGTACATCCTCTGCAGGTCTTCGTCTTTGTCAAAATCGAGCAAGCTTTGGAAGCTCTCCCAGTCAGAGTGTTGTCGGATCAGCACATGCTCACATTTGCTGACGAGCTGCTTCCGTGTATCAGCGTTTAGGTATCGGTCCACGCTGTCCTCTTCCTCCTTCAGGCGCTCTTCGGCCTTTTTCAGATTGTCAGATACACTGCTTTCTGCGAGGAATGCCTCGGACTCCTGCTCGTAGTACTTTTCCGTTGCGTCAAGGAACGGTGTCTCCAGATGCTCCCTGTAGACATCAAGGGACGCTTTGTTGATGTCCGACTCATCAAGACCCAGCGAAACGAATGAGTCGACCACTGTTTTCACAAGACCTTGATCGATCGTCTCGCCATTTCTTTGGTGCTCAATCAATCTGAGGATGGCACCAGCGAGCTTTGTGTGTTTGCTCTGGACGTGGAGGAAGAAATTCGATTTCCACTGCACGAGCGCGAGCTGTGAGAGGCGATCAGTGTATGGCGATCAGCATGACAGCGTGGAGAAAAGGGGTGACGCACCGTGTATACAGGATATACGCCTTTCCGACCTTCGTCCCGTTCTCGCTTTACCCAGTGGCGATTGAGGTAAGTGAACAATCAATTGATGTAGTTGGCACCTGTAGTGTATCTGTCCCATTCACTGGCGTTGTACCATAGGAGAGCTTCATCTTGGAGGCTATCGGATTGCTGCAGAACGGACAATAAGAATGATGTCTGATCGCTCGTGAGATCAGAAAAGGAAGTCGACGTACATCCTTGAGGAGCTTGAGATGGGCGATAAAATATCGTATGAGGTTGTTGTACAAATCCGAGCCCATTAGATTAGCCCCTGCTGCTGAGGAGTCAGACTGCGGCCAGGAATTGTCATCACTGTCAATGACACTTACCTCGGCTGCCCTGCCCAACAGAATCAGTAGTGGTACTATGCACGCGCGAGGACGTGTAGCAGTTGTATGCCGCTGTGTAGAGGCTCATGTACTTGGAGTAGGAGACGCCAGTCTGGAGCTTGGTCATGATGTGGTCTACTCCGTCCTGAGTACATGGCAATAAATCAGCCTAAGCAACGTAGACGAGAGCGAGAACAAATACCGTCAGCGGCTCATTAAGTTTCTTAGAGTTGGGCACGTTCGGGAAATGGTAGCATGTGAGGTTGTTGTGCTGCGGTTTTATTTGCGTTTCTGAATCGAAAATTGTTTTCAGAATTTCCTTTTCTGGATATGTCATAAATTCAAAATATCTCGCTCATCATCGACCGATTCTCTAGATCTTTGGAGATCTGAAATCAAGCGTGAAAATCGATTATGATAAAATTCTTCAATTCGGACCGATAAGCAAGATCGTAGCAAGCTCGTGAAATCATCAGAATGTCCTAGTGTGAGAGATCATTAAATATTATGTGGTATACTCTGCTAGTGGAGATATGATGGTGATCTACTTTTGTAATATGTGATGTAGATCAGCAATCAATCAGATGAGTTATGCATATTGCATATGGGGTAGTAGGTAGATCATAGCACTACTAGCTAGTGTTGTGGTATGCTGGTATGACTGTAGCGGCACGCTAAGCTTGAAATTTGAAGTGCGGTTCATAACGTTCATAGCTAGAGCAGTTTAGTTTTCTGATCGTCAAATAAAAATAAAAAATACGTACACTGTGCATCACTGAATTTACGCGTTGTGCCACGCGTTGCGCCACATGAACAAGGCCGTCGGCGCAGAGGCGCGCAAATTTCCTGATTCGATGTGACGTTCGGGGCCGCGGAGAAGCAGCCGCCTCGGGTACTGAAGTCAGGCTCCGTGACGGCGACGATTTACTTAAAGCATACCCTGTTTGCGATCCACAGCTCAAATTGCGTCTGGAAAAATGTGAGATTATATTTAAACTACGTACGCGACGAAACTTACACGATTATCGCTTCCGATCTGAGGGGAATGTGCGACTCGAGTCATTGTCTGACGCGTAGTGTAAGTATGAACGATCGGGAGAGTCCGATTATACTTGCCGTGAATATTCCTTATTTGGTGTTCATGAACGGTGATATAGATGACAGAAAGATTATATCATTTTGTCACATCAAATAATGACAAACAAAGTCACGTGATCTACCCCATACGTTACCTCGTACATACATGGTAAATTACCGGTTGTATATTATTTTTAATATGTCAAATCAAAGACCCCATAGTGTTATGGTATTGTCGTCATCTTTGGGCCATTGGTCCCGCAGGCCGTGAGTTCGATCCCTTACGTACACAATATTTTAAACTTTTTCGCGGCGCTGCTGGACCGTAGTTTTGCAATCTGGCCGACGCAACGGATCTACTGATACACAAAATTTAAGTCAAACATCATTTTCGTTATATAGAATGAATGGACGTGAAGATTACTCGATCCCTATGAGGCGAATCGAGAATTTGGACATCAGAATTCTAAAATCAACGTTTTGCCGTGTAGAAGAGTGATCCATTTCTGATATGGAATATACAAAAAAAATCAGTCCAGTTTTCAAGTCGCGACTACATTAAGGCTTCGTGCAGAAGTGAGAGATGTGCATCTCCACATGGTGGCTGGGAGCCGGAAATGAAAACTGCGCATAGGGAACTTGGAAATCCAGGGCGCTATTGATTTGTATGGGCGAAATATCGGTCAAGGTCTTCACCCGCCTCACTCCCTGTATTATTGTTACTTTCGGGACCCCGTTCTTGGTATCCATACCGAAGACATTTACTTCCCTGAACGCATATAAACAATGAGCAAGATCAAAATATATGCGAAGGACACTGACCGTAAGGAAGGTAGTTGTTTGATCGCTTCGGAGAAGAGAGGGAACTGCTCTGGGCACATATACATATCATTGCAAGCAGCTGTGACTCGTGGATGTAGCTGGGGCGCTTTCAGGTAACACTGCGGCTGCGCGTTTATACCATGAGTAAAGGCCTGGTACATCTGATAGAGGCGCGGCTTTCGTCATTGCTATGTGCTATGATGGAGAAAAGACTCACTAGTATGACGAGCGAGCATACAGTACTGCATCGTAGATTGCCATTCCAGTCTTGAATGTCCCCAGGAAATAAATCCGCCATCCGTCCATGGACATCAGCAAGTTCAGGGAGAGGTCGCATCAATGCGACCCATAGGACCTCCTTAAAAGCCTGAGTAGTAACAAGATCACTGATTGCTTGTTGAATCTGACGGACGAAAGTCTTCAGCATCGATTATGTAGTTTCTTGTCTCTTACCCAATGCACATTGTCCGAGTTGAGGAGAATGATCAAATCAAGAATCCTCTGGTTTCTATGCTCGTCGCTGACGACAAACCCAGTCAGTGGAGACGCACTACCTCTTGCCACCTTCCGCAGGTCGGAAGTATAATCTATGTACGAGTCCTTGAACTGTCCCTAATGTTTCAGAGCGAGCGAGGGCAACACATCAGAACGAACGTACTTTGTTCCTTAGATATGACCAACCCACTTCACTTTCGATCTCAGCAGCGTTCTTGATCTTTACTGACCATTCCGTTAGCTATTGGCATGCAGAACTAGAACCAGACACTTACACCGTTCTCCAAGTAGCGCTTCAAACGTTGTATTGTAATAAAGGACTGCTCTGATGAAACACGTGGTTATCAATTGCCTTGAGAATGCGGGGTGCATATCAAACGGGTTTTCTGGAATCCCGACCAACAAGTGTCCTGAATAAAGACATTTCCCCAGCTGAAACGGCTTTCCCCAATATGAATTTGCCAACGAAACTCGGAGCGACTGTTTCTGATAACTGTCAAGGATATCCAGCCTAGATTCCACTATCCAGGAGAGCTCTGGGTGAAAGGATGGCGCCTGAACGGCGAAGTCATCATCCTCAAGGGCACTCGGGATAACGATGTCCCCTTCCTCGACAGTGGTAGCGCCATATATAGATGCTGTGACGCCTCGTCCTGTAGATTCGTAATCGTCATCCAGAGACGGGTATGGCGACGTCGGTGCTACCAGACAGAAAGGCTGCGGAGGGTGCTCAACCGTGATAACGAGGGGTGGTGCAGGAGGCGGAAACCCTAATGGAAAAGTGGCTTCATGAAACGGGATGTTATGGATTTTCTGGAGCATATCGAGCTATGTATTCGGCGTGATGAGCCTAGCAACGTGCTAGCAATGGAAGAACTCACTGTCCAGATGGGAGAAGCCTCCCTTTTGATTGCATTGCCCTTACAAAACAAGCTACTGATATTCCTGAGAAAGGTCGAACCGCTCTCCTAATATGTCCATCGCATCAAAATTTAACACAGTATGATAGAGCTCTCACCCGTATCTCGTAGATGTCATATATTTTATCGCCGCCAGTAGCCAGGTAGCCTATATGATTCATGACAGCATGGGATGCGTCCGCGAGATGGATGTGCTCTCGAGGCCACTGTAAACGAGCACAATGAGATGAAATAATTAGATTTGAGAATTATAGCCTCACATAGATTGGCGATAGTTGCCCTTCATGCGCGGCATACCCCAGAAAGAGAAGATCGGAGAAGCCATGGAAGGGCTAGAAACAAGTCAATCAGAAAGTCACACTTATCGGTGATAGCGAACCTCGTCGATCTGCAGGGTCGTCAGTGATGATGCGGATGATTCAGTGAAAACTGTACTTACACTATTGAACGATAATTGCGCAACTTCGCCTGCAGCTGGTACGAAGACGAAGATTGGAGGATAAAGAAATCCTGGCAGTACCATTTGTTGCATCTTGCGAGTGGGAGAGTGGAAAGGTGAAGGAAACAACACCAAATGAGACTCTAATAAATATTTGGGCGTGCCCGTTTGCCGCCTTCAACCGCTAGGCAATGAATTACAAGCGAGCACCCCCAGGGATCAGCGCCAATCAAGTTACATGCGTCCGAAACTAGAAGTGAAGGTGAGTCAGTACACGCCAAATATTCTCAATTCAGTGAAGAACGGCCAGCAAGAGGGCGTCAGGCCATACCAGATGTTAGCATCGCGAAAATCACCGCCATACCAGGGATTGGGAATGGGGTAAGGCACCGCCAGTGAAACCCGGAAGTGGTTAGGCTATACCAGATATTGGGTTAGTGAAAAGTACGTTTGATGGCGAATCAGGGCACGCCAGTGATCACAATACCAGAGATTAGGTTAGCGAAACGTATGTTTGATGGCCAGGGATCACAATGCAGCCAAGAGCCCGTCGGCCAGATGCGTCAGACTACGCCAGGGATTGCAATGCCGGCAAAGAGCCCGTCACCAGATGCGTCAGGCTGCGCCAGAGATTACCGAGGCGAGTAGTGAAAAAAGTAGCAGTAACCAGCTAATGATTGGCAATGCGGAAAAGAGCCGCCAGGAAGAAGCGTCAGGCTACCGATTAACATGGCGATATTATCAATCCTCGTAATCAAAAGTATGGCATGTCGTAAACATGTCGTCCAGAGCCTGGACAATCGAGTCTGTGCTAGCATTAAGCCCCTGATCGAAGAAATCATGATCCTCCACACCAAGTGATCCTCATCTTCGTCCTGTTCATCGCCGGTCGTCGTCATCATCAATAGGAGGTTGTTGGAGCGTGGTTTCCCAAGGTTTTCCCCGGCTTTCCGCACGTTCATCCGTCCGCATTGTGGTCTGTGT